TTCTTGTCTGACAATGACAACGTCTTCTGATGATTTAGCCAGGGCATCAAATCTCTCGACAAGCTCTTGGACTTTGTAGGACGACTTTCGTGGGATTTGAAGGCGGGACCGAGAGTCCTCGTCGATAGAGGTGATAGGCGAGTCCTGCCGGTCCTCACCATGGTGGCTATCGTCCGTTTCGGGAGAAGACGGTCGTGAGGTTATGCTCTGGACGGTTGAGCTCTCCGCAAGATTTGTTTCGGGCCTATGTCTAGTTGATATTCTCGGTAAAGCACCTGCGCCATTACCTGTATCTCCAATACCGGCATCGCCGCTAGCATCCACGCTTTGTCGATGTTTTTTAAGCTCTTCGTTCTCCTTCTCGCCCTCGTCCTCCTCTGCCTCTACACTCTTTAGAATGGTGCTCGTAGCCCGATTGCTGTTTCCAATCTTCTCCTCGTTTATTGGGTTCTCCGGATTGGCTTCTGTATCTACTACCGGCACAGTTTTCTCCACGGAATGCGTGGTATCTGTGAATCCATTCTGTATCGTCGGCTCCGCGTTAGTCAACGAGAATTCGCTAGCCCAAGGATCTGGCGACGGGTGCCGAAACACCGAGGATGTTTTCCGAGAGACTGGCTTGAGGTTGAAGTTGGGAGATGTCGCGATTGATCCGGGCCATGCGATGGGACTAGCCTTGTCCAATGCATCGTCTCTAGGCATGGGAGTCAGCTGCTGGCTGGAACTCGATCCGTTCTCCCCAGTCCATCCGCCCCAGCCGTTACCCGATGTTGCACCTTGGTCGGCCGAAGCCCAGTCGCCAAAGCCGTCGTCTTCGTCTCCCCAGGGCGAGTGGGTCGAGAAGGAGGGCAGCTTGGCAAAGGTCGGTCGTGGAAGCTCAAGCTGTGGCTTGCTCGGTGAGGGTGTTTTCGGGTCGTGGTCATGGTCGCCGTCCGTTGTGGCCCATGGCGAGCCCCAAGGATCGTCCATTCTTGACAGTTCTACCTCCTAATGATCATGTTGAGGCTTTGTGTCCTTGGTCTGCGCCGGATCATAAACGTGGCAGCATGCACAAGAAGCGCATGTCGCACGGACAGCTCTTCCGATGCTGCCGCTCAGGGGGGTGGATGGGATGCGTGCGCAGCGAGTCACGTCACGCGCGTCGTCGTGAAGCCGCGCCGAGATGCCGATGTCGAGGACAGTCGCTAACACGAGATTGAGGCCGTCTGGGAGAGATGAGGTTCTTGAGACCTTTGCTAGAGTTGAGCGACACCGCAGACAGCACGCAAATGTCGTGGAATTGGGCGTATGACGGGCTGTCGAGTAGTTGAAACAATGGGATTCTTGGTGGTTTACGGATTGGAGGGGATCGGCCAAGCGTTTCCCGGTTTCTGCTGCTGCCTCCTTGCGCTTCTGCAACAGGCGCGGCATCACTAAACTGGCTGGGGTCCGAGCTCGCCTCGCTAAGCTAACACCCGACGCCTCCAATTGGGTTCCCCTGAACATCCAAATCCACCACAGCAGCCTACCTCCTACGCAGCCAACCCACCAGCACGCAGGCCAGGGGCTGTCCAGGGGTAATTCAAGCATTACGTCTAGCTACATTTTCACTCTACCTTACTTTGCTTCCAAGGACATAACTACCAACAGCGCTTCTTCAATATCTACAGACACTTCTATGGAGCAGATGATCTAGTGTACTACCCAGGTATGATAACGTCTGTGTCAAACCTTCTACCGAGCCCGATCGTGAGCCCGTATCAAGAACCGACCAAAGAATGTCCGAACCGCCTCTACATTGTCGAGGGCAAACATCGCGGACACGTCTTTGGACTCCGTATTAGCATCTCTACTGGATTTCCAACATGTGTCGTAGCGAGCTTCATGAGGCACTTACAAGTGTCGGGGCGCACAATAACCACTGCACCACGGCGAGGATCGATGCCATAAAAGGAGAAGGCGTGGCCGTGGCCGGCATTGTAGCTATCATCATCCACAAAGACATTGTGGAGATCTTGAGAGATACCATTCTCAGCAAACTAGTCTCACTCCCCCAACGGACATGACTTACACTTTAACCGCAGTCGTCCGGTAATTGGGGTGAAAACACCGGGGATTTGGCTCTGCTCGATGGTCGTTCGCTTCGCTGATAACACAAGAAGGCAGTTGATGATACTATTCAGGTCGTCGCCAGGTGCCGTGTGATCCCGCACAACATCTCCTAATAACGACGCAGTCTGTTGGTTGTTTTCCTCTCTCGTCAGTATTTCGCCATTTCACTAGATGGTGTCAATTTCCGAACCTTGAGCAAAGTCCCCGAGCTGGAAAAATCACCAGCACCAGCAAACACAACCACATGCCACCGCGAGTCGGAGGGCAGAGCTCGAGCCAGCTGCATAGGTTTAGCATCGCAGAACCTGATAACCTGCGTGCTAGGAAATCGCATGCCAATGTCCAACCGCGTGGCCATGTCTGTGCTGCTCTCATTAGGTCTAACAAGGATTGATTCTTCGTATTTTGTAGCCTGGCCAGCCGTGTACCGACCCGCCTTGACAAAGTGATCCTTGAACTGCTCATCAGAAACTCCATTTTCTTGTCGATATTTCGTCGAGAAGAGCTTTGTCAAGGATCTGTCGAAATCTATTAGCTCGCTGGCAGTCTTCTGCCGCTCGAAAACATATGTCTCGAGAAGCGACGGTGGAGCCAGGCCCCGTAGCACATATCCCAACTTCCAGCCAATATTGTATCCGTCCTGCAGACTGACATTCATGCCTTGCCCAGCTTTGGGTGAGTGCGTGTGGCACGCATCTCCGGTCAAAAATACCCTATTGGCCTTTGTGAAGTTGTCTGCTAGACGCTGTCCGATCGAATATACTGACCACCAAGCCGTCTCTGCGATTTCCATCGTGTGCGGCTTGAAAGCCAAGACAGCTCGTTCCTGGAGGTCCTGCAGACTGATGTCCTTTCCTGTCGATCCTGGCAATTCAATGTAAAAACGGACAAGAAGGTCGCCCTCCCGTGGTATTATGATAAGGTTCCCCGAATCTGCATGGATGATTGCCTTTTTGCGAATATCGGGAAAGTCGGTTCGAGTATATACGTCCATGACACCCCATACTGCGTTGGTAGTATCACCAATCATTTGAAACCCAAGAGAACGTCGAACACTGCTGTGAGCTCCGTCGCATCCCTTCTTTATTAGTCAAACTGTCAATTTTATCTAGACAATCCAAAAGTTTCCACTCACCAGGACATATTTCGCTTTGTAACCTCTTTCTATTCCGTTTTCAACTGCACGGACTTCAACCGGATATGCATTATTGCTATCAGTTTCGTTGCAAAGAGTCTCGTCGACGACAACGTTTTGAACGTCGCACCCATACTGAATCCAAGACCTGCTCTGGCCGGAGAGTCTTATAATCTCTTCGATCATCAACTCATTTATTCTGGCTTGGTTCAGTATAACATGAGGCTGGTGACTGAGCCCGGGCTCCGTATCAGGGGCAAAATCGGATCGGGTGATATTTCCTTTTCCGTCTGATGACCAGAAAACAAGCTCCAAGACATGGTATGACTCTTTGAGCAGCATTTCCGATATGCCAAGGCTCTCGAATATCTCCACGGTTCGACATTGGACCCCATCTGCTTGTCCGTGTACCAGTGGGCCTCCTCGACGCTCAAGCACCTTGAAGTTGATGCCACATCTGGCAAGCCATATTGCGGCACAGAGACCTGCCGATCCACTTCCGCATATCAGCACATCAAACTGTTCAGCCATAGTGACTTGAAGAGAACTCAAGTTGACGTCTCACAAGAAGACGGCGGACTTGATCCACTAATACTAGAAGAAAACACGATAACGCAACTGATTATGAAGATCACACACATCGAGTGTACCCTGATAGACATTGCTTAGGGCGGATCGCACCCCAGTTCAACAGCTTCGGGATTGATCTGGGGTAGCTTACACCAATGATCTCTAGCTCGAGCCAGTGAGGGGTACAAACGGCGGGGGGGATATGGACGACACCATACGGCAATCAAGTCTGGCCCCGGGTGACTTCCGAAGATGGGCATCATTGGCGGGATCGGGACATCGGCTGTCGGGAGGATTCCGAAAGACCGCGGACCATCTATAGCACCCTGGGGATCTTTAGACTTCTCACTCATAGCTGGTTGTCGGACATGATCACGAGGGTGACCCGTTCGGTCAAACATAGGAAACCCTCGACCGGAGATGTGGTGTGCTGATGAGGAGCTTGAGGTCTGGATGTCTGGATGGTTTAAAAGATATGACTTGATCTAGGGAAGGCTTCAGCTACGAGTCCTTGATCGACAATAGCAGAAATACAAAGGCAAGCTCACAACGGCATGTTTGAACGACAGACTCTCGATATAAGCACAAGAAACTGTCCTCTTATCACTTTCGAGGAGGAGGTCATCAACGTGTAAGGCATAATTGCTTAGGGGAAATTCTTCGATTGAGCCTCGAAACAAGAGATTTGGGAAACATTGTATCAGGTTGTAAGTCCGGATAGAAGATTGAGGCGAGAGCTTCTAGGGCATCTTGCCTTGAAGTGGCTCCACAAGCTACCTGGCAGTAAAAATTGCGATTCGGGGCTTGAAAAGCACTCGACTGTAGACGATGCAGCTTCTGAAGTGGCATTCCAAAAAGAAAAGAAAAAACCCCAGATTTGATACATCTACCTAAAGCAATCGCTCATTGCAGAACCCACCTCAATAACTTAAGTACCTAAGTAGGCAAGGTGAGGTTTGGGTGATCAGCTTAGACAAGCGGGATTTCCAATCAGGGCCGGCCCACCGAGACCATGCTGATAAAGCAGGCCGATTAGCGGCCGAGATGGCAAAAAATAATAACCAAACACACCTCGACCGGCAAGTCAACCAACCCCAAGAAAAAGCCATGACTTGGATGCAACATCCTGAGCATTTGCTCTACAGCGACTCTCATACTTGCGCATTCGAGGGATGAGGCTCGACCGGTAACTTGAGTAGCCATAATGTCACTCTCTAACGTGAAGCACATCGTCCTGGTTGGTTGCTCCTCTCAGATACTTCTTTCTTCAATGCCCCGCTGTCGTCATTGGGACCAGGGGCTTGATGTCCTCACTCTCACCTTGCATGCTAACTCTTGTCTCAACTTGACAGGTCCTCTCCGGGAAAGGGGGCGTGGGAAAGTCCTCGGTCACGACACAACTAGCCCTCTCCCTCTCCCTAGCCGGTCACTCAGTAGGCGTCCTCGATGTCGACCTCACTGGCCCCTCAATACCGCGCATGTTCGCCATCGAGGATGCAAAAGTCACGCAAGCACCTGGCGGCTGGTTGCCCGTGCCCGTCCACGATGCGAATCCTGCGGCGGGCATCGGTTCCTTACGCGTCATGAGCCTGGGCTTCCTACTGCCGAGGCGCGGCGACGCCGTTGTCTGGCGGGGGCCCAAGAAGACCGCCATGGTTCGACAGTTTCTCTCCGACGTCTTCTGGGGCGAGACGGACTACCTCCTCATCGACACACCCCCGGGCACGAGCGACGAGCACATCTCACTGGCCGAGACACTTCTCAAGAATGCGACGCAAGAGCAGCTGGCGGGGGCCGTAGTGGTGACCACGCCGCAGGCCATTGCCACCGCCGACGTGCGCAAGGAACTCAACTTCTGCGCCAAAACAGGCATCAAGGTGCTCGGAGTGGTGGAGAACATGAGCGGCTTCGTCTGCCCGAACTGCTCAGAGTGCACCAACATATTCAGCAGCGGCGGTGGAGAGGTCATGTCTAGGGAGTTTGCCGTCGACTTCCTGGGCAGCGTTCCTGTTGACCCGCAATTTGTCATGCTGGTCGAGACAGGTAAACGGCCGACGTACCCAGCCGGCACACAGATCAACGGGCAGGACATGTCAGGAGCGACCAATGGCGCTACACTGGGCGAGGATGCAGATCGGCGAGCCGCAGGGCTGCTTGTTGACAAGTACAAGCTCTGCTCTCTTGCGCCAATCTTTCGATCAATCATCGATTCTGTGCTCACTACAATCCAGACGACCTCTACTGGCGCTTGATCCAACAGGACGACATCATCTTCAATTCAGTGCTGCTCTGCAACTGCCAAGTCACTGCTACATTGGCATGCCCCAGCGCTGCAAGATAAGCTGCGTAATGGAAGAAGCCGGGATGTATTAGATAACGGAGCCGAGGACGGCGGCAGGAAACGGGCGGCACCGGGATATTGCTGCATGTGCAGAGGCCCAGTTCCCATTGCAGCTGGTGACTGTGGTCGACCACTTCATATTGAACTCTGGCCGCCTTGCGTGTTATCTCGCTCGGTGAATTACGGCCCGTGGATGGCGTCCCGTAATTCCGTAAGGCCATGGTCGGAGACTGAAATACGGAGAAGCGCGGGCACCTACAGATCATAGGCATGTCAACTCGTATAGGCGACTGTGAGCAAACTAGGGTGGTGTCGAGCCGTGTTGACGCGCGCTTAAGACGCATGCGAAGACCTCTGCCTCGTATCTCACTGGTCTATACGACTGGAGCAGGCAGGCCAACTGCATGCCCATGTTAGTTTTAAGTATAAGGCAACTCAACTAAATATATACCACCCAACCAGCGACACAGTCACCGCTCCATCTTGTGTGTTTGGGTTTCTCGTCATTCCTTCTAGGATATGATCTCGTCTAGGCTAAACCTTTTCCAAAATGTGACAGAGTGTCGGATACTCGCCGGTGTGGCTTAAGCCCCAAACGGTGGCGGCGGCAGTGTAGGCGGGGGATGGGGGAGCTGTGTTTGTTGGTTTCAGATTTCGATGATTTAAATCCAAGCGGACAGACGAGCTCAGCTCTTTTCAGAATTGACTCGAACTTTCTCCTCGTCGACTTACTCATAATGGCCGGCATCAACGCCCCCAGTCCTTTGGGAGAAGATGCACCGTCTCTGACGGACACCCCATCCACAACAGAAGACGATGCATCTCCTGCGAAGCCTTTTCCCTTGACGAGGCTACCACCTGAACTTCAGGCAATGGTCTGGGAGATGACTTACCCAGACCCTCGGGTCATTGAGATTGTCGAACGCTGGCCTGACTTTCCGTATTGCCGGAGTGCTGTAAACCCAAACAATCCTGGTGATGACATGGAGCCAGGTAGTCTCGATGATACAGATGATACAGATAACACTGACAACACTGGCGCCACGGATGACACCAATGACACCAGTGACACAAGCGACACCGACATGGAGGAGGAGACACAGGAGTACATGGGGCTGCAACTCGCAGGGTCTTTGTCGACCTTCATGGAGATCAACCACTCACCCCGAGGCACCTGGACTGAACCTTATGAAGCCTCGCCTCTGCCTGTCGCTCTTCACGTGTGCCGAGCTACGAGGACTCAAGCATTGAGGCGCTATATCCCCATGATCGATCCAATTACGGATCGCTTCTCCTTCTACATCGACCCGCGTCGAGACGTGCTTTGGTTATCTCTGGATATAACTGACGAAGGAGCCGAGACTGTAGCGCAGCCGAGGCAGCAATACGGCCAGCAGATTGATCGGATTGAAAACGTACTGGTCGAGGAGCAGAACTGGGACGATAGGGGTGGACCCGCAGAATACTGTACCAACTTCCTTGACAGCTTCCGAGGGCTCAAGGTCGTGAGCATCTTACTGGAAAGTTACGGCTATGCGGACATGTCGCCAACGGATCCGGCGACGTTTCCTGGACTCGCACATTCGCTGGCTGATCGTGACAAGGCACTTTTAGGACGGCGTAATTGGACGATGGAATACATTGATAGGGACGACAACATCTACGAGCAGGTATTCCTTGCGGACGGTGAAGTGCAGTGAATTTAGTTTTTGGCCTGTGGTTATGGAGTAAATGGCAGTTTTATAACGACAGGTTGACTTGGACGGAACTGTCAAGGAGATTGCTTGATCGAAGCAGGCTCACGCCTCTACCGAGAATCTGGCTTGGGTTCATGGGATCAAAGTGTGCGTTTGCTTTGCTTTGAAATTTGAAATTCAAGAATGGGCTTGAAAAGCAAATATAAACTCAATGAAAGCAACAGGCAAGCCGGTCAGTTCAAATTGGATGAGGTTAAACACATCATAACTATTGTTTTTGCTGTGCTCGTGAGCGCAACACAAAGCAAAGATGTGACCCTCATGCTACCTACCTACGTAATTGGTACCGTGACTTAGGCGGTACACCCCTGCTGCCTTGTGCCGGGGGGCACTTATTTAGTGGCCTTCAACCATCCCAGAGACCCAGAGTTGCCTCGATAACGTTAATGGAATGGAACGTCGGCCCTGCCCCACCATCACTCACGTTAGGTCACTTACTGCAAGGTAGGTACATGTACAGAGTACGGCCGCGATTTTCCCCCACATGAAAATCGAGGAAAGGTTTTTTTTGGCCCAAAACCTCTCAATCACTTGTTTAGCCATTCACCGACTGGTCGCATGCTCTCTGGCAACTCTGCCGCAACCTTTTAAAAGACTCTTGAGTTGTCGATTGCCTCGCTTCTCTTTTCTCCTCTCCTGTCTCGATCGTGTTCTAGTAAGCTCTTCACTCCCTTATCCTGGGCACATATTCCCACGATCTACCCCGCCGCTCGCTGCCACTCGAGCGCAGAGATTGATTATCTTGTCTAGATCGACTACGATTAAGCGGCTTCATACGATACCTAGCAGTTTCCGACATTCGCCTCCGAGTTGACGAGCCTGAGCCCTGGTTGCCGCCATCTGAAGAGTCGTCGCCACTGTTCTCAACAAACTCAATGCCACCGAATTCGAAGTCCAACTAGCACCTTCGATCGCAGATTGGAATCTGCGCCTCCAAACACCACTCCCAACACATCTTTCTTCTTCCATGAGCTCTAAGGACTTGCTGCGCTTCCTCTCTAAGCCTGCCAAGTATGTTCATTCTAAATCATCTTGCTCTCTTTATATTCATGGCTCCTAACTTTGCGCGATAGGCCTCGATAGCACCCCTTTCGGTTCTGTTCCCGGCGATTTCCACGTCGAATACCTCCGACTACCGTGATATCTCTACAAGCCTCTTTACCCGCCAATACAGCGGTGCGCAAGTATTGGCATCCGCCTACAACGACGGATTCTCTGAACAACAAGCCCACCATACCGTCCTCCCAGGTCTTTCTCCTCCCCCTCCGGGCTCGACCCCCTTAACGTCCTCTACGTGAGACGTTCCCAGTACCAACACTCATAGACACTGCAGCTGGCTCCGCCAGCATCTCAAAGACACCACCGTCCTGTGGGCCTACCCTCTCAAACGAACGCCGCAACGTTCGTTTGAGTTGGCCGTTAGTGCTCCGCGGAAAGAACTTATTGTTCGACTTCCCCGGAATCCGCCTGTCGCCCTGTCGCCTTCGCCGTCCAAGCCCTCCGTCTCCCTGCTCTGCCACCCGGTCTGAACGGAGATGGTCGATCTTGAGGTCCCCAACAACTACACGTTGTCGCCATCAGAGGCTACACCTCATTTGACCATCAATCATGACGTTGCCGCAGATCTAGACTCTAGCAATGCCTTTGAAGGTGTGTGTTTGCTGCCATGAAGCTGCCCCAGATCCTCTCAACTGGCTGCTAACAATCACCTCCTCTAGGCCCAGAGAAATTGCTAGAAGTATGGTTTGCACCTAGTGCTACGGCTCTGCCTCCCGGAGTCAAGGAACATGGCTTGAAGTCCGTTCCTTCCGAGACATGGGTCGGCATGCTGGATCTTGTTCACTGCCAGATCCTCTCTGTCATCTCGTCCGAGCACATGGACGCCTACCTTTTGTCCGAGTCGAGCATGTTTGTTTTCCCCCACAAGCTGATTTTGAAGACTTGTGGCACAACAACACTTCTCCTCGGACTGAAGCGCCTGCTTCGGATCGCCGCTATCGAAGCGGGCTTTCCATTCCACAATGTTGCTTCTATCGAAGATGATACCGTGGCGGCCACTCCATACAGGGTGTTTTACAGCCGAAAGAACTTCTTGTTCCCCGACAAGCAGCATGGTCCTCACCGCAGCTGGTCCGACGAAGTCAAATTCCTCGACACTTTGTTCGAAGGTGGCAGTGCGTATTTGGTCGGGAAGATGAATGGTGACCACTGGTACCTGTACATCACCACACCGAGCCCTCCGCTCACACCTCCCCGTACCCCTGAAAGCGAAAGTGGCAGGGCCACACCGGTCAAGAATGCCAAGATCCCGACAGGCTTGGTGCTGCCATTCGCCGACACCGACGAAGAGGATAGCAACGATGAGACGCTCGAGATTCTTATGACCGATCTTGACCCTGAGAATGCCAAGCAGTTCTACCTGGCACACGCGAGTGCGGTCGCGCGTGACCGGGCTGCTGAGGCTCAGGAGGCAAGACTGTCGGCTGCCGAGCACCTCGGCGCCCTCTCCGAGCCCGTTCCAAATACCAACGGCTCAGACTCGACATTCGACGTATTCAGCAATGGAAACGATGCTCCAGCTCACTTGACTGACACGGAATCTTTGACGACCGAGGGTCATGCTCTCGGGACTGTTGTTGCAGACCACTGTGGGCTGGTGGACGTTTATCCAACCTCGAAATACCCGGACGCTCGCATCGATTCGTACCTATTTTCGCCGTGTGGGTTCTCTGCCAATGCTGTGATTCCTGCTCCGCAGCCAGTCCTCGATGACGCCGCGCAGGGCGACCAATCCCCCAAAGCAGCTCATTACTTCACTGTTCACGTCACCCCTGAGCCGAATTGCAGTTTTGCATCGTTCGAAACCAATGTGCCCGGGGGTCAGAAAGGCCGCGAGACGAGCGACGTGATTGACCATGTGGTGGGAATTTTCAAGCCAGGGCGCTTCATCGTCACGCTTTTCGAAGCCAAGGGGCAAGCCAAGCGGGCCAATGATCCTTACAGCTTGCGCAAGTCGCGCACTGATGCTGTTCGAGGATATCGCAGGGTCGACCGTATCGTGCACGTATTCGATGATTATGATCTAATCTTTGGATTCTTCGAGCGCGACGGTTGGATTGGTGATGGTGGAGCTCGGGTGGGAGAGGAAATGTAAGGGAGTCGAGACTATCGGTTTGCCCAGGGCTGTCGCGACAGGGTCATTTCCTTGCGAGATCAGGGGCACCGGATCTTTAAAAACTGCTGGATGATAATTGTCGGATATCTATTTCACATAGTCTGGTGCTTTTGGACATAGTCTTTCCTCTAGCCACTGCTTTCTCCTCTTTTTTCCGCTTAGCTACTGTCTCAGGGGCTCAATAACGAGATCTCATGATGTTCATGACCTGCCATTCTTTCAGCTCAATATTTAATATCTCCTTACCAATGACATCACACTACTATAACTCAACTACCCTTTCGTCACTCATACAATAATGCATGTGGCTAGAGCAAGGGGAAGTGGCTCGTAAACAGGCATTATCGATAAGTCTACTGAGGCGCTACATTCCAGAGGACGGCCAGTCAACTGCCATTGGCCAGCACTCAACCCTCCCTCGCTCAGGAATGTAAATGTCTCGCCCAGCGACGGTTTTCAGCCACAGGGATTACCCGTTGCAGGCGATTTCCATGGGCTAGCTGGAACTTTCATATTCCAGCACATGGCTTTTTGCTGAAGATCGTGGCAATAGTCTACACCATGAGGTTGGTTAGCCTTCGTAGGGACGGCTGCATCTCAGCCTCCCGACTTGTTGGCCGCCATATCACTTCGAATTCGTCCTTCGTGCCCTTCACTATGATTTCTGCCCTTTACACACTCAGAGGAAAGCCTTCCTTGAAGACTTTTATCAGTTCTATCCAAAAACATGAGTACCCATTCATCACGCAAGTCTCTAGAGAGGCAGCAGTCGGATGTTGAGTCGCAGGCGTACAGTGCTGTCAACAGCTCCTTCAGCGCTCAGGAGGCCCGGTCGAACATCCTCAAAACGCTCATGGCAACATGCCTGTCTCTGCTCTTGATATTCTGCACCATTGGCTTGATAACATCGGGCTTGGTGTTCGGCCACACTGTGGGGATGCACGGTGGTGTGTGTCTCAGCCAGAGCTTCATCCTCTTTTCCGTATGTCACCACAATCAAATCTCTCGCGACTTATCATGGCTTCGATACTGACCTTGAGTTAACTTTAGTGCGTCATGGGCATTTTGTACATCTGCCTTCACATCCAAGCCGCCTATCGTAACGAACCGATCAACCGGGCATATGCTGCCCAGCACCCACTGCATACCTCCACCATCGTGGTTGCTCGAATCGATACCATCGCTTGGATCATTTCACTTATTGCTGTCAGCGTGGCCGTCTCGAAAGAGAACATCGCAACGCTCTATGTCAACCTCGTCTCTTGTTCGGTTGCCATGTAAGTCATTAGCGATTCTTCTGTTCGAAATCTTTAGCCATTGGCTAATCTCCCAACTCCCCACAGTCCTGCAATGGTCACTACTCTCATTATGGTTGAGAAGGCAGCCAGGCCCTTCGATCTCCCATGGATCACCAAGCACGCCGAGATTACGTGCCGCGTCAGCGCCCTCGACGTCGACGCCATCCTCGAGAAGAGCATCTCGCGACGGCCCTCCGTCAACGACTTCCCAACCCCGATGTCAGAAGGGCCCGCCGGACCGAGATCGCCCCCAACGGCGGGAAACGACCTTGGCTCTTTCTCCAAGTTCGATGAGAAGACCAGAAACGGGTACTTCTCCATGACCACCGAGACAGCCCCCGATGATCGCGCCTCTATTGGCGGTCCCCGCCAGATGCCGTCAACCCTGCAACCACCACCGGCCGTAGCCCGCAATCCCAGCTGGCGGCGCCAGTGGAGCGCCCTCGCCGCCGAGACGGGCGTGCCGTCGTCGGCCGCCAGCAGCGTGTCGAAGGGTTCATGGAGCACCATGACACCTTCCTCGGCCTTCACGGGCACCCGCACACTCGAGACGGTATCTGAGATACCCACCAGCCCAACCAGCCCGTACCCGACGGCCGACAGCAAGGGGAGACTCTACGCCACGCCGACGTCCAGCATACCCGACTCGCAGAAGAGGTCGCCGCTGGCCACAACGCGGTACGCCGACGCGCCGCACATGGCCATCCAGCCGGAGATCCGCGTCCTGGGGCCCGACGGCGTGAGCAGGCAGCTATCAGCGCGGTCCGGGATGTCGTGGTCAGCGAGGAGGCAGTTGAAGGGTGCGCAAGAGGCGTTGAAAGCTCATCGGATGAGGGTCCTTGGTGGTGGGGAGCGAAGAAGTGCACCATCTCAGCAAGAAGTGAGTGAGCCGAAGGAGAGGAGTATGGCGATCCCCGGCAGCTTCTTTGATGATTAAACACTTGGATTGGTTTGCGCGACGATTACGACGATGACGACGGTTTAAGGATGATGTTTCGCATTTTGTTGTTAGTTCTCTTCACAGTGAATAATTGGCGGGCTTTTAAACCCAGATATACCCTTTTACATAGATCCGCAAGTACATAGTTTGAAACAGAGGAATCATCGCAAGATTTGTTTTGCCGGTTCCTGGGACTGCAGTGAGATTGCGCTTGTAGGGCTTGCGATGAACATTGCACTCCATAGCCACGGCAGAGACCAAACGCAATGTGATGAAATTGAAGCTATGCAATACAACAGATTGTCTTTGAGACGACACAATTCTATGTTACAATAAACCGCTAGGGACTTTTCCTGTCCCCATACATTTTATCCCTTGGGCTGCTTGTTTCTGCAGCCAGCCAGTCACCAACACCAACTTGGTTACGGGTCAAGCATAGCACCGAAAACATCCATTTCCTAATCGGATTCATCGAAATCGGACAAATCCTGGTCGTCGCCGTCGCCGTCGCCGTCGACCTCGTCCCCTTCTGACTCGTATTCCGGCGTTTCGGGAAATACCACACTAGTTTCTTTCGCAAGCTTCAGGAGAAAGTGCTTCGCAGACGACGAACACCTCGTCGATCCCACAGGCGTCCCGTTTGCACGAGTGCCGAAGTTGACCGTGGCAGACAGGAATCCGGAACTGTTCACCTGACGGACTCTTCCGAGCATGAAGGATTGTAAATCGAGGCTGCTGTTGGCCAACGATTTGAACAGCCTTGCCCAAAGGTTGACCTTGTCATCCCAGTCACTCTGAGTGCTGACGAGCGCAATCTCCCACAGGTTCACAGCCTTCAAGGTCGGGGCGAACTTGACAAGAGCAGCCAGGAGGATCGCAGGGCTGATGTTCAGTACGCCAAGATCAAGCTGTTGTAGAGGCAGGCTGATCGGGGCCGGATCATTAAAAGGCGTAGGCGTGTTGCCGATGGGTGCTGGCTGGCCTAGCCATGTCAAGAATTTGGCAGTGGGCTCGGGACCGCTACTTTGAAAGTTGACGCGAAGCCAGAGCAGATTTGGAGTGAGAGCCAAGAAGCTACGCAAGCCTGCATTGAAAGGATCCGTCATGGCTGGATCTTGAGGTTGAGAAGTACCGGTAATGTAAGACGATGGTATCTCAGAAGAGAGAAGCACCGCCAGATGGAGCCTCTGGAGATTGGCTAGGATGGGCCGCAGAGTCGGAGCAAGCCAAGGGCGGATATCGAAGACCTGCGATGTGAGTCCCCATGCCCTATCCTTTAGGACAACCTCAATATTTGGCAGATCTATGCCAGACTCTGCCAGAGCGACTAAGACTATCTTGAAAGCGTGGTCGACGAAGACGTCCTTATCGGCTGAGTAGTGAGTAGGTCCTATTGCCAATTGATGGTTATAGCGGCCGCCGATGGTGGCGCCATAGCTGGACCATTGGGCGCCTCCGTCTCGCCATCGGCTAGGTGAGTTGAAGTCACGTATGTCGACAGTCTGTAAGCCTCGCAGGTTGCGTAGAGCCTGCGCGAGGAGATTTGACGCTCTTCCGGTGTTGAGCAGCTCTTGCTGGGCGTTGAAGGCATCGCGGAGCTCCAACTCATCCTCGATTGTGTGGAGGTGAATCGTGCGAAGCCGATCAGCATAGTATCGATCCAGGCCGATGATGAGATGTGTGAGAGAAGGTCCCAGGGTAGGGTGCTGGGAAATATCGAGCAGTGTCTGCAGGCTGAACTCGGTGAGCATGAACTGCTTCTTGGCGAAGAACTCGCGAGTAAAGGCGATGAAGACTGACGACTCAACAGCCTTGCAAGTCAGACGCAGCAAACAGAGGTCCGAGGTGGGGAGGAAGTATGCGATGCGCTGGAGGACCTCAAGGGGCATCTTGACGAGCTGCGAGGCCCCTGATGAGTCCATCACGGGCCGTGTAACTAGCTGTGTCATGGTGGTAGTGGTGGTAGAGTGCGAATGGCCACGACCGATATGACGGGGACTAGGAGCAGTGAGGTTTGGACTTGATCAAGCAATGCAAATGTCGCATTAAGATGATGAGGGTCGCTTTGTCTGACGAAGGACTGCTTCAGGTTCAGCAACAGGAACAGTCTCGGAACCACCTGAAGTAGGTAGGGTTTGACTTGATGTCCTGGTAGTGGCACCTAAAGAATGAGATTGGTTGACTGACTATTGGTCGTAACACCACAGCCGAGATCACTGACAAGTGAGGGTATTGCAGGTATTGCACGATGTGCTGGTGGATGTCAGACAACAGTTGAGGGTTAAGACTGAATGTGAGGTTGGGTGTTATTTACCTTATATAGATAGATGGTATCTTTGATATATGAATCAGTCACACAGATAGATACCTCATCTGCCTGCGGTGGAATGGTGGTGGTGAAAGTACCTTAGCTTAGTGCCCCTTTGTGTGGTTGAATGGTCCTTGTGCCTGGGTGCTGCAGGTGTGTTTCAATGCCTTCTGAGGATGTTGGGGTTCAATTCGGCGCCAGTCGCTCCTGCTGCCTATTGCCTGTGGAAGCTGCAGCTGCTGTGGCCCAGAAAACAGAAGGCGCGGCACCACCAATCGTTCACCACTATCACGTGGGTGCTTTAGGCACCACACCCCCCCTCCCCCTGCACGCCAACCTACCTCATCGCCGGGACTCACCTAGGTCGCATTCTCTGGGACTGGGGACAGGCATGGGCAATTGCAATTCACGATGTGATTCATGTCACAAAGTGCGCAGGAGCCACATGGTGGGTGTTGTTTGTCCGAAGGTGCTTGTGGCTACAGGTCTGAATGCAGATAGCCGTTGTATTCGTTGTACAAGGCCTCGCCTCGGGGCTGGGGCTCTGGGGCTGCGTTGAGGCTGTTGAAGAGAGACCAAACCGGAGAGAGTTCACGACCACAAGAGACAGACGTGAGAAGGATGCTAGGCCAATTGTTCATTAACATCTTATCAAGTCTATCAATGAACTCCAGAAATGCGTTGGCTCCTATTACCAAGTCCAACCCCATAACATCTCTCACTCGGTGATTCGAGGAAACCCAAACCAGATAGACATACCAACGCCACAACACCAACACCGTTCGTTACGATCCTCCGTCGAGACCCAATCAAACACGATACGACAACGTCCAGATCAGAAGCGCCGGCCCATCAACATGCCCACCTCCGGGCACCATTCCTTGATCTGCTCCATATGGTCGTGCTGCCACCGCTCCGGCTGGTGGTAGCCCAGCGGCTTCTCGTAGTAGATCGTCTCAACTGCAAATGTCTTGGCCACGTCCTCGCTTGGCAGGTTGGCCTCTGGCAGTGCCTTGAGCTTGCCGTAGAACCACTGGTCCTCGAACCCAACCTCGTTTCCGCCGCCCTCGCTGCCGAAGCTGCTGTGCGCTGCCCGCGCCACCTGCAGCATCAGTTTCGGATTGCGCAGCGACAGCCCGCCATTGTAGCCGTGTCCAAATTGCGCCGCGATAGGGGCCCCAAGCAGGTCGAACTCGAGGAAGTCGTCCACCGACAAGTCCGAGTTCGAGCACAGGATGCTGTCCGTCTGGAACATGAGCATCCGGTGCGCCGACTCGAACTGCTCCCAGAACCACGGGCTCGTCAGGAACACAGACACCGAGTTGTGGTTCGGGAAAGTCGTGTTCGCCTCGAGGTACATGATGCGGATCCGCCCAGCATCCATCAAACGCCGGAATGATGGCGACGATGGCACTTTCCAGTTCGCCTCCAGCGTGAGAAGAACGACTGGCCACTTGGGGCCTAGAATCGACTCGAAGTGCAGCATGAGTGGGATCAAATTGGGCACGTTGGACGGGTCCGTTTCCATGATGACGGCGACATTGTCGGAAAAGGCTGGCTTGGGCGATGCATTCTGCAAAGCATCAGACGCGAAGAAGTCGTCGTCATTCGAGGGCTCCTTAGGCTTCGAGCCCGCCCCCTGCGCTGGCTGCTTGGGCTTGTCCGGAGTCAGAACAGTCGACTGGATGGAAGACGGCCGCGATCCGCCTCCGCCCTCGACGGCTTGAGCATCGTCTCGCTGGAGATCCTGTCAGTACCGACCACTAACGGTAGAACGGCCAATGTGCACCAACCCTTATCGCAAGAAGATTAGATGTCCCCAACAGCCAGACCAGCACCAAAAGAACCAAGGCCCCAATGGCCGTCTTGCGATTCCTCGGGCTGGTCAACTCAGACCCAGGTCCCGTACTGATACTCATCGTCACGGTTTGCCGCGATGCTCCAAAACGAAAACGAACGGACGAGCATCCCCCACAAAACTTTCATCGTGCCTGGGACGGCGGGTGAGGAAGCACTTATGTATCCCTTGGCGCTAGGAAGGGATGGCTTCAGCGCGGTCCTCCGCCGATCAGCTACGAGTTTTCGACCCATCCTAGGCCATGGGGATCCAGTGGCTCCCCTGAGACAGGGAGAGCTTTCGAGTCAGGTCAGCGACGTGAGTCGGGCGGGGGGCATTCCATTCCAGGCTTGCCACACAATAGTGTGCGCGAGGGTCCCGCCGACTAGCAGCGAATTAGGAGGTACCTGTAGTCTGCTCGACATCGAATGCTGTCTTAGTCGTGTCGACCGAAAGGGAGATTTGCTGTTCTAACCAGGCTAAGATGGGAATAGTGCCACCTGAGACAGAACCATTTCTGTCCCACTCACTCCCTCTCCAGGCGGGCGCAGCCGATATTGACAGGGAGCAAGCAGAATACTAGATGCTTCTTGGGTATTTCGAAGAAGAAAGTAAATCAGGAACAGGAAGAGATTCAAACATTTTTTCTTTGGTCGAAACAGGAGTACATGTCTGGCCCCTGACAGGGCTGGTCCACTGCCGAAGCCACTGACGGCCAGGTTGTCTCAACAGTGCGTCTCCATTGGCCAGAAAGACCCAGCAGAGATAGCAACTGCATTATTGGTTAAATAAATGGGAAACACCACCTGCATCGTGCGCACAACAGTGATATGAGAGTAATCCTACGTAAATCGAGATAGTTTGCATTGCTACATGCTAGTCTGCTGGAAGATCAATTGGTCCTCATTTAGAATGCAGCTCAACACTGTAATAACCATCACTTTTGTTAAATCGTACAAGTGCGCGACATCCCAATCAGATGTACCACGCCGGGAGCCTCCATGCCACCGAGAAGCGCCATCGCAATGCAAAAGCCAAACAGAAGCAAACAGAGCAAGAGAACAAGCTTACAATCACCAACAAGGCACATACCCGCTGTTGCGAGTCCATACTTTGCTACCACGCGAAGATAAGGCTCACATCTTGACCCGGAATAGATATCGAAGGCGGATCTGGGCAACGTCATAGCAGATGAACTCGTTGTACTGAAGCCAGGCGTTGGGGTAGTTTGTGTCTCCCGGCTTGACGTTTGTATCGGGCTGCAGGAAGAAGGATATGAGTAAACTGAGAAGGGCAGAATGAGAGGGAGTTGCTTACCATCTTGACACCAGCCAGTGTGGGATGCACTGCACCGGCGTCCTTCCACTTCAACGGGCCGGTCCGACCTTTGCCCCAGGTCGTCCACATGCCCTTGGCCTTGGCATGATCGCCTGCATTGTACTCAGAATTGGTGAGTTCCTGCATGGGATCGCCCATCTCAGCCTCACAGAGGAGAAGAAGCGCGGTGCCGCCAGAGATGTGTGAGCAGCAGTAGTTGGCCGATTTGGAGGACATGTCGGCCAGATAGATGCCCTTGCCGAACATGTACCCAGACACAGGTGCCTCGGGAGGGGCAATGCGCAGACCCTGGCTGAGAATACCACCAAAATTGGTGGCACGAGATCCGTGCCAGAGCAAGCGACGGTCCTTGGGTGGGCCGGAGAAAACACTCTTGTCAAAGCGATCGAGCTCTCCTTGGCGCTCTATGCGGAAGATAGCATCGACACGATAGTTGGCATTATGAGTATGTCCTCGAGTCTCCACCAGATACTCCTGCAGCAGGAGGAATTCCTTGCTAGAGGGGTCCCAAGGGTGACATCTCTTCCATCCCTAAGCCCTGGTACTGGGTGTCGAGGGGATGAGTAGTAGGACGAGACGACAGGTTTGCCTTCATCAGGGCGGTGGCATCCTTCATGTCAGTCAGGTTGTCCAGAAGTTCTATTTCTTTCTTGACCATGGCCTGATCGCGGATGATGGGGGGTCGGTTGCGACCGAAGTTGTGAGGGATAAAGGAATAGAAAAGGTTAGAGAGGTTTTCCACGGCGTTGACGAGCGAGGTGCCATAGTTGACTGCCAAGCTGTTGTCGTCAAGCACCGCAGAGAGATCCTTGAGGGCTTGGAAACCCTTCATGATGGTTGCCTTGCTCAGCTTACCGAGAGGCAGCTTGTTGGCATCATAATTGAGATCAGACATGGCAGCAGCAAAGTACTGCTGATTGAAGATAAGTTCCATGAGTTCTTTCACGGGAGCTGAGAGAGTGCACTTGGGCGGCTTATAGTCATCATCCTCGTCTTTGACCTTGCCGTTGGCTTTCTTGTCTTCGTCGTCCTCATCCTCGGAATCTGACTCGTCATAACTACGCTCAAGGAAGACATACTTGCCAGGCTTCGGCGCCGCCGTACGGTCGTTCCAATGGAGGCCAGACTTATCCTTGAACTTCTTCTCAAACTGACGTTTAGCGTCGTCCAGACTGCCGCCGCCCAAAGTCGCCGACTGGCCGCGGTCGCCAACACGTCCCCATCGAGTCCAGGTAAAGCAGACCCCTTTGCCGTCACCAAGAAGCTAAGAAAATGTCAGAAGCGAAAACGAGATAGCCAGAATTGGGTTCCATCGTACCTGGATGCGATAGAACTTGTTATTGTTGTGGCCGGCGTTGGTTTGGTTCAGAGATGCATCCCAAATGACACCGTCATCGCCAATGTAGACACCGTAACCCTGCAGGTCACAGTGCTCGTCAACCGGAATGCGGATATCGCGCGACTTTGCGATTTGGCCCTCGCCGAAGTCGCGCTTGGACTCGCTCTCGGCAATTTCAGCAACTGTCTTCTTCTTCTTCTTTTGCGGCTCTGGCTCATCCTCGTCCTCGTCAGCGGCAGCAACGTCAGGGCTAGGAGAGGCCTGGCGCTTCTTAGATCCGTTGGCTTTAGCGGACTTGACACGAGAGGTGGAGCCGTTAGTGGTGGAGGCTTGGGGCGCAGCAGGGGCAGCTGAAGAACCGTTGACGGCGCCAAAGCCGTAAGTCTGCTCGGATTCTCGATTGTTCTTCTGCAGAGAGTCCTGCAACCAGTGCAGGCTCACGATGTGGATACCATTATTCTGAGCGTCCTTGACCTTGGCCGAGGGCTTGGCGAAGTCGGCGGGAGTAGTGACCAGGTGGGTGGTGTTCTTGGTGACGGAGCTGGATGTTGCAGCGCCCAATTGGGTGGCCTGGCCCTGGAGGGTTGACTGAGAGAGTCCGGGGAAGGACCCGCTGAAAGCGATGGTGCAGCCATCCAGGGGAGGAGGGGCCGGCGGTGCAGCTACAGCGGCGGCCTTCTTGCCTCTCTTCGGCGGCATGATACACGTAGATGATGGATGATATGCTCAGATATCCTTGATGCGATGTGTTGCAGATCAACCAGATGAGATGAGATGAGATCAGATCAAATCAGATCAGAGAGACGAATAGACGACTGTCACTCGCTGTGTTTTGATGAATGAAAACAAAGAGTTGTGAGTGTGGCACAGCAACGCAACCAAAGGAAACTTGGTGGTTGTGTGGTGGGCTGACCAGTGCCAGGGGTAGAGTCGATCACACCTGCAGACAGAGAGACAGAAAAGAGAGGTGATGAATTGGGGTAAGACTCTTGCGCGGTGACAGACCACGGAGTGGTGAAGAGTCAAGAGAAGGGGGGACGGGAGTTGAGGAGATCAGAGAGGAGGAGGAAGAAGAAGAAGAATTGAGTTGAGTTGAGTTGAGTGAAGTCGATGAGAAGTGGAAATGGGCTTGCTTTTAGTTCAGGAGAGAGTGGAAAGGCCGCTGCCATCAGACTGAGGCATTTGGGTATGGGCCATCCATAGTTTCTGGCGGGATTTCGAGATGGACGCCAAGCTGCCAGCTTGATTGGGTTTCGCGCGGCGTGTGTCGCAGGCAGCAGTGCCTCAATTCGCTCTTTCCTCCCGCCGCCAGACAAGGATACACGCCTAAATCTACTGCAAAATACCTAGGTAGCTACAGCCAAATCACCAAATCGCCCTATCACGTGGGCCTTCCAGGCAGAGAACCCCACTGCGCGTGCACCTCTTTAGCGATCTCCAGTGCGATGGCTAAAGAAGACTACACCAAACACTCGCTCTCATGTTTGGTCCTTGAAGTCAAGGCATGGAAGGAACGACTCATCGCAATGCATCATCAAACCCCTAGAGTGGAAAGCATCATCGTGCAGACACACGATCGGCCTAGGGCAAGAACAGCCTACCTAGGTTCACAGAAAGGGCAGGCAGCACCCACAGGCTCGCTGGCCATTCCTTCCTTGTGTAATGGAAGATGAAGAGAGCTTCAACTTGCATCCACCTGCAGCACAGCACTTGATCAACAGCCACTAGAGTAACGGCGTTCATTTGGCACAAGGCTGAAATGCAGGAGGCTGGCCCACCGAAACACCACGATGAGATGCCTGGTTGACCATCTCCCTTCACTGCTTGCTCTGCTCCAAAGTCAATGCCATCGTTTTGCTCTTTGAGCCGCGGGTGATTTGCCAAACAACCCGTCGTGCGTGGCTTAGATGCGCTATGAGTTGCGCTACACTGGGGAAAGCTAAACGCCATCACCACCGGCTCAGTGGATCCGTGGCTGCACCATCGAGAACAGCCCCAGGAGACCCTCGCACATGGTCGGATGTGTGATCACCAACCCGGCAATCTCTTGGTATCCCACTCCCAGCTTCATCGCCAGTTGTACCACCGGCAGCATTTCCCCGGCAGATGGTCCCAGCGCTGTAAAACCCAGGATTCCATTACCATCCGCCTCAATCAGGGCCTTTGCAAAGCCTCGCGTGTCACCCAACGTTCTGGTTCGCAAAAACGCCGCCATTGGCAATTTCGCCAGCCGGTATTTTATTCCCTTGGCCTTTGCCTCGTGCTCGTGAAGACCGACATGGGCCAACTCCGGCGACGTGAAGAGCGTTGACGGCACTTGTCGACCTGAAGTGCCTTTTGTCTTGGGTGTGCCTATTAGGTACGAGTACACTATACGAAAGTCATCGAAGCCGATGTGGGTAAAGTGAGGACTGCCAGCGCAATCACCAACTGCAAAGACACCATCGGCTGTAGTGCGCAATTGTTCATCAACCTGGACGTGGCCAATTGCCGTCAATTTCACGCCTATCTTCTCCAGACCAATGCCTGAAGTGTTGGGTGTACGTCCAGCAGCAACCATGAGGTGGGAGCTTTTGATATGTTGCAGTTCACCTTGGGGTAATTCGACCGAGAGCTGCACTCCCTGTCCCGATATGCCTTGAACTTCAGTGACGCGTGCCGATGTGATAAAGCGTATTCCTTCCTCCTTGAGAACGCCCAACAGCGCGTTGACGACGTCTTCATCCTCATTCTTCAGTATCTGTTCATTATGTTCAAGAACAGTGACTTCAGATCCGAACCGTTTAAATGCTTGCGCAAACTCTAGAGCGACATACCCTCCTCCAATGATGACCAGGTGGGCTGGAAGTTGCTCAGAATCCAAGATATCGATATGTGTCAGTGGCTTCGCCTCCACCAGCCCCTTGATGCTGGAATCTATGGTCGCGCGAGAGCCAGTGTTGATGACAATGGTGTCCGCAGTCAAGAGTCTCCCAACATCAATTTGGATGGTCTTTGGTCCAACAAATCGACCCTCTCCACTAATGAGTTCAACGCCAGTTTCCCTAAACTTGCCAAGATGCATGTCGACTAGTCCATCAACCATTTCCACTTTCCTTCTCTTGACACTTGCAAGGTCTACCTTAAGGCTATTATTGCTTTGGACATACGCACCCAGGCCGTACGATTGCGCCGAACGAAGATCGTGAGCTACGTTCGCTGAGTGCAAGAAGTTCTTGGAGGGCAGACAAGCAATATTGGGACAGGAGCCGCCAATCCACTTCCTCTCGATGACAGCGCATCTCTTGCCCTGGTTGGCTGAGAGGTTCCAAGCTATATATTTGCCCGCTTCGCCGCTGCCAATGGAGATGTAGTCGAAGTGTTCAGGAGCAGACATTATGATGTTCAGTACGCATGACTCTCTTTTGCTTGGTATTGTATCGTCGGCTTACGAGCTTCAATGCTCTAAGTGATTTATCAAATACTCAGAATCCCAATTTGCAGCACGTCGATTTCTTCGCCAAGTCAAATCCTTTATAGACTTATTAGATATCACTACTTTCCCTTTTTGGCGATTCTGAATGACTAAGTCACAACTGCATCGCTTACTCATCGAAGGCACACATAATTCTCTCACAGATAGAACCATCCGCCATCGTATGATCTATGGTAGTTATTCACTCTCTACATCGTCGATACAGGTAATCTATCGAAACTTGAATTTTACTTTGAGGCTTTGTTGGTATCCCAAATGCTTGACATAGTTTGATACGTCGTAGATAAACCGGGATATGACAATCCAAGAGATATACGCGTGAGGCAAAAGCGCACCTACCCAAGCTTTAACAAATAGATTGCAGCAACCAGCGCATGGTCGTTATAGAGCAGCGACTAGTACATTCATTCTCAGACATTACTGTTCGGAGCTCACGAAGAGAGAGATTAGAGTATATTTGGGCTTCATCTTGTTGCTTAGCCTAGTAATTTTACACAAACCAACATCTCAGAAGTTCTGATAACAAGATTTTCAACGATAATTTCCTCATGCTAGCTGTCTCACGTTGATAATCATAGTACACTGAGTCTCTTGTGAGCAGTGCTTGAGATGAGAACGCTTCGGCCTGGCAAAGGTACAGGCTGAAATGCAAGATATCTTGGCTTGATTCAATGACCCACCTGCCTTTGATTCCAACCCTGGTTGTGAGTGGACCATTATACGCGACGAGAGTTCTTCCAGCAGCTAGGGCTTTGCACTCAAAGATGACATCAAAAGAACAGAACGCACGGTTGCCTAGACCTTGGAAAGTCAGTATATGCTTGATATTATCAACGGAAAACCGAATGCACCCGATGGTAGAAGGATCAAACGACGTGCAGCTGTCATTTACATTGACAATAAGCTGACCTAAGACGCGCAAAGATTCCAAAGCTTGTCTGAACTTCAGCTAGCAACTTACGGGGCTGCAGTCCACGCGCAGTGCGTTGCACTATCAAGTAATTGTATTGGGTGAAAGCTCGTGTAAGTCACTCGATCTCCGAGGCACTCTCGGCCCCAGCGGATCCGTAGACTCGACGGATCCCCGTATGAAACACAGCCGGCTCTGCATCCGGCACGATTGGAGTGCGGGCAGAGAATCTTACTCGATACCTGGACTGCCGATGAGGATACCCGATAGTAGTAGAGTTTGGGGTAGCTGGGCCAAGAATGTGGGGTTTTGAGGTGGCTGCACGAGCATCGGCTACTGACAAAGGCAAGTCGACGTTTATTAGTATTCCTCGCAATGTGATGGGTCCGTCCGGCAGCGCTATTTAGACCGCCTTCTGCCGTCCAATTTTTGTCAGACTTGGGAAAGCCACCGCGCGTACACGGAAAAACCTTCGTGTATTGCTTCAACAATGGCAATAACTTCGTATTTATTTAGCCCTTGGGCTCTCCTTGCTGCTCCCGTGCTGCTATTGTCTTGGTATCTCTATCCGTATTTCGTAATATACGGCCAATTGCGAGACATACCAGCACCATTTCCTGCCCAGTTCACCAACCTCTGGTTGCTTTCTGTCTGTCGACGCGGCAAACGGTTTGAAATCGTGGACAAAGTGCACAAGAAACTCGGCCCTCTTGTGCGAATCCAGCCAAATCACATCAGTGTCGCCGATGATGAGGCTATCCAGGTGATTTATGGCCATGGAAATGGATTCTTGAAAGCGTGAGACTATACAACCAAGAGGACCAACGTATGGACGCTTATTCTAGCAGTGATTTCTACGATGCTTTCGTCTCTATCCAACGCGGTCTCTTCAACACGCGGGATCGTGCTGAGCATACACGCAAGAGAAAGATTGTCAGCCATACCTTCAGTGCTAGATCAATCTCGCAATTTGAGCCGTACATCCATGAGAATCTGCAGACTTTTGTCCAGAAATGGGACGAGTTGATTGCCAACGCTTCAGGTGAAGCTCACATTGACTGTCTCAAGTGGTTCAACTACCTCGCATTTGACATCATTGGCGACCTCGCGTTCGGAGCGCCATTCGGCATGCTGAGCACTGGAGCCGATATTGCCGAGGTAAGAAGCAGCCCGGACGCTGATCCGATCTATGCTCCAGCAATAGAGATCTTGAATAGGAGAGGAGAGGTCAGCGCGGCACTGGGTTGCTTTCCTGGCCTCAAACCCTATGCGAAGTGGCTTCCTGATCCATTCTTCAGCAAGGGCTTGAATGCTGTGCAAAACCTAGCAGGTATTGCTATCGCCCGAGTGAAAGGAAGGCTGGATAATCCACCTGCGATCAATCGCAAGGACCTTCTGGAACGGCTGATGGAGGGACGTGATGAGAAAGGCGAGCCTCTAGGCCGGGAAGAGCTGACCGCTGAAGCTCTTACTCAACTCATTGCTGGGTCAGACACCACGAGTAACTCATCTTGCGCACTCTTGTATCATGTGGCACGAACGCCGGGAGTGTTAGAGAAGCTACAGGCCGAAGTAGATGCCGCGATTCCTGCAAATGTCGAAGTCCCCAGCTATGACATGGTTAAAGACTTGCCTTACATGCAATCAGTCATTGACGAAGCACTACGCTATCACTCCACATCTGGAATCGGTCTTCCTCGCCTCATTCCAATGGACTCCCAGGGTATTCATATCCATGGACATTATTTCCCTCCTGGCACGGTTCTGAGTGTGCCTACATATACTATTCATCATTCCAAAGAAATTTGGGGGCCCGATGCTGACGAGTTTCGCCCTGAAAGGTGGAATACTGTCACATCTCGTCAAAAGAATGCATTTATACCGTTCAGTCACGGGCCGAGAGCATGTGTTGGCCGTAATGTGGCCGAGATGGAGCTGAAAATGATTGTGGCCACTTGGGCAAGAAGATACAGAGTGTCTCTCCGCCAAGATTACATGGACACAAGGGAAGGTTTTTTGAGGAAGCCTCTAGGATTGGAAATAGGCATAGCCAGACGGTAGTGGCGTTTAGCAAATAAGGTGATCAGGTTTTCATAACAAGAATTTCTCGTAACGGTTAGCAATATGTCTGGTCATGCAACATATAACGAGACCTAGGCCAGGCCCTCTTTACAAGCCAGCGATTGTCAAATATATAACATCTCGCAGCTTGAAATGAATTGCCTGTTAACGTCCTAGAGAAAGCTGACGGATTCATTTCCCAACAACTATTCACAGCTTAGAATTCGAGATACCCACAGCCATAAATAAGTTTCTCCTCTTCTCCTCCGCCAGAGTGAAAAACGTTAATTTTTAGAATGGTAAAATTACTCAGTATTAAGAGTCGTAATACTTATCAAGCTTTCGAATACTCCGCTTATTACTATAGGTCTATCAACTTCTATACAGATAGTAAACCCTAGTTGAGGAGGTAGTGATACCCTTGCTGAACTAATACTTATTGCCCTAGCACAGCAGTAAGCAGGTTCGAAGTGCGCGAGGGGTGGTCGAACGCACTCTACAGCTCAGAGAAAACACAACAACTGCAGAGCAGAGAGTTTCACTATACAGTCCAATCTTGCCAGTGCATTTCGCCAAGATGTACGAAATTACGTTAGCCATTGGCAGATGGCCATTTTGCCACCTGACACTCATTTCCAGATATCTCATGCATGTCGTGAGTGGTGATAAGACTGTCTGAGCTCTTCAACGGGATATCCCGTCCACTCAGGTGTTGGGAATTTAACGCCATCCGCCACAATCCTATCCTAGTGTCTGTATTTGGCACCAAGAATTCAAATCTGAAACTTCATTTACATGCTTTTGGGATTCGATGACTGGCTTCACTCGACTTGTAAGTGGTATGCAAAGTTATGCACTTGTAATTTCTGCCATAAGGCCTGATTGGTGAAATATGAGCCAAGCTGAAGTTTGACGTCTTGGAGCAAATGCAGTATACCACACCCACCTGACGCCCTACTCAAGCGCCTCAGCCCTATCAGCCAAGAAGACCGCTCTAGAGACGCCACGGCTCAACCGCAAACCACCTATGACCAGAGGTGTCTACCGGTTGCTGCCTCTCTGCACTAGCGACCGGACAACAACTCACCCGTACAGGAAGTGGCTGGCTGGGCGCCCGGACAATGGCTTTCAAAGCCCATCGGTAGTTATTCAGCAGACATGCCGGGCAAAGTGCATGAACAACTTGCAGAACCGAAGGTGTGTAGGAAAAAGTTCCAGACCGACTATTACACTTCTTCAATGATCCTGAAGCCTTCCCCAGACTTCAACTCTTCAGATCCAGAGTTACGGAGGCTTTTCAATTCAGCTCGCCATCATGCATGCTCACGAACCTTGTGCTGGTGGTCTAGGCCATTGTTGTTCAGCTTGTTGAAAGCCGCGGTGGCTTGGAGGGACTCAATGCTTGGACATCTGTTGACGATGATTTGCTATGCCGCGTTCATAGAAGACTATAAAAACGCCATTGATTCCACAAGTCCACATGCTTTACAGGGGCTTTTCCAGTCGTTTTAATCTTTACGGCCTTGTCTACCAGATCAAACTCTTGTTGATAATAAAAAATTGCGACTTCAAACACTCTCTGTCATGGCTCCAGTCACTTATTACCCTCCTCGTTTTCAAGAAGTTAAGGTTAACCCCCCTAAGTTCTTCACCAATGCCCGGAACGATGGCAACTTGCCATCATGTTGGTTCGAACTATATTACAATGGGAGAACCCTGAAGTACACAGTCGAAGTTTTCGGCGAAAAGGAACAACCATCTTCTGGATTCCCCTTGTACATTGGCTTACACGGTGGCGGAAGTGGTGCCTTGAGCGGGAATGACGGTGCATGGAAGGACGTTGCTGAGCGTTTCTATCGCACCCCTGTGGCCGACTATCACAAAGGGTCAAATGAGTCAGCGGTTCTCGTCTGCCCCAGAGGCATCTCATCTCTTGACTCAGACGGCAATTTGGTCGATACGTGGGACCTTCACTTCCAGCCTGAAGCATGTGTTCTCATTGAGGCCATGCTAGTCAATCTCTTCAAGCCATTTCCGTCCGACTCGGACCTTCAAGGCTGCTTAGCCGACTATCCCCAGCTTGCCAAATATCAAGTCTCGGGCGCGGCCGATGGGGTCTTCGTCAACCCTAATAGGGTATATCTTTGGGGTTTCTCGGCGGGAGGAGACGGGGCCTTCCGGCTCGGTACCAAGATTCCTGATCGCTTCGCTGCAGTCGTTGCAGCAGCAGGTCACCCTGGAGAGACCCGTTTTACCAATGCTGCAAACGTGCCGATGCTGCTTGAAGTCGGTGAAGATGATTGCTACCCTCGGCCCAAAAATCTATATGAACCCATCAAATGGCAACGAGCAAAAGTCTACCTGGAATCGGCTCAGAAGGCTTTGTATGGCCTACGCCAGGACCTAATGAAGCAGAAAAGGACGGGTATTATCAATATGCCTGCTATGTCGTCAAAAATGCCCGTCGCTTCAGTGCCAACCCTGATACACCCCACGGCTACTGGTCTCAGCCTGATACAATCAGCACTGAGCAGGATGTCCTTGCGCCTGGTTTGGAGAACAACAATGAGGGCGTGAATAACTTCACCAACTTTGATAAATGGCTCAAACAGTATGCTATGGTTCAACCGCCGCCAGCTCGGTTTAGCTCGGCATGCGCATCCTACGAGAGCAAGGTCATAAACCCCATCACTGACCCGCTGGTCCAGGGTGTTGAGCGACGAGCCACTCCAGGAATGGTAACATGGGACCTGGACTGGCGAGCAGAGCAACCGGAGACGAACACAAAGGGACGATTCTTCTACTGGATGTACCTTCGGGCCCCTGACAAGATTCAGGAGCTGAGTGCAACATCCAGAACCATGAAGGCCCGCATTGACGCAGGAGACAGCGCCAATGTTCTGCGTATTCTCACTCCAAATGCCCACATCGGATACCTTCTCAAAGACCTCTGGCTATGGAAACGCATTTCTGTCTTTGTTGGGGAAGATACTACACCTATATGGACAGGCAGTGTCATAAGGCAGCCCAAGATTGAACAGGAGACGTTGAGTGCAAGGGGAGATCCAAATCTCCAATTCTCAGCGATGCTCTATCTCGAGGAAACAGATGATGGTGGCTGGGATGTGAAGCAAGCTGCATCGATCGATGACCCAATACCTCCTCCAACAAACCCTCTACCGTGCCAGTGTCCAGTTCATATGGCACTCGCTAGCATGGACTTCGCTACGAAATTGCAGCACCCTGTTCTTGTCAATGGATTTGGGCCCCCGTCGAGGCGCTTTTAATGAAGGAAGAAAATGACCGGGTTTCCACCCTGATGTCGTATACGATTCATGAAACGAGACATATGATAATGCGGATTAGGAAGAAACAAATGATGAGTGATACGCAAAGATTTTCCTGTCATTACTGAAGCCGAGAGGTCGCACTTTTATTTAATCAATCTACATTCATTCTTTTTCTCCAGAAGTTGATCAATTGAAGCTTGTTGTAAGCGTATAAATACCACATAGTCTGAACATCTCACGCTCTGCATGCCAAGTCATGATTGAAGAATAGCCAGTATCAACTTTCCTAGACACACACAAACTCACCAATGATCAATGGGCAAGAGAAGGTGAAGAGATAGAGGAGCCGGTTCATTGCCGACTCGGCCACCCAATCCGGGTGCTCATCAGTGATGATAGTCCCCACATTCAATTGCCCCGCCGCCTACGTACCACAAACCACAAACCCGACTCAAGGGTAAAGGTAACGGTAATAAATAATGTGTTAAATGTTTAACGTTAGCGTTAGCGTTCAGATGGCCCAAGGCTAGCCGACTGACTCCGCTGTTGGCTTGCTTAGCCGTACCGCATTTCGGACGCTCACAGACCAGACAGACGCCCCTTCGCTCACCCACACGTCCACACTCACACACAAGCACACACATCCGGATCTCGGTCGGCATCGCCAGCATCAGACTCACCAGAACAGAACGACTAATCAATCGCCGCATTCTCCTTCTTCGGCTCCGGAACGGGTGCTGCTCCGCTCTCCAAGGAACACGCGCACGCGCACGCAATTCTCGGCCTACTTACGGAGCCTCCCGCTTCGCCGGGCGACCGGTGCAAGGCCGTTTCGCTTGTTCATTCGAAGTTGCGCCTCGCATTGGATTGGACGCGACTGCCGGACTGGAGAAAAATCCCCCGCCTCAATCACCCCGAATTTGAACGCGGCTGGGGTTTTCTGGATATCTCAGCCTCATTGCTTTTGTCTCAAAGCCTCGTCGCCTTGCCTAACCCTGCCTTGTCGTCTCCTGGTCTCCTGGTCTCCTGGTCTCCTTGGTGGTCTGGTCTGAGTCTTGTCAGCGCCCGCCGGACACGGGGTCAGGCATATGAACACTCCCAATCCGCCCAAACGCACCTCCAACACCTGCGTGACCTGTCGTGCGCGCAAGGTTCGCTGTGATGGGCACCGCGACGTCTGCAACAACTGCGTCCGCTTGGGCTTCACATGTTCCTACGATGACACCGCCATAGGCTCCGGTGTCCTCGAGACAAGTGATCCTCCCCGTCGCCGCGTTCGCCAGGCCTGTCTCAGCTGCCATTCGCGCAAGGCGAAATGCAGTGGCACCATGCCAAAGTGCGACAGATGTAGAGCCCAGGGGCTGGAGTGTGTCTATCGTCCCTCCAAGAGGTCTCGCTTGAGCACCACGCCTGGCATTGGTGCTCACATCGGGGACGCTTCTGCTCTCGAGGGCGGCGGGAATGGCCGAGCGGGCAGAGATGACTACATGTCCGATCACAGCCGAAGCCTCTCTGCCGACCATGTCGACCTGCACAGGGGACACACGCCCATCAGCGGCCTTCGCGACCTTCCGGCGCCGGACGAGGCACTCATCCTCCGGACTTTCGACAACTTCTTCAGGCACGTGCATCATATCCCAATGTTCGGCTTCCTTCATCGCGCCTCCCTTATGCAGCGCTATCACGGCGGGATGATGGACCGGACCTTGCTGCTTTCGCTGATTGGTATCACTTCTTTGCTCACCGATCTCGGCCCAGGCATTCAGGAGTATGGTAAAAGATGCGTTGATGTTGCTGAAGCTTTAGTCCTGAGCGACTTGCAACGGCCGACCGTGCTCAAACTTCAGGCGCTGATATTGATCATCAAGCATCGCATCTTCTCACGGCGCTTCTCCGCCGCCTTTATGCTCACTTCCCTCGCTGCCCGCTTCGCTGCCGCCCTACGCCTGAATCATGAGAATTCCAAACTCTGCTTTCTTGCCCAGGAGTCCCGGCGGCGGCTCATGTGGGCGCTATACATGTTGGACACTGTCACCGCAGCCGGGAACGCAGACTTTTCGTTGTGGTCAAATCGCCCCGAGGCGATCCACATCAAATTGCCTTGTAATGAGCGCAACTTCGAATACGACCTGCCTGAGATGACCGAACCGCTCCAGCCGCCGCCTCCGCTTCCCGACGGCAGCCTTGCACCACTGCCGGATGATATAGGCTTTCTTGCTTTGCATATCCGTATTGTCTGGATTAGAGGGCGCATCCTGTCTTTCGCCAAGAGCATGCTCGGTCGACCGCCTGACCCCGCTGAGCTAGCAATGCTCCCCGCGCGATGTCAGGCACTTCAGGCAGAATTGGATGCGTTTGAGAACCGATTGCCGCTGTCTTTTCGCTGGTCCGAGAGCAATGTGAGGCTCAGAACATATTCACCACGCTTGTGCGTCTTCGTCATGACCCATGTCTGGTTTAGACAATGTCACTGCGACCTGTATCGCATAGGCCTAACAGGCATGCGGGAAAGCATCTCCTCGAATGCCATCGATATGCTAGATCTTGAATTCGTCAAGAACTGCCAAAGACAGTGCTACCAGCATGCTCGCGCCATGGCTGATATGTTTGCCTTGCTCCTTCAGCTCGATAAGGGGGTGCCCCTGAGCGATCTCGACCTTCCCGTGTGCACCTACCAGTGCGCAAGAATGCTTTATTACAGCCTCGAAACGAACACCGAAGACCTGACTATTACGGGCGAGAGCGTGCACGAGATGGCTGGTGTCTGCTTGAAAGTCGCCAAACAGTGCACACCAGGCCCAGCCGCAGCAGCCATGGTAAGCTTTCATGCCATTCACATCCAAAAACCCCCTATTCAATCAAAGCATGCAACGCTAACGGATAAACTAGCGCGACGGCCTCGAGAAGCTCATGGCCCAGGGATGGTCACGGCGCACCACACCAGCGCCAAGCAGAGCCATCTCACCTGCACCTCGCACGACCGGTGCCCTGACAGACGACGGCTCAGTAGCAGTCGACCCGCTGCTCTCACGCGACGCCCTGCAAGATGCGGACGTCCCTCACCCCCTAAGGAATCCAGCCATTCCGCAGAATCAGCAGGAGTCGACTGCTGCACAGACCATGGATGTGGAAGAGCCACCACCCATACTACCTCTTCGCGACGATCAGTCAACCATCCGTGATGCCGTCATGTCCAATGACACGTCGACGAGCAACATCAGCAATGCCTTTGAAGGGGCCCTTGATGGTCTTGACTTTGGCGTGGATCCTTTTGGTATGGATAGCATGAGCTGGTACACAAGCACCTGGATAGACCCGGAGACGGGGCGGCCACCGGACGGGATGTTACCGCCCGGCATAGGATGAACGGCAGCCTGATTTGTCGTAAACTTCTAAAAGTTGGTGTATAGAAACTTGTTACCAAATTTGTGGACATTGATCTCTCGACAAAAGGGGTGAATTCGTCGCACCAACTTTCTGGACCTGCAAGTGCAAGCCACAGCTACCTGTGGTCGACGTAACCTCTCGAGGAGGCAGTGAACAAACTTTACTGGCATTTGTTAGTACATACAGCAACTGGCGAACAGTTGCACATAGCCAGTTGCAGTCGATAGAAAGTACAGTACATACATACCACTTTAAGCCTTGAGAAGCTGTCAGAACTTAAATTCTGGCATCAAATTTTTGCGACATTGAATTAAGTATTAAGGCGTGCATGTCAGTATAGATAATTATTCTACAGTTACAGTTGAAATTTACAGCGCTGTTGATGGCGAGAATAATCCACAAAATGACACCATCAGCTAGCTTGTCCAGCGCTAGCGAATCACCGGAGCAGCGGCGTGTGCTCGCCGGGCTCCGCACCGCCTCCAGCTGCAGCCTCGCTCTCCCCGGCCTCCTCCTCGGCGGCGGCCCTTAGCCCCGATGCTGGTGTCTGCGAGTCCGGAGCGAAGGCACCCTCCCGATAGACCCAGCCGACGCAGATCCCTGCGCCGGGACCAAAAAGTATGGAGACAACCATCATGACGATCGCGACCTTCCACCCGGCCTCGACGAACACCCAGTACAACACCGTGATCATGATGAAGAAGACATCAATCTCGATGAATTTGCCCGTAGCACGCGTCATCTCCTTCCGGTCGTCGCCCTGGAAGACGCTCCAGATGAGCAGCCAGTGCGCCAAGACCGAGCACACCACGGGCACGGCATACATCGCCAGCAACGAGGGACGGTGCGATTCGAGGTGCAGGCTGGCACCCAGAGAGCTGGTCCCCAGCTTGACAATGGCAAATCGCACTGCCTGCCGAATGACTGAAACGTAGATGGGGAAAAAGAGCCACACAAAGATGACAACTGACGAGTCCAGAATGAGCATGAGCAAACTCGGCAGGACGAAGCCAATGCTCACGGCAACAGGAATGGCGACAACCTCGGCCAGCACGCCTAGATGGCGCCGTGCTGCGCCAAACGTCGGGTCCGTGTCCGTCACCTCAGCATCGGGCTCGCGGCCGGCTTCCCGCGCCTCGAGGATCTGCTTGCTGCGGTGAAAGAAGGCCGGGATGATGACGAGCTCCCAGACCAGGGCGCCGCCGATGAGGTTGAAGACGAGCCACGCGCCGGTCGGGTACGCGATGAGCACGCTCGGCCCGTTGGCGATGCGCGCCGACTCGACGAGGTTGACGGTCAGCAGGCCGCCGATGAAGACGAGGATGTCGGCCATGGCGGCGAAGGAGCGGGCCGAGGCGAGGGCCTCCTGGAAGAAGGAGACGAGGAAGCAGGCCGGCGAGCCGAGCAGGGGGATGTGGCTCAGCCATGGCACGCGGCTGCGCGAGTGGCACTGCGAGTACAGCAGCGCGATGTTGACGTCCGAGTGCACAAACAGCACGATGCCCGTCAGCGCCGCGAACAGGATCGGCGGTAGAAGTAGGTAGTGGTAGCTGAAGATGTGAATCGGGGTCGGCCTCTTGCGGCCGGGCTGCCCGTCCATGCCGGCTGTCTATAGGTGCCCAAGGCTTAGGTGATGGTGGCTTCAATCTTGAATTGGTTGGTCCTTATCGACACGCCTCTCTTTGAGCCCTTATGTCGCAGCACACTTTGGCGATGCAAAGTAAGTGCTTTTTCGGATGCATCGAAGGATGTTGTTGAATCCCAAGCTTGGTCCATGTCAGATGTTTCGGTCGGTCCACAAGGTCCATCACGTGTAGGCGGCCCGATGGTGGGTCAGCAGGTGCCTTTCCGACTGCTCTTGGGGATGTCACCCGCTAACCCACCCGCCTAAGCCACCTTCAAACCCCTGCTCACTGCCTAACCAGGCAAGATAAGTTGAGCATTCCCGGCATTTCGTGATAGACCACGTTATCACTTCGGTAGAGAAATGAAGAAAGGATGGTCTCTTGTTTCTTCGATCTCTCGCCGTCTATATAGAGTCTTCTGGGGTTACTCTAAGTCCCTAGATAGGTCGAAGGAAGAGAGCATGACTTGTGCTCATATATTGGCTTCTCACAAGACAATTGCCCCTGAGACATCGTCTCCATCAAGACTCCGAACTTGTCAATTGAAGTGTCGCAGACGATTCCATGACAAATTGTTATCCATAACTCTTGAGTTTTCAATTACAGGAATAGTTTATTGCAGGATATTTACTCAGCGACTGAAATATCACCTGCTGTCAAGCGCTCAAGATGGCAGCAGTTTTGTTGCTAGGTAGAGTGAAGGTTCTTGATCTCTAATCTTGGGTGGTGATTGCGGTTTTCTCTTCTTTCGCTTCACGTGGCGAGCTCGTACAAATATGTATTCCTTGAAGGATGAATATCAAGTGGAAAGAAATAATAACGCCTTAAAGCAACGTGAACTGAGCATGCCCCCATGCTTAAGAGTCGGTGGCATTTACGCAATGGCAAACGCGACAAAACAGTGCAATGACTGAGCTTCCGTAGACTAAAGGGACTTGAGCACAGCATGTCTAGGTGAGCTCCAGACACGAGAACATTCAGCCATAATCAAGCCCAACAACATTTATTTAATATATAACTTCAAGGTCTTCAAATATTTTCAATGGGCTACATAACTGGTTCCGATAACAAGTAGTTAAGGCTTACGTTTACTAAAATGTGGGTATCGTACTGGCATCTTGAGTGCGAAACAAGTTTTCAGATCCTAGGCAAATCATGTCTTCGTCTCTAGTTGCGTTGTGATAAGTCATTTTGCAAGTGTGACAGAGCACTTGTTGTCGATTATCTAAGGAGCATGATGTGATCCGTTGAACAGCAGTAAGTAGTAGATACAGTATGTAGCCTGTAATCAGGACAAGATAAGGTAAAGGGTGCTCTGATTCGGGTGCCCCGGCAATGATGCTCCCTCCTGTGGCTTCTCAGCATTCCAACGCTGATGAGGTATCCTGCGACTGCCCCTCAGAGCTTGATAAGATCCTTTGTAATTGTTCGTGCCCATCAGACTGCCATTGATCCAATTGCGTCAAAGTCGGCATCATAGTGCGTCTTTAGGACCTCTTGTTGGCAGCTGGATTTCGCCAGTTTTGGAAGAAGCAACACTGGCCGCATTATGCGGCCGCAGCAGTCTACCAACTAGGATCAGTGCTTGTACTACGTCGACTAAAACATTGGTATCAGTGGTCTGGGTGTACTTTTGAGACCTGGCACTGCCTCCATACCTTGCAAGACTTGCTCAGCATGGTTGGTGTGACGGACATGTTGCAGCGTGCAGTCGCCCGGCTACTATGGTGTGAAAGTATCTCATCACTCACATAACTCCTAACCGGAGATTTTGAAATTTCTTGAATGAGCTTATAAGCAAGCTGCCGCTCGCTATCATTGCGCACCCGATAGTAGCCCTCTGGGAAGTTAGAAGCTCAGGATTTTGTACATCCAGAAGCCCCATGACTATGGCACTGTTGCCAAAGCCTCGAGCTTGTTCTTGAAGACCGCATCGACACCACTTGAACTGGCTCCATGTCTTGCACCAATCTTCAGATAATTTCCCTGTCCTTCTTTCCTCAACCTTGTTCTTGTGCCCATTTACGGATATGCCGAGCGAAACCGCCAGTTGTCCAATTTACATCTCGATTCGCCACCGCACCTGGCTTCCTGCCAACTGGCCGTGCATATCGTTCCGAAACATGGCGCTGATGATGCTATCGGTAGAAGCTCATAATCACGGGCACAAGGCAAGGATAGGCCCCCCACTGCCAGCTCCATGCTGAGACAAATGAACTTTCCGACGGCTCCAGCGGCAAATCGTAGCTCCCGCTGCTCCAGGTTTCTCAGTAATTCCTTAGCAGTTGAGCCTCATTGTAACCACGCGACGTCCCAAAATAGGCTGCGTTTTCGCTCGGGCTGACTGACGAGTCCGTGAGCACATCCAGCTCCATGATACCACCATGACGGAATATCTAGAAGCGACAACGCCTCGAGTTCACTACTGCCAATCCAGCATGACAAATGGATGTATGTCTATCATATGCAGCTTCTTGATGGTTTGTTCGTGGGCTAAATCACGCATAGCTGCTTGTCACTGGCTCATTGGACGATCTACATAGCTTCGAGGAACTCTTTCCTGTTTTCTCCCCCAGCTACGAAGACCGATTGGCACGCCTCTATAGACCATTACGACACCATCCTGGTTTCGCGATGCATTTACGATTGGTCACAATGCAGGAAGACACACGGATCATTCCGTGGCGTCACTGATAGGGACGGCCCCCCACGGCTCACATACCGCGGGAGGAGACCGGTGAAACAGCATTTTGAGCTATCTATCCATCGTGGATGGAATGTTCCAAGAACGTTGCGGAACCGACAATCGAGTTGATGCCTTAGAAGCAATTAATTGGTGCCGTCCTACAGGGCTTACTCTTGTGGTATTCCTGGTAGACACAGGTCATAACAGGGTGGTGTTGCTCAGTATTATCCTCGCTCCACGGGGACAGAATTCCACTACAACTACGAGGCCCGTCACAAACAACGAAAATGAAATAATTGTCAGAATGATTAATCCTCTCCTGAGCGTTCGTTGGTGCTGGCGATGACACGGGGTTCATATCTAGGTATGAACAATGGAGAGCATTGAAAAGGGGGGCCGGATAAGGGGCTGCAGAGGCGTCCCGGCTTACTCGGCACCTCACCGGCTCAGACCCATTGGACTTGGCATTTTGTTGAGCCGCATTTCGGTTGCAATGGCCCTTGGGTCCTGATGCACAAGGGAATCCCAGCGATCGCCATGGCACGCTGAACAATTGCCAGTGCAGTCCCGATCAGTGGCAGCATTAGCCGGCGTGAACCGCACGGTACAGGAATTGCAGCAGGAAACCCGAACTAATGGAGATATTTGCATGGTAATATATATCGTTTGTCAAAGAGACCCGGCACCTTCGAACTGTAATGCCTTTACGCCAACAATTAATGTTGTAACGCAGGGGTTGATTTATTACCCCTGTCCCAGCATGCTTTGACATGAAGTACGATTCCAAGTTCACCATAGACCCCGGCAGTTCAGATCGAGATGTTTTCTTCTACAGAGAAAGTCGGTAAATCTTGAGTCATATACGTTTATGTTGCTAACACTTTTAGACGCGAAAGCAGTCCAGTACACATTATCCGAAGAGTACTCCGTATAAAGGCAGCACCAAATCAACAAAATCAACGAAGAGCTCCTCGAGTTATACTCCACACAGACTTTCGTTTCTCTTTGTTGTAAACGAACTCCGCCCCATCTTCGATCCCTACGCAGAAAACTACTCTGACCAATGGGGAAACATCCTACCCCCCAGCAGTCCTCTAAATTATGGAGAGGAGACAGTAGGAGCCGTTTATCGCTATGCCGACGGCTTAGTAACTCCGGCTGAAGGATATAGGTGGCATCGCCCGGATAACGGCGTCCAGGGTTATATTGCATATGATGTACAGACTGAAGATGGGAATTCGATGAGACCAACACATTACAAGACACAAACGGCCTTTGCTTGCTCACCGCTACTACCTCTATTGGTCGTAGGGACGGATCCATCTGCGACCTCAACAATCTTTCGCAGTGCTTGTCCCTGTGGGCGCTTTGATCGGTCAACGAGCGCTGAAGACGGTGAAGCTAGTATGTTGTGGTCTCTGTTGCACTTTTACCATCCTTCTGCACCGCTTCGTGGTGTCTCACAAGCATCTCTTGGAAGCACAGGAACGGCCTTCGTTGCAGGGAGGGATGCAAGCTGGATACAAGCATTGATTCCCCGCCCTTTCCACAATTCACGTCAAGACACTACCATGCCTCAAGCTGTCGGACTTTCTGGTGAATTGCCTCTTGTCATTGCGCTCATGGCCTTTTGGGACCATAAGAATAACGGGCCAGGTGAGGTCTTCGGAAGAAATAACGGGAAATGGCAGCAACGAATGTGGAATTCCTATAGTACTGCGCATGGTTGTGAGTAAACCGGGCACTCCTAGTCCCACGGCCGATGTCCCACAACTTACTCCCATGCAGACCCAAACCCAGGAGATGATCCACGTGGCCTTCTCGTCCAGGTATGCCTGGATGACCTAGAGCACGCGGAAAGTTCAAACCCATATCTTCTAGGGCACCTCGAGTGGTGTGATGTGCTTGTTCGAGATTAAATGAGTCTTCTTTCTTGCAGGACATGATATACTCGGGAGGATATGACTAACGTCAAGAAAACACCAGTTTAAGGCTAACAGTTTTCTCTTTCCAAAACTAACGTATCAGTATTTTCCTTCACGTCACTTAGTTGTTTGATATTGTTGTAGGTCATACTGTTTTACCAACATCTTCATGACAGACATGTCATTCATGTCACAACTAGGCACTCTATTTCGGCCCGTTGTTGAAGTCTTTAGAAACCGTGCTGAGGAAGGCAATTCAATTGAGAAACATCATTAGCTTTAGCCCTGATCTGAGATCCAACTTCAATGCTTCATCTATTTCTGGACGTCATTGCGGCCTTCAAACGCTGCCACGTTAAGACCCATACCTGCTACCGAAACCTATCTAGAGGCTCTAGAAGGTGTCTTTTAGGCATATACCTATTTATACATTTTGTCAATTCAGATATAGCTGGGCCTTGAATTGATTGAATAATATACAGTCATTTGCCTATTTTTCTTGTGGCTTACATATTAGAAGAGGGAGTCTCAGGGAGTTACTTCTCTTTAAACAAATCTTTGTGGCTACAATTCCCTAGATTAGATTGGACCCAAATCTCAGGCAGGGCAATGCTACTCATAAATAGCTGATTATTCGTTGTACACCTCAGATGTATGTGATCAGGGTGACGAGGCCTTTGACAACATCTTCACCTGTGCTTTCATTGCTTTTTAAGCTTGACATTTACCGTCGCTTTGACGATATGCTGACCGCTCCATATTCCCTAATCTATCATTCACTACACGATCGCCAGGCATCTAGTGGCCATCGCCTTAACTTTCGTTACTGAGGATCCAGTTCGGCGTGTGCCCATCGTCGTAAATGGCGCATCATCACCTTAGGGAGCCCACCTTAGGGAGCCAGGCTGACTTGGTCGTATCCATTTCATACCGCATCCGGCAATCTTACAGCAATATCTCCCGACTGTGTGATATATCGAACCCACGGTAGAGAAGGGTATTGCAACTAGACCTTGTTAGCACTATAGCATTGCACTTCTGTGAGAATGGATCTTACCTTTGGTTCTGTGATTTTCAAGTATCGCACCTGAATTCCACTCGTAGTAAAGTACGGAATCTCGAATTTGACCTGGATCGGTCGCTTGGCTCCTTTGCCGGGTGCACCCACACCGCCCATACTGCCACCAAAGCCGCCCGTCATACCGCCGCCATGCTCATCATCACCCCTTACACTCGGTAGTCCTAGTTCTGCCCTCATCAAAAATTCCTTGTTGCCGCCAAACTGCTTGATCTTCCAGACAATGGCGCTCTGCTCAGGGGCATAGTGCACACTGCCGATGTTCGTCCTGAACCTCGGAGTATCCGCATCATCCGGCACAGGCACGATGATCTCGACGTTGTTGGCCGTGCTGCGCCTCTTGAACTGGGCTCTGGCCTTCAGCATGTACTCGACACGGCTCCCGCTATGCGACTCCACTACGCATTCGACCCAGATCAACGGTTTCACTTGCGTGTTGAGGCGATAGGACATCAACTCGAACTCGCCGTCGGGGGGGATGAAGGAGATGGTTCTATCGTTCTCGAACCGCGATAGACGCACACACTGGTGGAATTTGACATCCTCCATCTCGATGGCCTTGCCGCGTGTTGTGCGGCCAGTCGTCTCGAACATGACCTTGTCGTTGAGGCCGAGCCGCAGCTCGGGCATACCGGACAGATAGCACTTCATCTTGATTGCGCCAAGAATCTCAGATCGCAGCACGTTGCCGTTCGCGGATACGAGCAAGTTGAGCGATTCGACAACGTCCAGGAACACTTCGTTCTTGCGATACCGTATGCCTTCCGAACGCCAGGAAACTGCGTTAGTGACGGCAATGGGCGGTCTTGCCTGGATCTCCATCTTGTGCGACTCTTGTGTGATGTATTCTTGTAGGATCTTGGATTCGGTGGTTTGGGGATAGCCAAAGTCCATCATCTCATCGAGCAACTCGTAGATGATGACGAAGTTGTCGCGGATCGATTCCTCCTCTAATGCTTTGAAGTATTCGGTGAACACTTCGACAACCTTGTGAAGGAATAGTAGAATCTCGGCAGCATTTGTATTGCGCTTCGTTAGGGCGAGTAGGTAAAGGTTGTTATGTCGGATGTAGAGGTACTGCACGTTCAGACGTTAGAGAGGATCCAGGAGACTGGGAGGATTGGAGGGCGCACGTTGATTCCTTCATGCGAGAAGCATGGGGGCACTGCGGAAGACTCTTCTTCGGCTTCGCTGAGGAGGACGGGGAATTTCTCGACGGCTGACATTGGGATATCTCCCCTGTAGTTTCGGGCTAGGAGGGTCTGCAGTGGTTCAGAACAGTCAGCCATGTCTCAAGGGTCGCTCGACGGGATAGAGATGAGTCTATCTACCTTGCCCTTCAAATCAAGGAAGAAGAGTGCAGAAGCCATCGTGAGTGGCCTCGAGGGCGACGAGGAGGGGCAGCAGGGAGGGATGGAGCTTCTTGATACTTGGCGCGCTGGCCAGAGGGGTCGCGAAAGGGGAGTCGAGGTGTTATCTCATGCCCCGACAAGAGGAGGCCCGATCCGCGACAGGCTCCTAATAGCCGACGTTATTTTGTGTATCAATCAAGGAAATGAGTCTTTCGCTGGGTACGAGATTGGCTGGAGAAGCTCGCCGAAGATCGTGGTTTCGGCCAGGCAAATAGATTGGGACAATTCTCACCGCACACTACACTGAGAGTTGAGCTAAGGCTCCAAATACGTACATGCCACCACACAACCTGCAGGGGGACAAGACCGTAGTGCTTGGCGGCCGCCTCCAGCTGGCAAAGCGGCACACAGCTGGCAGGCCTCGGAAGGCTTCCGGAAGAGAAAACGGCCCGGAACTAGTCACATGATTGCGTCTTTTGGTGGCCGCTCTAGCGGGCCTAAGCAGTGTGCGAATTTCTGGTGACTGGAAATTTTCTCCTTCTCTTCTGCAACGCTCCCTATTAGACAGTGCACCCCATCACCTCTGCGACGCGACCGGGGCCGGCTTCCTGCTGGCCACCAGACTGTCGTCGCCATTGATGCGGGCTTGCGATCGTGGGATGCGGAGAAGGAAGAACTCTTTGCGGTGCCATTAAGAGCTGCCCTCGTATAGCCCGATTGCTCTCAGGCGTCGACTTGTTGCGTTGGCGGTGTCAGAGGCTCCGGACATTTCATTATTCACATACACAGATCATCTGCTTGACTCTTTACCTGACAGTGACTCCCTTCCTCACCTCTGTCTGGACCGGTTTAAGGGAAGCATTTCGAGATGCACCTCAGGCTGCGAGCTTGACATTTGAACCTGTGGTAGACTCGTCTGATCAGTCCCTGAGTCTAGCCTCACTTGCCTCACATAATGCACGAGCCAGTCCCTTCTCTGATAGTAATATGTTGGCGTGTTGAGGTCCCTATTGCCGTACCTCAGGAGCCGTAAGTTTACATTCATGGTTCGAACATGTGACTTCGCGAACTGAGATCAAGATGGAATATCAAGATGATAACGCGGGTAGTGGCATTTGTATCAGCTTGTTACGACCTAATAATTTTGAATGGGAGACTGGCTCGAGACTGGGTTCTCGAAGCTACTTTCAGGTTTCTCAATTGCTAGCCAGTCTTGAGCCTTGTACCTTGCAAGGCTGTTTTACAACCGTTGATGGGTACTGAGCAATCGCTATGAATTTGGTGCCTGCATAAATAAATAGGCTACGAGCCTACTCAAAAGCTTTGGTTCCTGAATTGCTGTGCACAATGGAATCACTCCGACCCGGCCGACCCCGTATGAAGTGAATAACTCTGGATGCTCGGGGCTAGAATTTCTCCACCAAGTGCATGCATGCTAGGCAAGTGCTGTGCTTGCAATCAGAAGCAAAGCATAGCGCTAGACGGCAGGATACTGTGCTGCAATTCCGCGTCTGGTGGCTCTTACAGTGTTCCAAAAGTGAAAGCCGAGTGCCGGCTGGGCACTCTCACATGCACTGAGACAAGAATAGGAAAAACGCAGAAACCCTAGAGTAGAATGGCGGCGCTACTGCGTTGGTAGTGTCGAGGTAGGCTCCTCTGCTGGCTAGGGGCCAATGACAAGTTGAGCGGCGACCAAGGCCATCCCTGAACCAGTCCTTGGAGCATGTGACGGACGGGCAAAAATGCTGATATTCGTCAGCATTTAGTGGTCCATTATTATTGTGAATGGTGTCTCAAGAGACGGCTCTCTTGTCTGACATGTGCTGCCCCCGCCGTCTTGGGAACTTTAGGTGATCATCTCGGAGTTCCATGTGGCATTCTCGGCTGCTTGTGGGGAGTTCTTCACAACTGCTTGGGGTCAGCGCCCATTTGAGGATTGTTGATGATAATGGCGTCGAGAGACTATCAGGATGCCTTTCATATGTCATGTTCTGGCGGTTTAGGGAGGCCCTTGTCCTCCGGCACTGAGCCTGGGTCATCCTAGAGCCGACTACGACGATCTCATGCTGGAGGGGTCGTGACTTGAAGAATCGGGGGCCGATCTGCTGGCGCTCCAACGCCTGCCGGTCACTGGTTTATGGTAGACAAGACGTAGATGCGCTGTCTCGCTGTCCCCTCTCTGGTGGATGTCTTGAGGGGATCTTGTCTCTGTATGACAGAGCAGGCGTTCAGCATCGCACTCATTGTGTCGTGCCTCGGACCAAGATCCCTCGAAGTAGCCGAGCACAGATTAGCTAGGCCTCTGTCCTATGCCCTCTCTCGCTGGAAGGACATAAGCGTACGGTAAGACGGCCGTTTCCCATTGGCGTCTGCGAGAGAATCCCTCGCAGTCGAGTTTCGTCTCTTCTGCCGCATCGAGCAAGGCCAGTTGTTGGTGCTTCGTACCTACAGTACGTTGGGTGGGTGGGTTAATCATAATCAGTACTGCGTCCGATCTTGCAAAAGTCGGCCCCCACTAATAAAGGTCAGCGGCTGTCTTGCCCAAGCGAGGTGGCTCCTCCCCTAAAAGCCAGAGGCCTGGGTCCGCCCACTTTTCTGCTTTTCTGGTGTCTCCTGTCACTGTTTTACACATGCACAGGGGAGAAGGAGCGACCCTGAGCGCCTCCACCTAGGTAGGTAGCTGCTCCTTCCTCGCCCCTCCCGTCTGCTCCGTCGCCCGTTCTTGCCTTGTCTGGTCTGTGTGTGTGTGTGCATCACAAGCCAATCCATAACCTGACTGACTTCGGGCAACCATCAAATCCCACTACCCGCCCAATCAACACGGACGCCCACCACCAACTAACTCGTCTGTACAGGCAATCCTCCTCCCACCATCATCGGCTGGCTGGCTGTCTGTCTGTCTGTTGTCTGCCTTCTCTCCTTTCTTCCTCTCTTCGGCCAAGCTTCTTGTCATGTTATCGACGACATAATTCCTCTTGTTGAACTGTCATCGCTTCTTCTGAATAGCGTCTGTCTGGTCTCCGCTTGTTGCGCATTTGCATTTGCATGTGCATGTGCGGACCCGCACGGCGCAGATGACGACTTCGACTGTCTGACTGACTGAGTGCCGTTGAAGCAATCCTCTCCTGACTGCCCTGCCTCGAACGACCAACAACGTTATTATTTCTCGGCGGCAGCCACAGCTTCAGCCTGACTCGGGTTCAACGACTCGTAACCGCTCGGCGACCCTCCATTTCTCGGCCCTCTTCAGCATTGGTCTGGTATTTAAAGGAATTTCATGTTCCCCCATCGCTAGGCCGACCTCGCGCCTCCACCGCCGCCGCCTTAAATTGGAGACGTGAGACGCCCGCCGCCATCATGGAGCACAATCACATGCAACTCCCGCCTCTCGACGATCCGACTCCGCAGAAATCTATGGCGCATCATCCACCATCACAACTACCACCCTCCCTGCCCCCAGTCCTATCCTCACCGTTCAGAGACCCCTTCAGCAGCCAGACTCAGAAGGCACCCGCGATGCCATCTTACCCGCCGCCGTCCTACGCTTTCGCCCATCCGCAATCCCACGAGCCTGCCTCGTTCGCATTCCCCGACATTCCTTCAACCGAACTCGCCCCGATTCAGCTCAGCGCGCACAATGACTCCAGCGTCAGCTCATTGCCGTCTCTCTCCACCTTGACAGGCACTTCTTCTCGGAGGTATACTGCCTCGTCAGCAACTAGCGACACTTCGTACTCTGAGGCCCCCGAGCCCGCCGCCAGAGTCCAGCATTGGCCCAGCCTGAATCCGTTGACCGCATACTACACGCCGAGCCATGCCCAGGGCGCTGAATCCCCCGCGCGTATGGATCTCGACCTCGCTGCCGGCAATGGGACGATAGGGACCGCAAGTCCGGACCGCTGGCCAGAGGGAAGGGCAAGCAGTGTCAGTCTCGACGACCCAGATGTGCGCATGGCTGCTGAGGCGCTTGGGGACTTGAGAGCTGGTAAGATCTCTCTGATAAATCCAGCCTGTTTTTGTTATCTTCATCTCTTCGCCAAGTTGCTGCCATAAACGGAGACCACAATACTGACCAGATGTGCTCAGACTTTGTCTCATCTCCGCCATCCCAACACACCCCACTACCTGTCTCGCCGCCGAACAATTTTGGTACTCCAGGTCCTCCACAACCTGAGCCGCTTCTCTCGCTCCTGACCACATCCCATCCTCTTCTCGCCAAGACAATCGAAGGGACCACATCTGCATACAATAGCTCGAAGAATTTCTCACCCCGGTTCAAGACGTCAGCAGAGTACGTCGAGGGATATTTAACCCCCATTGCCAATACAGTTGGCTCAGTGGGAAGGGTCACCGGTGTTGAAGGTGGTGTCAGGTGGTTTCTTGGATCCGGCAGACGGCATCAATCGAGCGATCTGGAGTCTGGAGAAGGTGTCTCACACAAGAGGAGGAAGGTTGACCGCAGCGGCTCAAATTCGCCGGGCCGCCGTACGGATCATACAGCTCAGTCTGACCTGTATGGCTTTAGCAAAGAACGCAGGCTTTCCATGAGCACGGTCGACACATTACCGGCGTATGACGAATTCAAGAGCCCAGAGTATAGCGAAACCGAGAACAGACACGAAGTCTTGCAGACACCAGACGGTTCAGATCGACAGACAACCCCTACACCGAGCTCGAGGCCGTCCACCGCTGCGACATCAACAGCATGGCAATCGCGTTTGATAATGTCTACCTCTGGCCTTAGTATTGCTATGAGTGAAGAGAGTCTGCGTAGCCTCAAATTCTGTTTGAATTGGCTGAAGTGGGCGAATGACCACATCGGTCGCGTCATTGGAGCTCTAAAGGATACTCTAGAGAAGTACGAGCATTCCGGCGATGAGTCGGCGGACCAGTCAGCGACCGATAGAGATCATGCCATGAGCGAACTCTCAAATGGGAATGCTCATGGTCAAGGAGAGCTAGCAGCAAAGATTACGGTTTTGAAGGCAGATGTTTTGAAGACATTACAAAGCGTCATTGAGACGGTCTCTAAATACACTGGCGGTGCGCTCCCTGACAACGCAAGAGAGCTCGTGCGCCGCCACCTCACATCGCTTCCACAACGGTTCAAGCTCGCGCGTCAGATGGACTCACCTCAACAACAAGGCGAGACCACACCTCGTGAGAAAGAGCAGGAGGTGAAGGAAGGCGCGCAGCGCGTTCTGGTCCTAGCTAAGGAGGGTCTCGACATGATGTCACAAGTGAGCGGTGTTCTGGACGGCACTATCGTCTCGGCTGAGGAATGGTGCGAAAGGCTTGGAAAGAAGAAGCGAGATGAGAGGCACGCGCTTCTTAACCCCCAGACAGCACCTTTGACGAGCGTCGGTGTGGACAACGATGCCAGGATGGTGGAGTGATTCTGTGAACTTCTCTTATAGGGATTTTGAGACGGAATAATGAAGCAATGGAGCTTCAAACGTGGCGAAACATGATATCCAAAAGCAGAAATCGGAAGCCCCATGTCCTATCATCTTTGAAGGAGAACCCGAAGTTTCGAAGAGCTCCACGGTTGGGCAAAAGGAGCATTCTTATTTCAAAGCAGGCCGCTCTTCGTTGGCTGTCGAAATTCATGACGCCTATGTCTACTTTCAGATACCATTCCGTTATTGTTTTGATTTATTCTATTCCCTTAACCAATTACTTTTCAATACTTTGCACCTTTTTCTTTGTATACCTGGGGTTGTCTTTCAGGCTGTGGCGTTGACTGAAGATGGGCTGGGCAAGGCTAGACATGACGGAAGAACTTTATTCATGAAATAGTAAACTTCAAGATGCTAGTCTACTTGACATTTGTCACTAGGATGGGAGAAGGCGCCGAGGTTCTGTAGAGATGCTTATATATATGGCAATCCGATCTATTCCAGCATTCGATTGATGTAGTGTGCCATTGTTTAATGATTTGATGCTGGGCATTTGACAATATAATACGTGTTCTGCCAAAGGGTCTAGAGCTCTAAGTAATCTACAAATGTACAATCTTATTCACCTAGAGTGATTTTACACTTGTCGCCCGTAGAATTTGTTCATAACCCAGTCTCAACGCATTCGTGTTTCACAGATTTAGTTGAAACTCTTCAAACGCAAGTATGACTTCTTGGTTGCTGGATTAGCTGAGGTGTGTTCTGCTTGGTTAGAGAGATATTAAATTCCCTAATGTAGTTTTGACTTTATTATAGTGTCCTTGTAGACCAAATAAGATACATGGGTGTAGAAACCCGGGGAATACACCTTTAAATTTCATCTTTTTTATATAATGCATGATAAATAAAATCATTAGAACAGCAAATAGCTAAATACGATTATTTTCAACATAGCAATACGATCTGCCAGGTTTTCCCCACTGCTGCGAATGCTGGTGACGTTTTCAAGTATTGGCCAAAAGAGTATAGACGAGGAGTGTAGTAAGAGCGAGGCAAGTAAGCCAAGAGGCGTTGTAAATCAGCGCTGACTTAAATAGCAGCTGGTCAGAGTTTCTTCGAGGTCTGGTTGCAACGCTTGATTGTAATTGGTACACCTGCTTAGCATAAGCACCCGAATCAACCTGCAGCGACCTAGACTGGCCACCTACATCGGCGTTGCCATGTATGGATGGGGTGGCGTCCTATGAGATACCGAATTCATCAACCTCCAGCCAGCCTCTGTATTCCAGTCGCCTGCACATCATGGCTCTAGGATGGCTCACTGCGTCAATGTTTCGATATTTGAGTGGCTGCACCAATATTTTGGTCTTTGGTCGGCTGGTTATTCAGCTTCCATCGACAAGCACAATCATGGCTTCCTGGAAACCGGTGTCTATCACGATTATAATTCTGATAGCGAGTTCTCCCAACCGTACAAGTTTTCTTTCTTTCTCAATACCAAGACATGCCGGTTTAGCCTTCCCAGCCCTATCTTTGTCTCTCAAAACTACAGTTTCGGGCAACTAGAGAGCAAAGTGCTGCTCTTTTGACAGCTAAGTTATAATAGCCACCAAGGAGGTCTTCAGCAGATATGAGACCATTAAGAATACTCATAACAGTCAAAGCATGTCCAGTCATTGCCGGATGGCTGAACTGGACTGGATCTCGAGAACCAGTCGCATTCCAGCCTCAGCCAACACAATCTAGAATTGACGACACTACGGGCTGGAGTCCTCGGCCGACACCGCCCCCAAGTATAACATCAAAAGAGGATGCAGCTCTCGAGTTGCTAAAGAGAAGTTCAAAGAAGCGAGCGATTTCGAACACATGGCTCGACGAAACAACATGTGGCTGGTATATGGGACCTTCATGTGAGTTGCTGCAGTTATATCCCACTAACAGGTATATTTGATATTCATAGAGTGCTAGCTTCGGCGTGGACGTGCGCATCCGGCTACGAATGTGCGACAAACCAGGACAACGTCGTTGCCTGTGTATCAGGAACGTATTCGCCCTTTTACACAGTCTGTTTGAACCATCAGGCTGTCGAGCAGGGGGCCTGTAGCAACGCAGGACCGCAGACGGGATGCTGGTAAGTTTCGGGCCCTATATAAAAGTCTCATGAGGCGCGTCGTGCATGTTCTGGCCTTCCACTTGAGCGAGAAGTTAACAAATAATTCAGCACAGCGTCAGCATTCGGCGAGTGCGGCACTTTCTTGTGGGAGGGCGACACCCCTCGGTCCATGTATCGCTGCTTTGCAAAAGCTACCATCATACATCTAAATGACGAGCCCCAATTCGTGATCGAAGCGTCTACATCCACCACGTCAGCAACCTCTCCCTCGTCAGCAAGCACATCAAGCTCATCATCCAGTGCTAGTGCTACAACAAGCAATGGCGGGCGAGGAACAGACGGTGACCATGGCCACAATCACGGCAGTATCGTTGGACCAGTCGTGGGAGGTGTCGTAGGCGGAGTGGCAGGAATCGCAGCTGTTGCTGGTGCTGTCGCATGGCTTCTCCTGCGCAGGAGACGAAAGAACAAGATGATCGGCGGTTCAGACTATAATGCAGTCGCTCCTCGTGACCAGCCGCCATCTGGCAACCCACAACAGCCATATCTGTCGCCAAAAATGTCAGAGGTTGGCAGCAATGCGCCTACTACTTTCCCACCGACGTCCCCTTATCCTAGCACGGAAAGGGGAAGCCCTGTCTATGATCCGCGTGGTAGCTACTATGCATCGACGGAGAAGTCTGGTCATGGCTCGCCGGGGTGGCAACAGAGCGGATATTCTGGGTATGCCCCGTCTGGTCAGCCGAGTCCACAGGGAGGTTTATATCCGCCCTCACAAGCAGCAGCCGGACCAAGCCCGCCACATAGTCCGGATCCGCACCACCAGAGTATCACTGCCGAGCTAGAGTCCCCGCCAGCTCCAGCCGGACATGAAAGCAACCCTGTCGAGCTGCGTGGTTGATTTGGAAGCCAAAGACAATGGGCCATGAGGATTAGGGGGAAGCTCTCAGGACTTATACATGTTTAAGCGTCAAGCGCTAGTGATATCGAATGCTGTTTTTGTTTTCCCAAAGGGCCGTCGAAGCAAATAAGGTTGCAGGAGACATTAGATGATACAACAAGGAACCTATAAATGGAGCGCTCGAAATGAAATACACATGGCTTTTTCTTGTACTTGTAACAAAATATTCCGGTCCGCTATGTAGCCTGTGGTTGTCTGTCCCACATTCCCCGAATCCTAGCTTTACCCCAACTTACATCTTGTTTTTCAACGGGTCATTCTGCTCCTTTCGCTTCAGATAATGCATATTGACTGGCGTGATTGCATCTCCTCCCGACAGGACGGCCATGATATTGCGCATGCTCAACTCCTCGAAGCCAATGTGGGAATCAACCGTCCCTCCTGCATTGTGGCATGTGAGCATCACTCGCCCAGGATGCACACGCGGAGCATCCCCCTTTGGCGCACCGTCTACGGTGACCTCAATGCCGCTCATCCGTAGCAGACGCTTGTTGATGCGCGGCTCATCCGCATGCACGTCGAGTGCCGCCGACCAAACCGTGCCAGCTTCGAGTGCATCCGCGAGTGCGTCGGCGTCCACTAGGCTCCCTCGCGCAATATTCACGAAACGCGTTCCCGGGCGCATATGATTGAGTGTCTCTTTCGTGATAAGCGGCTTCCCATCAGCGCTGGCCGGCGTACAGAGCACCACGCAATCTGAGACCTGCAGCAGTCCCTCGAGCGTTGGGTGAAACGTCGCGCCAAGATCGTTCTCGACGGCGGCCGTCTTGCGGAAGACATCAAAATAGTGAATTTTCATACCAAAAGCCGGATTGCCCATCTTGGCCGCCAGATGCTGGCCGATATTACCAAGCCCAACGAGGCCGAGGACGTGGTTGCGCGGGTTTCTCGACTGGCCCGTCGCGAAGGCGTGGCAGGATTGGAAAAGATTATGTGCGACCTCTTCGGCGGAATCGGAAGTCGACAAGTATGGCAACGTCGCGGCAGCCATACACCAGGGCAGCTGCCGGAAGGTTGAGATGATCATGGCGACGGCGAAGTCGGCCACGGACTCGGCAGCTGCGAGCCCCGAGTTGCAGTAGATGATGCCTGCAGGCAAGTCAGCATCCTCATTTCACAGTGAATGCTCATCTGGAAAGCATGCGCCCACCTCGTTGCCCCAAGAGCTCCGTATCAGCCCAGTCGAAGCCAGCACCGGCACTCGCAAAGACTCTGACGCTGTCAGGTAGAAGCCCTATCAATTCCTCATCCCATCGTCCCATCTCCCCTCCGGTGCCCCAGAACGGCCGGAAGATGGCACTGAACTCGCCCCATCGGCGCTCTTTCAAGGCGCGCATGAACTCGGGCCGCTGCCGCTCGGCGGCGGACGGGCGGATGACATCGAAGCCAACGCTGAAGGCTGCGTAGGTAGCGGGATTATATTTGATCGGATCACCGATATGGAGCACAATTGGCTTCCTTGCTGACGACGACGGGCGCAGAGCATACGAAGTTGCGGTGGGCGAGATGCTGGGCAAAGGCGGAGCTGGAGATGCCGACCTTGGCGTTGATGCTGGCACCGGAGTGCCTGGCGGGAAGGGCGTGTTCGTCGGCTCAGCCATTGGCAATCTCGAGAGCAAAATGAGAATTTCAAGGGGCAATGAAAGGCGCAATCGCTACTCGCACTCCCCGTCTCGATCTCTGAGGATGCAAGACTGTAGAGCGAATGATCGTCCTTCCTCCTGTCACCGAATCTTGGAACGCCCCGAATGCGAAGTCGGCACTGGCGCAACAGCAGCACCTCAAAATGCCCTGAAATGCGCGCGGTGCGGGCTCGAGATAAGGTATAATGCTATCTATACTTACATGAGAGCTGCATATCGACCGTCCAGCCGCGTTGTCGCCTTATATCTATCTTTTGGACGAACCATCCATTGGCATTGCTGGTCGCACGCACACGAGCAAAGAGCGGTCACGACTAAGAGAGATACTTCGCCTGCCCTTCTTCCTCGAGAGGAAATGCCTGGCGAGCATCAGGCGTGAGCGCGGGGAAATCCGATTTCCGGACCGCAGGAGCTGGGCTTTGTACCACGCATATAGATCTCGATGAGCCATATTTCTGTCACCTATCTGACCTGATGATAATCCCGTCTTACAACGGGTGCAAACGCTGCTACCTTTGATATTTACCAAAGATAGGTCAAGTATCGACCGTTATCAAATCCCCCAGATTCTAGACTGTCAAATACCTATTTGAACTAAGCCGCTGGCGGCGGGAAGACGGCGGCACTGCGCCGTAAGATCTCCCCACTTTGGGGTAGGTAGATCTAGTAACATTGCGGGGAATCAATGGCCTGACCGGGAACTCGGACAAGTAATAAAGACCAATGAAGAGTGTAGACGACAACAAGGTGCTCGCTTGCTGTGATTATCTACTTTGCTCTCTATCAGTAGAGACTTGCTGTTTTTGGACTATTTGACAAAGTGTGATCATTATCAACTTGATAAGTTCGCTGATATAAGGCTCGATTAGACGATATATTGTGAACTTGAGTTTCCCGTCTTATTGCGAGCCGCAGTTGAAGTCAATGGGATTTCAGGTGTGTCTTGATAGTTGTACACCCAATGAACACACTGACATGCCATTGCTTTCATGCTACTGCCACAGTCTATTGGACCGCTTAAAGTACATGGCACCACAGCTACCACGATGGCGCGTGATGGCGTGAGGCAATTTCCAAATCCTGGATGCCCTCGAGATCTTCTTCTCTTAAGTCGAGTGTAGAACAAGTTGTGACATAGTTACATAGTTACTATATTTGTGTTGTGGTAGGCATTATGAGGAAGGATGCAACTCCCAGCAAAAGCATTTTGTTCTGAGCTACTGAAGAGATAGCTCCCGTTTAGAGGCCATAACTCTGCGTGATATTTCATTGGAAGTTGTACTTGACTGCGAAGTTATTTATTCTGATCACTATGGGCTCTAGCTATGGAAGCACTAGTTGTGAGACGATATTCAGAGGTGATCACTTAGAATTGTAGGCTTGTCATGGTGATTACAGCGTTCATTTCAGATATTCCAATTCGTTGACTTAATCTGAGTTACAACCCAACGGAGTTTGCTTGTCTTGTTCTATCTCAGAAATCAATTCTGGGAGTTCTGGATCTCTCCAAACAACTGTGGCTACAAATTGCAACTATCCCTGACCAGACGGTGAAGCGGTACTCAGAAGTGTTCTTATTTGTTTGAAACCTTGGATTTCCTTCATTTAAACACTAGGGAAAGAAAGAACATTGCTGTACCATTTTGAACAAATCAACTACCACCTCAGAGTGCCTCAACATCGCTCGACCATGTCAATATCTCCGTCGCCAGTAAGCTCTTCCTCGAAAGCCATTTGAATCTCCATGACCTGCTTCAGCTGCGCCTTGTCGAGACGTCTTCGCTTGTGTGCAGCAAGGCTCTTCGCCGTCCTGACAACATTCTTGATTTGCCGTCCGTTAAGCTTGCCCTCGGCCAGCTCCTCGTATCCACCTTCGTCAATATCCACACCGCCATCGATTTTGGAGAGGAAGTTCTTCCAAATCTTGATTCGCGAAGAAACCGGCAAATCGTCGTACTTCAGTGGCACATGGATACGGCTCTTGAAGGCATCATCAAAAGTACGGACGCGGTTGGTCGTCATGAACAGAATGCCACTGTAATATTCGAGAGTGCGGAGGAAGATCGAGACCAAACTATTACGCTCCATGTCATGCAGAGAGCGACGTTCGAGGAATACATCGGCTTCATCGATCAAAAGGACCGCCTTCCAAGTGCTAGCAAGATCGAGTGTGCGAGACAGACGGTCATCCAGAACAGTAGATGACGTTCCAAGATCTCCAGACGACACAATGTACAAGGGCCGTCGACTGAACTCAGCGACACACTCTGCGGTGAGCGTCTTTCCCACACCAGGAGGCCCGTGAAGCACAAGAATCAGACCGCGACCCTTGCCCTTGACGATATCATCGAAGCCTGCCTTGCCTGGTTCGGTTGTGCGCTGTGTGTGCTCTGCCACGAGTGCCTGGACCAGTTCCTTCTGGCTATCGGGAAGGACAAGCTGTTCAAAGCACTTGGTATTCCAGTCAATGGGCTCGAGCTTCTCGATGAAGAACTCGAGGAACTTCTTCTCAGTGAAGCTGAATCCTCGCACCATCGGGCTGGCCAGGAGACACTGGTCATCCGTAAGAGGAGCAAGGGCAGCGATGGCATCTTCCACTGGGACGAGGTCCATGTCGTCCGAGTCAAGATCCTGCTTGCGCTTTGCACCGCCGGCCTTCGGAAATGCGTTCACCGTGTAGGCATGATCGGCCTCGATTCGATGGAATGTGTGGGTGTCGACCATCACGCGTCCGTCCAAGTTGTAGCGGAAGCCGCAAGTATCCAGGGCCACTCCCTTATACTCGCGGAACTGCTGGCCAGCATGCGACTCCCATTTTCGTCCACGGGCAATCAGCTTCTCTCGGATGGCAGCCTCGTTAGTGTGGAAGCTGAGCGGGAAGGCGGCCAACCCGGCAATAGAGGTGGATCCGCTGAATTGGGGAATGTGAAGAGCGGTGCTTCGCCAACCGAAATCGTCGCCGTCGTAGTCGACGTACTCGACCTGCAGTTGCAGGCCGGGGCATTGTCCTCCGACATAGTAGTAGTTGTTCAACTTGTACACGCGAGGCTGCGACAGACGGGTCCCATAGATTAGAATGCCAGGCCTGAAGATGGTCCAGAGATGCTCATAGGTGACGAGGCCCTTCTCACGAAGGTTATCACCTTCGTTGATGGCATCGCTGAACTCCTGTCGAATAAAGTCGAGGAGAATTGGCAGATGCCTGACGGCCTCCGACTCCGGATCCTCTGTCTTGCATAGCTCAAGTTCTTCCTTGAGCTCAGGAAGATAGTGATAGAGGCAGCGAGGAGGGAACTCTAGAGCAACTTGATTGGTATGGAACGACTGGCCAGGGAAGTTGCCGATTCGGTCGCGAAGGATGTCTTTGAGAGAATCCGAGTTCACTTGCAAGGTAGTCTTCTGAACCCACTTATTCTGCATATCATACTGGCGTGTGACCTACACTAGAGTAAGTTGTGCAAGGCTTTTGAGAATGGGTGACTGTCACTTACACAGAGGGCAAATTTCTCGTACCAGTTGAAGCTATCCTCAGGAACATCTTCATCTTCCTTGGGCTCGCAGATATAGCCACGGCCCTTCTTGGTCCAGCGCTTCTCAAGATGCTTCAGTTCTGATTGCATCGGCGCTTTCTCCAACTCCTCACGCTTGCGCTTCTCCTCTTCGGTGAGACCACCGTTCATCTCCTGCTGCTCCTCCTCGTCAGGAGGCTCGACGTTGGGATCATTCTGGCTTGAGCGAGATCCACGGGCAGTCTGCTTCGTGCGAGCCATTGTGCGGGTTGACAAATGTCTTGAACTGAAGTCTAGTACAAGAGGGAGAACCCGAAGTCGCTATTCAGGAAAACACAATTTAAGAATGAGGATGAGGAAAATAATTGACAACTGAACTGAGGCATTGCGAATATATATACTTCGACGACACATATCAAATAGGAACAGGATATGATCGTATAAGAGAAGGCAGCCTTGCCTTGTGCTCATGCAACTGACAAGACTCAAACCATCATACCGCCTAGCTTTAGGCAGACGGCTCTTGTATCCACTTTCTGTGACCAACCTATAAGAATATATTCCTTTTCTAATGTCGATAATGCAAGGCTGCCTCAGTCTTCAAACACATTGTGAGTCAACCGCCACCGAAGGATCAAAGAGCCCGTGGACAGTTCGAAGCTGGCGCCGTGGTTGCCTGCAACCGTTTGTCGGCAACCCGGGACCCCTGACTATTATGGAGTATCCCCTCAAGGACGGAGCCGGAGCTGCCTGGTCGGAGCTACGGGGCAGGTGCACGTGATAGTTCACGTGTAAGAGACATGTGATAAGCCATGATAGTCCTTACGATGGCTGGGAGCACGGGAAGTGGACTTCACCTATTGCCAGAGGGAGGAAGATGAATTCTATTGACCAGCTTCCGTCAGTCATGCTGACTCGTCATCACTGTCCTCATTGCGTTCGACGTTCCGCACAATGGGGGCTGGACGGATGATGCAGCCGAGGGAAAGCAGTGACAGCACCAACGACCAAGCGACAATGAGACAGCGCAACCCGGTCCAGCTCTGCTTGAACCAGTCATCTGCAGCGCTAAGAGACGGTCAGCGAAAGGGATGCTGAGAGCCAATCGAGCGCTGACGCATGACGATGGATGTGGTGCGTTTCGTATGGAAAGTGGAAAGAGCAGCAGCTCCGGCCGCACACGGCGCGACCTTTCGAAGGTGCTTCACTGTCTCCAAGGACGAGGAAATTGGCCATCCAGCGTCAGACTAGCTGATCTCACGACGTAATAGCAGTCTCTGCAGCGTTGTCATCCTCCATTGCCACTGGGACCATGATCGAAACCAACAAGTTGCGATGAGACAGGTTGGAGCACTGGCCTACCCCGCCGTGCTGGGCTCTGCTGATCCGCTGCAGATTCTGGCGCTTGGCCGTGGCTCGACTTAGGTTGAGAAGAACGGAGTCTTTGCTCTCATGTGCATCCTCCAGATCTTCTTATGACCTCAATTGTCTCGAAAAGTGGTGTGAGGATGGTGGCAGGAGACGCTTGTCTCGCGTTCAGTGGGGAGCTTCTCCCAGTACCTGCGCAAGCTGGAACAGAGATGATCTGAGCTTGCTGCCAACCCAGCCCACCTCAAGCTAAGCTTTCAATCTTAGATTGTAGTATTACGGAGGTATTTTTGGAATTATCTACCATTGACCTTCCCAAGCAGACGAAGCTCGGCTCATTGCATATTGCATGAAGCACCTGCTATGTATCTACAAAGATGGCAAGCAGAAGAGGATGATGGAATCGAAGACGAGCTCACGGCGCGCGACCCAATACCAAAATTCTCTATTGGCCTTTTCTTTCATGAGGGCGAGTGTCCAGGTGGGGAAGACGCGGACTGGGGAAGCCGGACGCGGTGCTGCCTCGATCGGGGGAGAGCCGACGCGTTGATTGGCCTGTTGCGGGACTGGCTGAACGAGTCGAGCAATCAACGGCGGCGGACCATCTGCAGGTCTGGAGCAGCCGGGCAGGAGACGGCCATACAGGATCAAGCAAAGCCACAACAGCAGGTTTTGTTGGAGGTGCGAATCGCGTCGCTAGTCGTCGGGTGCTGTCTGTGTTAATTCCTTTATTATGCCCGTCGTCCGTCCTTCGACCTGGGAAGAGGAAAGGATCATTCGCTCGATTATTCGGACTGGCTGCTTGCTGAGCTGAGCTGGTTACCGTTACAGGAGCTGTTTCTGCTGCCGGCCGGTTGACGCCGCGTCACAGAAGCTCTGGCCAGCAATTGTGCAGCCCAACTGCGCCTTCGCATGAAATGATATCCCTCTCTCGCCCAGACCACCTCTCGGGCCAGGCCCTGCATTCCTCTCCATGCTTCAAGGTTGCTGAAGAGCGTTGGCATTCCATTGTCTATCCAGAGCTGTCCCATTGGGCCTAGGGGAAGGGGTGCCTTTTTCAATTAACTGGCTGTTTTATCCGCCTCCGAGACACATATGCCTTCCCCTGCCATTTACACTTTCCATTTGCGCCAGCGAATTGTAAGGCTTGGTAGGAGATCTCGTCTATGCACTTCTGTAATTCTCATCATCTCGATGAATCACTGAGACTTGTGCTTCAGCACGTACGTCATTCTGGATTCAGAGCAGTAGACAAACAGAGACTAGATCGATCCAAGCGATCAAGCGATCAAGCAAACAAAGTAGTGTAGGTACTGTACTAGGTAGTAGATCTTCTTCTAGCTGGTTGTACTGGACTGTGATTAATTTACTCTTAAAAAATGCAATTCCACTTTGGTGCACTCCACCCACAGGTCTCACTCTGCCCCTTTTCCTGCTTGGAGCTCGCTGGCTGTGCTGGAGCTGCCGCCGAGACTGCTGCAGCTATCCACCATGTCCACCATGGCATCCCTTGCTCCCTCCCCTTTCCAGGATTCCCATTGGCAGCGAGCGTCCAGTCCGGCATCCCGAGGTCCCGTAGCCTGCACGCGTAGCGTTTTACCACGAAAGAGCACGTCAAGCAAAGCAAGGCTCGCAAGGGCCAGCGCCCTCATCGAAGACAAGATCATCATCCCTCCCGGGTCTTTGTACAGCATTGGCCCGTGCTGATGCACTACCAGTATTAGACCTGCCTTAGCTGGGTCCTGGGTAGCTGATCATGCCGAGCCAAGGCAATTAATTGATTGAGCTCACTGCTCAGCATGGAGGAAAAAGCTGCAGCGAGCCTGTCTGAGCCCAGAGCGCGTAGGTGCCACTCGCTAGCTACATGTACTAGGTAGCTACTAACGTTACCTGCAGTCTCCCACCAATTAATTCATTTCCTCTGCCTTTCAATTCAGTCCTTTCTGTTCTTCTCCTCGTCTGTACTGTACATCTGGGCTGGGAGTTGCCACCTTCTCACCCAACGACCAGTTTCAGTTTCATCTCGAGCTTCAGAAACGAAGCACATACCAGCTCACTACTAGAGTCGAGTCGAGTTGAACTTCATCGAGGTAACATTACCTATCACAGCAACTGGGACGCTCCTGTCCTGTAGAATCTTCTACCGCCGCCTCAGCATCCAGCATCCGCTTCGCTCCACTGCGCGCGCCGCGCCTGTACCCGTACCCGTGCCCCGTGCCCCTACCGCGCTTGAACACGTCCCAGGGCCTCGTCCAGGGCGGCCACCACCCACTACAGCAGCGTACCGCCTTCACCCAACGACCACATCAGGCGACCACCCTGCTGCAATAAGAGTAGCATCTCTCCCTCCCACACACAATCCGCCACCTTTCTCCTCTTCTCGTCTCTTCTCGTCCCTTTTCCTATTGAGCCTCCTCCGCCTTCGATCTGGAATCCGCTCGGGGAGGGAAAGACAAACAAACAAATAATCAGTGCAGTCCCGTCAATTGATTCAGTCACCAGACAGGATTTCGGGAATCGTCCTCAGGACAGACATTCTGTGCGACAGGGGTCAATCCAGTATTCGAGCCTCAACATCGGCAGGATACGTGACTGTGAGACGAGGATTCTGTGCTGCTGTCCAAGGTAGTCGACACTCGAGAGGAACCTCAGATCGATTGAGTGGAAGCCGGCCTGCGAGTTCCCTCTGGGCATCTCTGCATTCTGCTGCATACAGTGATCCCTCCTCAACGACTTCCTTCTCCGCCATGGCGACTGTCACCCGTCAACCGTTTGCTCCCCTCGATGGGAGCCGGCTGCAAAGCTTGACAAGCCTCAAGAACAGGCAGAATGGTGAGTGCCAGATGGCCCTACCTCCCACACAGCGAACCCTTCTGCCCTTGGCGTCTCCTCCACGGCCTTCCTATTTCGTGCCTTGCAAGATCTTGCCCAGTTGTGCCAATCTGCTTCATCTCGTCAACTCGTCCATCAGACAACCTTGCCCTGTGATGTCGTCATTCGAAGTTGCAAAGAACTACGTGCTAAACAAAATGTCATAGCTATCTCTACTCCACTCTCCTCCAAACGCAAGGCTTCCGACGTTGCTGGTCTGGACGATTCAGAAAACGTTGATCCCATCTTCTTTTCTAAGAGATCTAAGGGATCGGAGAGTCTGACCAAGGATCTCTTCAAGCCCTCCCACTTCGTTCTCACCAAGGCTTCTTCGACCCCAACAGCGTTGCCCAGCAAAGAAGCACTCGCTTCGGTCACGAGTCCCGTCAGAGCTTCTTCCCCTCGGCCCCGGTCTATCCTGAATCCCAAGTCTCCCGCTGCCAGGCTCAACACCAATGTTGCCAAGTCGTCTCCCCTCACAGCTCCTGCCGGTCGATCCCCTACTCGTGGCAGCAAGCGCATCGGCATCCTCTCAAATCGCAGGCGGACGGCGTCCCCCTTCACCCGTGTCAACCCACCATCCTTTGGCCTATCCCCGGCGCCATTCTCACTCGACGCTGCTCTTCAGGGCACCGTTCCCAGCTATGCCTCCAAATCTCAGAGCTCAGCTTCCCTCTCGAACCTTCAGGAGTCGGAGCTGAAATCCTCCTGGTTCTTTGATATCCACGAGGATACGCCCGAGCAAGAAATGACCAACCTTCTCCAGCATAGCACCTGCGTCCTGGACATCTCGTCCGACGAGGAGAGCGAACAAAAGGCACGACGGGACCGAGCCGAGGGTCGCGACAAGGAGAACATCCCTCCTGCCGATGACGTGAGCCAGACCTCGAGCCGTGCCAGGGCGCCAGCCGGCGAGAATTGCATGGACTTTGAGAAGCAGCGTGACGCCCTGGGCGAGCTCAACGTCGAGGAGTTCTACGCCGAGGGCTGCGACCAGTCAAGCATCGTCATCATCCCCGCTGACGAGGAAGATGACGCGGAACCCGTCGTCGTGCCCGCCGCTGTCGAGCCCCTTGTTGCCGCGGAGGAGAAATTCGAGTTCTCTCCCGAGATCAAGCTCGATGCCTCGGCCACAGTCAGCCTTGACACTGCGGACATCGATGCGCTGATGGGCAGCTCCGACGCCGCGCAGAAGGCCGCCGTGCTCGAGCCGATGGAAGGCACCGGTGACAGCTTCGAGCTGTGGGAGAGCGGCAGCGCAAAGGACGATGCCGAGGGAGGCGCCAGATCGCCGTCCCCTGTGCCTGCATCCCCTGCCTCAGACACCACAGAGATCATCGGTGTCGACTGCTGAAGCTAGCTGCTCGTGCGTGCCAACTCTCTTCGTTTAGTACCACCACATAATACCCTAAAAGGGCGGAGTTCTGCAAAAAGGCGTTTCTAAGGCGTTGGCCATTGGCTTGAGACGGCGTTTCATGGATATGGATGTATGGCAATGGAATTGGTTGAGTGAAATGCTGTTTTGGATTGGGCCGTTGCTAGTCCATTGTTTTGACCTGATTTAGAATTGCCTGTAGTCTTGACGCTTGTTAGTCGAAGTAGTTTCCGCAATGCAACACAATTGTCTTGATCCACCCCGTGTTATCTTCATTGACTGCTGGTGTGAGACCTACATGTTGAGACACGTGTAAGTGGTGTTACCCTACTCACCTAAAACCTTGAAGGTCTCTAATGTGGAGAGGAGCTCATTTGCTGCCTCATTCTTTCGATTAAGCGCCCAATTTGCCAACAGCGACCGCATTGGCGCACCCGATTTCTCCTCCCTGACGCCTTTGTGGCCCGAGAATCTTGGGTATAGAGATGGAGGCGTTGTTCTCTGGAGATGAAGGCATCCGAAAGGGGTGACCCGGCATCACGTGATGCTTAATGCAAGCGGCAGGCACTATCGAAGGTGTTTCGCGGGGCAGATGGTATGTAGTACAGTAGAGAATCGTATCATTGTAGCCAACCCCATCCCATCTGTCTTGCCCCGAGATTCACTTCCCCCCACACTCGATGCCGGCCCTTTTCCCCTTCCTCCTCTTCGGTTCTCGTCTTGTCAGGTAGTCAATGGCATCCATCAACGATCTAGCAACCGCCGCCATCGCCTCCTCGGCGGTTGCGCTGACGCCGGGCGGAGGGGCGGCTGCTGCCGGCGCTGCTGTAGCTGCCCCGCCATCTACCGGAGAGAGGCAGCCCACGCCGCAGCCCGAGGCTGTTCGCGGTGCACTCATCGCCCTGGAGGGCCTGGATAGGAGCGGCAAGACTACACAGGTCAAGCTGTTGGAGCAGAGATTTGTCGAGGCCGGGAAGAAGGTCAAGGTGCTGCGGTTTCCTGGTATGCTCATCCGCTTCTGTTCACGGTGATGAAGAAAAGCTGCCCCTGAGATTGCCGTTGGCATCTCCATAGTCGTGACCTTTCAAGTGGAGGGCCTGAATTACTGCGAGAATCCAAAGTCACGATATGACATTTGCATGGGAAGAGTGCTCTCCCTTCTACCCTCGTCTCGTACTTTTTTGAATGTTACAAATTGCATAGTCGGTCCAATACTAACATAACCAGATCGGAGCACTCCAATCGGTCAGATGATTGACTCTTACTTGAAGTCGCAGGCTGAGATGGAAGACCACGTCATCCACCTGCTCTTCTCCGCCAACCGCTGGGAGGCTGTCAAGACAATCACCTCTTTGTTGGCCTCCGGGACTACCGTCCTCTGCGATCGCTACTATCACAGCGGCATCGTGTATAGTGCGGCCAAGCAGAACCCGTCGCTGTCTTTGGCCTGGGCAAGGGCGCCGGAGGTTGGCCTCCCTCGCCCCGATCTAGTGCTATTTCTCGACCTCGACGAGTCTCAGGCCAAGGCTCGAGGCGGCTGGGGTGGTGAGGTGTACGAGAAGGGCGAGATGCAGAGGCGCGTGCGTGAGCTGTTCTGGGGGCTCAGCATGGGTCGCATAGGTGTCAACAGTCCCGTGGCCGGGCCTGGAGAGCATACGCCTGACGCCGCGTTGACTCTCGTGGCCACCGGCGTAGGGAATGCGGATAGTGTTGCGGATGTGAAGTTCCGACAGGAAGAAGAAGACCTGATGGTCGTCGACGCAAGTCCCAGCGTGGAGGAGGTGGCCGAGGCAATCTGGAAGGTTGTACAGCCAAGGGTGGAGGTCGTGGAAAGGGGAGAGGTCGGACGTATTGTCAGAAAGATCTCCTAGGAGAATCTCTCACCTGTGGATGTAAGATACAAATGTGAGGACGATTTGGACAGCAAAAACATGAAGGAGGTCAGAAGTGCCTTGGAATTGTGGCCGTCGAGGTGGTCATGTAGACGCCCCTGAAACCTATATATAGATACTGACCCGTGGAGGTTGCGCTGTTGATATCACATACCTCATGCTGATGCTGTTTCTAGTAATGCGGAGTTGAATACCACGCAACGCCGCCGTTTTGACACAAAGTAGCCTCCTTTCCCAATGCCCCAGTGACGTTGAAGTCAATAATCCGGCATGATGAATACCGGTAAATCTGCTCTTGTAGCCCGAGAAACGCCGTGTAATGCCAGGAAGAATGAATGAAACACCAACTTGATCGCTCTGCCCCTTCAGCAAGTTTCCTTCAAGTCTTGCCGAGGCCCTGACGATGAATCCCGCCTCTCAGCGCCGGTTAAGCCCGATGAGATTGAGGAACTCATTCCTTGTCTTTTCTTTTCTTTCGAAACAGCCAAGGACGCAACTGGTGATGGTGCTCGTCGTGGTCTTCTCAACACCGCGCATGACCATGCAAAGATGGCTCGACTCCATGACCACGGCAACACCTTGAGGCTTGAGCACCTCGAATATGGCATTTGCCACCTCTTTCGTCAACCTCTCCTGGATTTGTAGGCGTCGGCTGAACATTTCGGCAATTCGGGGCAGTTTGGAAATCCCGATGACGGACTGGCTTGGGATGTATCCAATGTGCATCTGGGGCGAAGAGTTAGCAAGTCCTCGATTAGAGGGATTGAGGTACATTGAATACCTTGCCATTGAAGGGAACCAGATGATGTTCACACAGACTGAAGATCTCGATGTCCTTCACAATGACCATTTCGTTATGGCCCTCTTCAAAGATGGCGCCGTTGACAATGTCGGCGACATTCTGCTGGTATCCTTTGGTGAAGAAGAGCATTGCTTTGGCATACCTCTCAGGTGTCGCCAGCAACCCTTCGCGGTCTGGGTCCTCTCCAACACACTCAAGAATGGTGCGCACGGCACCGCTGAGCTTCTGTAGTCGGACGGCGGCTTGTTGCTCGTTCTCTTCAAGACGTTCTCGAGTTCCTCGGCCTGCGAACACGCCGGTGTCAGTAAAGTAGTCAGAGGAACCATGACTCTGGGCAGCTTACTTGGTCTGCTCAGTCCGTCAAAGTCAATGACCGGGCTGGGCGAGCGCGTAATCTTGCCGTCCTTGCCCTCCTTGTGGTGCTTCTTGTGCTTCTTTTTTGGCTCCGGAATGTCCCTGGGGTCTCTGGCGGCCTTGCTCAGACTTTCCCTCCTCTCTGTTCTTGGATGGCCTCCGTTGATGATCTCGACACTGCCGTCGTGTTCTGACTTGTGCTTCTTCTTGTTGCGCTCCTTGGCGTCCCTCTTCCTGCGTTTGCGCTCGCCATTCACAGACCCACCGTCAGCGCTCGATGCGCTGGAAGAACCAGCGATGGACTTCTTGTCCTCGGGTTCGGCAACATCGAACTTGACCATCTTCTCGGTTCAATTGAAGTTGAGGAGGACAAGAGAAGTGGCGGGGCAGTCGGTCAGCAGAGGGGAAGCGAGATTTTTGGAGTCTGGTCCGATCATGGGCCCTTGTCGTTCGAGCGGCGGAGGAATTTAGGTACCTTATTAGTTAGAGTCACAGGGGACCGGTTCCTCATCCGGGGATGCAAACTTTCAAAATTTCGCTTATCGGTGCTTATCGGATCCCACTAACGCCTGCGTTGGGTTCCCGGGTGGGTTGACGTCAATTTACGCCGATAATTGGCGCTGTGGCTGGTGGATATCCATAGACGTGGCTCAGTCGGCGGACTGCCACCAGCTGCCGAAACCGTCATTCCTGACTTTACCTCCTGCTCACACTTCTTTCCATCGGACATCTCACGAACTCTCCACCATCAGCCCTCTCCCGTGATAGCAGAACTCGCGGAGTCTGCAGGTTTAATCACGACTCGTTTACCGCCACCTCGTTCACGTCCAGAGCTATTTTGAATCCCGGGGCAACATTAGCGGAGGTCGCGCCTTCCCTCTAAAGCCATTCTCACTATGGCGACCTCACCTCCATATCACAGCTACTCGCCGTCTGCCGGCTCTCCGCCATACCCATCCCACAGTCAACTACCGACTCTCAACACCCTCAACGTTAACAAGAAGCGCACTGCCGCTGGAGATGCCGCGTCTCCTGCCCTAAAGCGACGTAAAGGATCTGTTCTGTCCGTCGCGTCGTCCACACTTTCTGCACACCCCCTCCGACAAACTTCCTTCCCGCCCGACGAGTCGCCGTTTGGTGCCCGCAGCCCCTCTGTTGATATGGATAGCGTCAGCATGATCAGCGGCAGTGCCGTCTCCGCCGCCCCCGTTAAGAAGAAGCGCGGCCGCAAGTCGAAAGCGGAGAAGGCGCGGGAGCAGACTCCCTCCGTAGTCGGCGGCCGGGCGATGACCGCTGTGAGCGGCGTCAGCGGAGGTGGGGAGAAGGGCGCAGCTGCCGACGCTGCGGCAGATGACGACGATGATGTGAATGTCACCATGGGCGTCGCTAATGCCGTACGCACCGCGGAGGAAAAGGTTGAGGAGAAAGAGCGGCTTCGCGTTCTCACCAGTCAGATGGATCAAGACCAGCTCGAGCGCTACGAAATGTTTCGTGCCTCGAGAGTGTCAGATGCTGTCATCAAGAGAGTGGGTAGATTTCACCCATTATGTCTCAAGCCTGCTAAGCTAACACCAAGTCTCCAGGTCGTCAACGCTGCCGTGTCCCAGTCTGTTCCCGCTAATGTGACTGCGGCGGTAAAGAGCGTGGCGAAAGTGTTCATAGGGGACCTAATCGAGAGCGCCCGGCGAATCCAGTGCGAGTGGATCACCAATACCGACGAGAAGCAGAGCGAGGTGCCTTTCCCCGACTGGCCCTACGACGAGGACGAACACTACATTGACCCCGAACCGGGTAAGGATAAGATGCACCCGTTCGTCAAGCGTAAGGAACCGCCTCGTGGACCTCTGCGGCCAGACCATGTTCGAGAAGCATGGAGACGATACAAGCAGAGTGTGGAAGGTGGAGCTGTTGGTACCCTGGGCTTGTGGCATGTTCAGCAGCATAGTGGAGTGGACCGGTTCGGTGCCAGGACCGGCGGGAAGCGGCTGTTCAAGTGAGCAGCTCCAGGAAAAGCCGAGATCGTTCGGCCACTCGGTCCATGAAAGCTTTGCTATCGATTGACACGGATTTGAGCGGCGGAGAGTTCTTCTCTCCAGGATAGAATAAGTAGTGATACCCATTACATGGCTGACGACCATGCACCAAAATTTAGCAAGCTAAATCGCAATTTGACTTGAGGGTGTGATCGTAGAATTATGTTGTCGTTTTTAAGGCTCAAAATATAAGGACGAATGTGCCGCATAGTGTCACACAGCCCTAAATGTCACGATTTTAAATGTCAGATTGATGCTCAGTCTTGCGCCTGACTTTGGCTTGCATTTAACTTAGGTATTAGTCTCCATGGAGCGTTTACACCAGCACTATTAAGCCTGAGACCAGTGGGCCATGGACGTGTCATGGCTTGAACATGTTCTTACGCCATGCATAAAGTGTGGTAAGTCACAATGGTATCTAGGTCTAGCGAACGCATAAGTCTTAGAACATGATTAGACGATGTGCCACGGTTCAGTCCGCCTCTTCCAGCATGGCAGCAACCTCACTTATGGCAGCTCCTATTTTCTGAAGCCACTGATTGGCTTCGACAGAATCCCCTTTCTCCAATGCCTCAATGACTCCGGGGAATATCACTCCATCGTAGCCGTACCAGAGCCCTGGAGCGAATATCTTCAGAAAGATCAGTAGGTTAGCAAGGCTCGCTTCCCGAACAGATGTTTCAATCTTACCATGTGTCTATACCATGGCCGTCCTGGCAAACCAAAGTTCTTCGGTAACAAGAACAACCTCTCGATGAGCCTATACTTGTTATTGACAGCAGAAATAGCATCTGACATCCGGTTCCTATTCTGACCGGTCGATAACAAGGCGTGTGCCGTGCGATCTAGATTGTCTGCTGCCAGTTGAAATCGCCGAATCGCAGAATCAACTTGCTGAAAGTCTAACCCATTGCCATCGCCAGCTTTAAGATCTTGCAAGTGGCTTTTTAGGGTTGCTGGATAGTCTCCCGCGTTGAAGGGCACTACAGATAGCTCGGCAAGCCTGACGACAATTACTCCCCAGAGCTGAGCCATGGCGAGATGCTTTTTGAAGCCGATATCTCCGAACTTTTCCAGCCAGTAATAGCTATCATAATTTGAGTGATACGGATATACTCCCTTCCCTTGTCTGTTGAAAAGCATATCAATGGACGGGATGCCTAGATGGTCAAAGAAGACAGTATAGTCGCTTCCGGTGCCCATGAGAGCTAAGCTTGGCTGCCCCAAAGTCGAATCTGCCCGTTGTTGGTCGCTAAGCCAGTCATCGTACACCGTCTTGTCATCGTTAAGGGGCGAGGGGATCATCTCAGCAACGTCTCGGAGAACGCTATTGAGGAGTGGGCTTCCGTTTGCCCCCAAGATATTCCCACCATTGGTGGACTCGTCAACATTTATATCTAGTAGTGTATCCCATTAGCCTGATTGCTGAGTTTAAGGAGTCGAGGTTCATGAGCCCTACACGCGATACAATTCTTGCTCAGCATCTCAGCATTGTCTTCGCCCCATTCTGTTGAGCCCACGAGGCCATACTCCTCATTATCCCAATTAGCCAGAATGCTATTTCAAGGTATTAGTTGCTGATTTTATTTTGGAATGTAATGAATTCACACACATCTTTCTCAATGGCTTCCAGCCCTTTGACAGAAGCTCTCCGAACGCTCTCACAACTTCATTCATGGCAGCGGTTCCGGAGACAGGATCTACAGCACCGCAACACCACGAATCATGATGATTTCCGAGAACGATGCATTCATTGGTAGCACCCTCGATTGTTCCGATAACGTCATATATGGGTGCATAGTTGTAAGTACCTATTTCAATGGTTATTCGAATACCACTTGAATGAGCTCAAGGATGCATACCTTGGTTGACAAGGGACACTTTCACTGCACTGGGACCAGTGCAGTAATCCACCCCTTCTAATTGTCCACACCAGTCACTGCCCTCTCCTCCCATTTGGAATGGACTGAGTCCGTGGCCGTTCAGGGCTTTGAGAAATGGCTCAGCCTCAGCATATGAGATGGGTAAAGATGGTATCTTAGGAATGGCATGACTTGGATCCTGTCTTTTAACATCTTCTCCAGGAAGGCTTGGATATCCGGGCGTGGTGGGATCGCCGACGGCAACTGAAAAGAAATCGACACTCCCACGCTGTATAGTCTTCGGGTGGCGGGCAGGTCCATTTGGATAATGCTCATACCCGTTTCTTATTGTATACTCACCATCTTCCTGGGGATCGTTGTATAGGATGACGCCAATGGCGCCAAACATCTCAGCCGCCCTTATTTTCAACCCTCGGAAGACTTTTGCATATTTGCAAATGACTATTTTGCCCTTGACTGAGATGCCTTTTGCCTCGAGGAGTTGGAAATCAGCGAGCGTGCCGAAGTTTGCGTAGACCAACTCGGCACATACGTCACCATTAGCGCTGAAGCCGTGAAACGCAGGAAGACCCCGTGCTGGAGATGATGTTGGATCTTCTGGCAATTCATCTTCCTCTAAAGTTGCCTCGAAGGCAATACCTCCATTAGCAGAATGTAATCTGAGACTCTGGGTGAGAGGAAAGTTTTGTAAGACGCTATAGGTAGCCAACTCTGTAGGGATCCCATATGATCGCCACAAGTCTCGAATTCTCTCTGCGTGAGCCAAATCGCCAGCAAGATGTGCTTCTGCGCTGTAGAGCTGTGACCAATGACGGAGATTCTGCACCTTAGGGGTGTGCAGCATCACCTGCTCCGCGTCAATTGCCTCCACCATGGTCGATTGGTCCGGGACGGTTATGGCAGGTAACGCTTCTTGGTTCTTTCGTATGGCGCGCAATTTAGCAAAACAACTATCTTGACTTCGTTTCGGGTTGCTCTGTGCTGATGGCTGGCCGAGGTCGGGCTTGAATCGTCGAGAGAGCGACTCAGTGGACGTCTATTCCGAGTCCGGTTCTAAATGATGGCTTGGCGTTTAAGTTGAATTGCGCCGGACAATGGCTTATTCTGTATTTCGTCGATTCCACCCAATTAGTATGTCATTCGTGTAAGTGTCTTGTCCTTTCATTTCTGATTATTGAGTTGTTTGAGTATTATCCAAATCTATTAACAAGCTACGGAAATAAAATCAGACCTAATTTAGCCCGACTCCACATTCTCGAGATCGCACTCACACTCCTTACTCTGTAGCGGCATTTTGCCCGCCTTGTAATTTCTAGAACATATCGAAGCGCCCACTGATGACTCGCGCGATAGCCGGATCCAGGCTTGTCTGGATTGAATTACAGTGGAGGCCACCAGTCAGTGCATTCTTATCCGTGAAGGTAATAAACGTTTTGTGTGTAGTTCGTTGAAGGCTGCATAACCTTCGCAACAAGGTAATTTTCTACCTTTGAATTGGTGGAACTATAGTAATAAACGTTCTCTCCGAAGCCTCAGGCAAGTTCGATGATGCTTTTCATTCAGTATCATGATCAATGACAGAATTCCCTGGCTGAGGGCTACATACGTAAAAGGGTCGACCATGCGCATCAGGCTGAGTCAAAGATAGAGCTCACCCATTCTTCATTGAGAAGCTATTGGCAGGAAACCATATCATTGCCAATAACTTTAATGCAATGGCTTCAGATTATGGTACAGATTATTTGTTTTATTCCTCTGAAGCTATCCGCATATGTCTACTATCACTCTCATGAACATCCTGATGCAGTCAAGATAGTCGGGAATATCAACTTTCTCATCTGGGCGAGTGTTGTATTTTCCTCCGGGCCCACAGACGATGCCTTCCATCCCCATGCTTTTGTATAAATGCCCCGCATCTGATCCGTAGAAACACGTGGGAGCAAGGACTCCGGTGGGCTGGTCCTGCCCCCTGACCTGGAAATACCCATCATTGAGAGAGCGGACGACCCTCGAGTCTTTCGGTGTCTCGAAGGCAGGCATTGTTGGTTCAAATCTCTGTTTCAGCTCATAAGTGAGGCCTGGAAACTTGCCCACCACTTGTTCGATGGCCTCCTTGATATCAGCCATGACATCCTCCTGGGTTTGTCCCGGCGCATACCGAGCACTGCCTGCCAGCTTACAGAAATCGGACACTTGTGCGGGTCTCCATTCCGCAAGTTCTTTCCCAAGGGCGCCATGAACGATGCCCACCGAGCATCGATTGCACTTCTCGTGATCCGGACTCTTCGCCCCACGAAACGTCATCTTGTCTAGCTTGGGAACGAGCTCACAAGCTGCCAGTATAGCATCAGTAGACTCCTCCCGGGCAGACATGTGGCGTGTGATGCCAATCAGATTGATCTCAAAGGTGAGCGCTTCTGCATGCATCGTGACTGCTCTGATGTCCGACGGTTCGCAGTTGATGAAGTAGTCGGCCTTTATCCTGCCTTGTTCGATCAAGGCCATAGTGCCAACACCGCCCTGCAGCTCTCCAACAACGTAAGTCAAGACGACGTCTCCTCGTGGCCGCCATCCACTAGCTTTTAACGTCTCAACTGCGCAAAAGTAGGCGGCGCAGCCAGACTTCATGTTGCTGACACCAATACCGTAGATGAAATCTTTATCGATCTTTCCTTCCCAAGGGTCGATGGTCCAACCCTCACTGACAGGGTTTGTGTCTAGATGGCCGTTGAAGAGGAGTGTCTTGCCTGTCTTGACTGCAGCATCCTGACCCCCAACTCCTTTCCAGGTCCCGACGGCATTCTGGCGCTTGCCCTCGTCGAAAGGATACACGTTTGCATCAAGGCCGATCTCTTTCATCCGCGAGGCCATAAAATTTGATGCTTCAATCTCGCCATCTGTCTGCGAATAGCTTTTGATCTGGATGAGTTTCGACAGAAACTCGAGGCATTTCTTCTCGTCGATGTCAGGAAACTCTGTCATTTTGAACAGACGCTTTTTGCTTAGTCTTCAAGATTTCACTCTCCTTGTTCGACGCATGTACAACACGGTATGAACATTGAATGTTGTTTGTTCTGGATAAACAGCCGATATCCGGACCTGCTCTTAATCGATGCTAGGCTTGATGGACTCAAGACACGGAAGGTGAAGGAGGGAGCTAAGAAAGTATAGCTCAATTCAGTTAAGTGCGCCTCTGCCAGGGTAATAAACGAGTAGCATCCATGGATAACCCTACAGATGCACCAAGACTCGCTAAGTTGCTTAATCGGCAGCGGGTCGTAGCTAAGCAATGCCACTGCCATTTAACGTGGGCGGGAGGCGTTCTTATCTGTCGCTTATTGGTGGTCGGGGAATTCGTCGACGAGAGTGGTAATTTTCATCCCGACGACTCTTGGCACACTCCCGCCTTTACGGGCACAAAATCACGAACACTAATTGAAGAGCACTATAATGCTCATGGCCGAAACCCTTGTTCGTCAATGTGCAGAGGTTGGTAATGAATCATGTAGCTGAAGGCTCTTAGGCTATCAGCACCTATGACTCTGTTCGAGCCAGCCATACGAGTCAGCAGCATCAATTGTCGGACGACGCCGACAGGAGCGATAAACGGAGGCCCAGCATATCGGGTTTTGCTGAAGGAATATCAGTACGCGCTATCGGTGGACCGACGGCTTATTCCCGTTTCCAAGAGTCGGCCGCTATCCCACTTGGCCGGGACTATCGAGGCGATTATATGTGCTGATCGGGGACCCATCCCGCTTGCGACCTGAGTATTCTGTAATTTAGTAACAGACATTACAAGAATCGGACAACTGCTGGGTGTATATGTTCGGCCTCAGCCATCTGCCGGTCCGGAAAATATTTGTCACAGAAATACCACTGGCATCGCATTGACCTCGTTTAACGAAACCTGCCCAAGCAGCCCAGCGCAAACCAATATTCACGATGGCTGATACTATTCAGGTGGCCTCTGCTCCCCATGAGGAGGCTGTCGATAGGGAAGCTGCCATGAAGGGGCAGGTTGCCGATGAGGGATACGAGCTCTTCGAGGAGTCCAACCCCCAGGCCTTCTCCCCTGAGGTTGCCGATGCCGTACGACGCAAGATTGATCGCCATCTGCTTCCTTTAATGTGCTGTTTGTACGGTTTGAATTACGTAGATAAGATAGCGATGGGCTGGGCTGTTCTATTCAACTTCCGGGGAGATCTAGGCCTCGTGGGAACGCAGTACTCTTGGGCGTCGTCGATGTTCTACTTCGGATACCTCATCGCACAGTATCCTGCAAATTACATTCTGCAACGCTACAAGACCGCAAAGATTCTCAGCTGCTCGGTTATTACCTGGGGAATTCTTATGTTGGCGTGAGTTGAATAAATGGGTCGTTGTGTTGAAGTCTCTGCTGACCTCATTCTAGCCATCTCGGTCTGCGCAACTTTGCTGGACTCATGGTCGTCCGATTTCTGCTTGGTATTGCCGAGTCGGTTGTTACACCAGGCTTTGTTTTGTATACCTCAATGTTCTATACTCGTCGTGAGCAGGTTTTGCGAACTATGCTCTGGGCGGCCATGCAGGGACTGTTCTCGATCGTTTCGAGTTTGCTCTCCTACGGACTAGGACACATCACAAATACGGCTTTAAAGCCATGGATGTACATTTTCCTCGTGCTTGGCTTGCTCTCTTTTATTGTCGGCTTCCTATGGTTCTTCTTGATGCCTGAGACGCCCAACAAAGCCAAATTCTTGACACATGAAGAGCAGATCGTTGCTGTCCAGCGCGTAGCCCAGAATATGATGGGTATCAAGGGCTATCAGTGGAAATACTATCAGATGTGGCATGCTGTCAAGGATGTTAAAACCTGGTTGGTCCTTGCGTTTGTTGTCTTCACGCAACTACCTAATGGTGGTCTAACATCGTTCGGCTCTCTTGTTATTTCTGGGTTTGGCTTTGACTCTTTCAAGACTTTATTGATTGGTCTCCCTTCATCGGTTGTTAGTGCTGGAAGTATGGTCGTTTGGGGGTCGTTCTCGATCAAGTATGGCAACCTTCGAACCTACGGAATGATTGTCCCGCTGTTGCCCGCTATTGCCGGTATTGCCGCAGTTTATGGAACAATGGACACGGGCGCGAACAAGTACGGTCGTGTTTTAGCATATTGGTTGATCAACTCTTATGCCGTGACGGTAAGGCTCGTCCCTAATTCTGTTGCTTTGATGAGGATCCTGATACACTTAACAGTGGCCATTCGTCCTCACTATTGTCGGGCAGAACATTGCAGGACACACAAAGCGAGCAACAACCAATACTCTTCTATTCATTATGTTTGCGGCTGCGAACATTGCAGGGCCGTTCTTATTCCGAAGCCAGGATGCACCGAAGTATGTGCTCGCGATCACTACCATCCTGGTGTTTTTCTGTGCGGCTCTCCTCTCCGCCATTCTCTTGAGAATATACATGATCATGGAGAATAAGAGACGTGATAGCAGATTTGGTCGGCTCGATGGGCTGGAGGAAAAGCTGGATGGTATGCGCCTGGGTATGCACGACAAGACTGATCTCGAGAACGTCGACTTCAGATATGTGCTGTGAAAAGTTCTCAGAAAACTCTGGCAGCTTGTTCAAGTCAAAAAGAGTTCGTTTATTACTATAGCTCGGCCAAGTATAGCGAAGGTAGTAGCCCTTTAAAATGAACAGGCCATGATGCCCTTCAAAAATAAGCGTTTATTACCCTCGCGAAGGAGTAATTTAAAGACTCTTTTCGCAGGCATTCTCTGATTTGTCCAATGGACTATTATACAATACATCCTCAAACTCTGTATACATGTCGTTTGTCTAATACTCTCCTGTGTTCTTCTACCTGTATTTTTCATCTTCTTCTCAACATTCCCGAAGGCTGTCCCCGAATATTTTATGCAAAGACAAGCGCTTTGGAGAGCATAATCCCATGCTCATAGTGGTTTTCGTCCAACCATCAAGAACATTGGTGTAAAAAGTTTATCCTTGCCACCCAGAACCAGTGCCTCCGCGGCTTTGCTCATGCTGTCGGCAGTTTTCTTTGTTCCCGGGGGTGCTAATCGAATTGCTTCGAGGACGCCAAATATGTTGTGCATCATCAAACGCCCCCATCTTGTCATGCGGAATGTCGTTAAAAGATCTCCAATGGAGGTCGCGTATCGCCAGTTCGATCCATCAAGCGGCCAATACCAAGGGCTCGGGTCGTTTCTCTCAGCAAGGTCTTCATGTTCGAGGAGTTCAAATCCAGCGTCCCGTATTGCGTCAAGGGCGACCGAAGCCTTGACCATGTTCGCGATTCCATCGCCTTGCTCAATATCGAGGCGGATCTTCCGATGAGTGAGATTGTCATTGTCGTAATCCTCTGTCATCACCCATTCATAGACGCCGAAAATACCACCAGGCTTGAGCACACGGTAGATCTGGCTATAGACATCCTTTAACGATGGTGCGTGAACGGTCGCTTCGATAGCGTAGACAGCGTCGAAAGTCTCATCTTCAAACGGCATTTTCTGTAGCCACATATACATCAGCCCAAAGCCAGGAAGTATGGGAAGGAACCCCATCATACCATGAAATCACCTTGAACAAACTGCAGCTGATCAGACATCCCCTCACTAGCGGCATAGCGAGTCGCCCTTTGTACTTGATACTCGTTCAGATTCAAGCCAGTTATGTAGCACCCGGTGAATCTGGCGATTTCCCGAGCTGGGCCTCCAACACCGCATCCTACGTCCAGAACCTTCATGCCTTGCTTAATGCCGATACTGTGGGCGAGATAATGCTCATGGCGAGCAATAGCTTGGTGGAATGGTTCTCTATGACCGAAACGGCAAAAGTGAAAGCTTTGACTCCAGCCATATTCATAAAAATCTGTGGCCAAGTTGTAGTACCTACAAACATGATTAGATGTTATTCTCACTAGCTTCCTTTTGTTAAACCGTACTGTCTAGTTAAGGAGGCATAATCTGCGGTTCGAGCCTGGTAATGGACGTTCATATTAGCAATGAATACTGTTGTTTACCCTTGATGCAACACTACTCACAGCTCTGACTTCCTCAGTCTCGGATTTTGCGTCCTTGTTGTCCCAGTGTTGGAAATATTCTGCTACCGCTGCCTTGTGAGCCTCTTTATCCTTTTTCAGGACTGCCGCAAACCCCTCTTTCGACCCTGCTGTGCCTTTATGGAGAATGCTATCAAACGACGCATCTTTCGATAGAAGAACCTGATATTCTTGTGGAGACGGCGCCATTTTCTTGAGCGTTGGATTGAAATCCAGGAAACCGGGCAATACTAAAAGGAGACTGCACAGAATGAATGGAAGGAAGTAGTTTGCAATGAAATAAAAGGCTCAACCAGAAGTTCTCCTATTTATGAACACCAACAGCTCTTCAAACTCGACTTCTTCATTAATGATGAGCTCCCCTTCGTTGATGTTGATATCAATAACGGTGTAAGTGGAGAACGCGAATACGTGGTCGATCCGAATACGAAGACGACGTTTTCGGGTTTTGCGCTACAGAATGTCTACTAGGCACAACCACCAAATGGCCCAAAACCATGCCTGTATATTGTCAATTGGAGTGCTAGAGGGTCCAGTATAATTAAGCGACACTTAGTGAGGCAGATAGAGCCTCTGGGGCACTTTACGCTATGGCATGCCACGCGTTTCGGCAACAGAAACTAGAACGGGACCCAGCACCAGCACACACTCAAACCGAACACGAGGACCTCAAGAATTAGGAGAAACAAGAAACGAATACGGATTGATATCAAAACTGATATGGGTCTGGCACCACCTGTGAGGGTTGCTCTAACACCTGGCAATGCTGCTACAGATTCAGGAGATGTTCTGGTTGCAATACCTAACACTTAGTATACCTCAGCTTGATAGCTTCAGATCCTTAAATTATTACTTCTTCGCGAGGGTAATAAACGCTAATTTGTCGAGGATATCATAGCCTCCTCAACGAGAGGAGCTACAGTAACAGATTGACACCTCTAGATTTGGATAAGTACAATGAGTTTGAATAGGCCATGAAGAAACTGGTATAATATATCTACTGGAGGACAAAGATGTCTGTATCTCCCCTCTCTAAGCTGTCCAGTTGCCGCAGAACGAAAATTTCCTTCGCCGGTGCCTTGGCTGACCTCGTATGGTTACCTCAATCAGGAATAGCTAGTGTAGGCCGGCATCAACGCACTCAACATGCGCCTTTAACTCCATGCTCTAATGTGAAGCAAGAGTCACTCATTATACACGAAACGGACCGCATACTGAGATAAGATTCCCTGGCCATTAGAGCTCACTCTTTCGAAATCGTGGAAAATACGGTTATTGTCGCATCCTCGTAAAACCAATTTTCGACAACGCATTCCGTATTATAGTTTATTGTGAAGACACCGCGGTGACCGATAAAGAACTCTTCACCGAGAGCATCGAACTTGACTTTGATCTTACCAGATGATACGGAGCAAATCCTTGTTTTCTCACCATCGGCTTCAAAGGTATGTGAAGTACCTGGCTTGATGCCCAGGATCTGCACGGTGGCATTTGGACCAACGCTGACAGCTTGGCTTAGTGTTAAATACGGAGCCGAATATGCGATGTCTGTGATTCCCGTCAGCAATCATCTACCAGAACGTGGTCCGTGACTGACTCTCCACACCGCTGTCGCTCTCTACGACGCGTCTCCCCGGAGCAAACTCCCAGTCTTCCATACCCATGCCATTGGTGGGAATCATGAGGGGTGAAACAAGCATGCGAGACCTGTTTCCGTCTATAATATCTAGTCTGCCGTCTGAAACGGCACTCGATGATATGTGAGATGAGACCAATAACGGGGTTGTACTCTTTTGCTCTAACATCGCCTGAGTCGATGATGAAGGAAGAGGTGACTGTGATACTGGGGTATCAAGTCTGATCATTTCCATAGGCTGATGTGAAGGCTGAGCCGACTTGATGACAGGAGCTCGGTTTACATCGTGAGCATCGTCTAGCTTGTCCTTCGTATCCTGACTGATCTGGCGGGCCGCGAAGGCACAAGGACGGCCCTTTTGGAAGTAGTAGCAATTGCAGCAGCTGTGGTCCAGTGACTTCCTGTATTTAAGCGGTGCAGAAGGTAATGCGACGCAATTCTCATGATAGACATGCCCGCCAGAATCGGCGTTAGGCGAGCTGCAGTTATTGCACAGACCGTTCTTACCGGTCACCTGGATAAGCATGGCGACCAAAGCCCTGAAGTCGCCCCGTTGGGGATCTTGGAGGCTATATGCCCACCTGACAGCAAGGTTGCGCTGACGAGGAAGATCCATCAGATATAATAGAAGCTCCTCTTCGTCCTTCTCTCCTAGTACGAAGTCATGAGCAGGTAGGAACTTGGAAGCGATATGCTGCCAAGCCTCTGACGTGACCTTGGCCTCCTCGAATGATGACTTTTGTGGGGAGCCAAACACACAATTACCGGAATATGGCTTTGCCTTCACAACGGCCGGTGGTCGAGCTTGTACATTGACTTTAAGGCTCGGAGGTGCTGTGCTTGAGCTCTTGGGTGGAAGGGGATCCGTCGATACGATTTTGGCTGGTAGAGCTCCCTTCCTGTCCGTTTCCATTCGCTGACCGACCTCACAGAGTGTACCATCCAGGCAATCATTCATTAGTTTGGCTCGATGGGTCGCCTGAGTCTCATCAGTTTACACGGCTTCTCATACGTCTTTTATGTTTCGAATGTAGGGAGTCAGAGACGGATCTCTTACGTTGAAATGACCGCCAAGACCCCTCAGGGTCGTGCAAGACGACCTGCAGCTCCGTACGGGACAGACCCATGGATGACTAGCCTCCATGTCTGGGATATACTGGCCTGGCAGCAATGCGCCATACGTTGGTTGTTCGAGTCCCTTCTCATCTACCATACTTTAGCTTTGATCTGTGCTTACAAAAATCGAATTTCTCGCATACCTATCCAAGAGGTGTAAGCTCGCGAGCCCGCCATGGTGATGGATGGCGGATCTCTCTTGGTCTCTGAATGCAAATCACGCTCGTCATCCGTATCACCTTCACTCTTAACGAAGGTAGATGGCGATGGGACGTTTTCTTTTCCCGAGAAAGTTCTCTTTTTTGGCATGTTAGGCGAACTGCGGTCGACAGCATGTTCTGGTTCGCGGAGCGGTGACTTGTTATCATCCTCACTCTCAGACGAGACCACCGAATTGTCACGCCTGGCTGGGCTGTATGCAGGTCTAGGGATGGCTTCTTTCCTGGCAAGGGGCAACTGAGCTGGGATAGAAGTGTCTGACCCCGAGCTGATGGATAAAGCTCTCGGCCGGGGACTTGATCTTGCATCCGGATCTGGGGTGCGGACAGTCCGGGGCGATGGTGACCTTATAAGGCTGCGCGATAGGGATGAATCGGACATAGGGCCAGTACCACTGATACGGCGCCTCTTGGGCTCAGGGTGCGTCCAGTCGGAGACATCTGGCAACGCCACATGCTGCTGCTCGGCGGCCACTGAGACGGGTTTGATAGAGACTGGTAGCAGGCGTGGCGCCGAAACTGGAGTAGGAAGGGCATTAAGAACGGAGCTGACACGCCGCTGAGGAAGTGGTCCGTCGCTTCGTTGTAAACGCTTGAGGCCGGGCCGGGTTCCAGTCTTAGTGTTGGTGACGGCCGGCGTTCTGGGGCCGGAACTGAAGCTGCCGCGCTTGCCCCGCAGAGAGTCGCGCGAAGCGTTGGGGTTGACATGCCCAGAGCCAGACGCAGACATGGCAACCAAGGCGCTGCGAAGATGAGGTGATCGGAAGAAGAAGATGATACACAAGTCGCGTGATCCTCTGCCCGGCAGCTCAGGGGCTCCGACGCCGCGCTCGATGCAAGGCCCTCATCACTCGGAATTTCAGGGGTAGGCAAGTAGGAGTGATCAACTACGGCGGCTAGAGACGCGACAACAACAGCTGGCGGCGGCTGCCGTTACGACCCAGCTAGAGCTATACGTAGGGAATCAAGTACAGCTAGCGACTGTGATTGTACGCAAGAGCCGCAAAGGCAGGCGCTGTTTTGTTCCGGGAGACGGTTGTCGTTGCTGAGACTGAAGTTGATTGAGGATGTTGCTCAGTTTGAGTGGCTCAGCTTTCGTGTCTCTATGAAGCCCCTCCCCGTTGAGGTGTGGCAGGCTTTATCCCCCCTGTTGATTGAGCCCAGGCGCGTCAACATGCAGTGTCACAGAGAGATATCCCCAAATTCAAAGTAAACTTGTCAACCCGAAACTCTTTACATTACCTGGACCTCGCCATATTCATTGCTAGTTGCGATTCACGTAATATGTACAAAATGTATGACTTGATTAACACGGCTATCAGACACTAGAAAGTGTGCAACACAGCGGCCTTTAACAAGCTTCAGGTCTGATAGAAAGTGTTCTACATTCTTCTCATTGTTCAATGCGGAGCTGGGTCAAAGCGTGCCAAGGGCATGTGTATTTCTCCGATGATATGACATGGTGTACTGGATTGGTATTATACAATATTTTTGCGATGTTTGCACATGATGCTACATATTCGACAAATCTAGGCCTTGATGCTTAGTTTACCCGGCCGAGGGATACATGCCTATTGCGCTGCCGAGTTGAAGAAAGACTTTGCTGGTCGTCGACGTCGGGAATCAACGCTGGACAATCATGCCGCGGTCTTCTTCCCATCCTTTCCTTTCGAAGCCTTGCCCTTTCTTGGCCCCTCAGCTGCCCGCATCTCAGCCTGGCGCTGTCTCGTCTCTTCCCTCTCCAACTCCTTCTGCTTCGCCTCGAGCTTCTTGTTTTGCGCCATCTTTCTGAACCGCGCCTTCCGGCCGCCCAGCTTCCACGGCGCCGTGTACATTGTGCGTCCCGCCAGCCGGCCGATGGCGGCGTTTCCTTCCGCATAGCTATAGTTGCTATTGAGGTGAAGGACCCGCGTGCGACGACGCTCCTGCCATCGCCTGGTAACGAGAGCCAGACCCTGCGGTTCCTTGGCCTTCTTGGCCTTCCGGGTCTTCTTAGATGTCTCGGTAGGGAGATCATAGTACGCATCTCTGACTACCCTTCGTGGGAGGCCGCTGGCGCTCAAAAGGTCGGCTGGCGCGCCCTCCTTCCTCGGCACCGCGACCATGCCTAGCTTGCGCTTGCGGACAGCATGGCGGGGGTATGGCAGCTTGTCTTCGCGGTTGAAGGCCACTCCAATGTACTGTCTTGTGGGGTGACGTAGAGGATCGCGGTAGTATTTGACGTATCCGGCCACGCCGGCGTGGATTGTGTGGTCTCGTCCCAATATGACGTTCTCGCCTGGATGCCAGATTGTGCCGCGCTGCTTGTAGATGATGTTTCCGGGTATGACATATTGATCTGTGTAGAAAAGAAAAAGATTGTGTTAACCATACAATCAGGGAACGTGATGCCAGACAGGTCCAGACAATGTTGCCAGCACTCCAGGTCCGACAAAGACAGTGGCGACACGTTACATACCTCCGCTCCTTTTGGCACCTAACTTCTTAGGTATCGTCTTCCGCGGCCGGAGCTTGTAGGCTCCCTGGCTCTTCACGGAGGCATATTTTCGGCCCTCAATCGATGCATTCCCATCGCGAAAGCTCGGTGTCGCGACCAGTGCCGGTCGCAGGGCTAGAGAATACGTCAGCGCCGGTCTGTAGCCTCCTGAGGCAACGGCCTGCAGCGGCCGATGCAATTGAGCCAGCCGCATGTCCGGGGCGGTATTGCGAGGTGAATCGGGGGTGGTAAACGACTGGTAGATTGAGCTCTAGAGGAACATTCGGTTTTGAAAATTGGATTGGTGACAGGCGACACCAGCTTAGTCATCTGCTGATAACGATAAGCTCCGGACGTTCAATAATGGGTGGGGAGTTTTGGACACCTCACCCAAGCGTGCCGTCCGTTAATTATACCAGCATCACTCTCACTGACAGCACCTTCACCAATTCCCACGTCTCTCCCTCGTCGACATTTCATTGTTCCTTCTCAGCGACACACAGCAGCATATGCTCAATTGCCTAGTCATTTGGCTGTTTGAAGGGACCACATCGCTCGTGTTGTGCCAAGATCTTCACACCCGAACATAAAGGGAGCTCGAACTATTGTGATTAGACAAGATTCAACGAGAAGACCAACCTTGCACTGGCAACATGGGCTACCTGAGTGCGCTTCCTCTTCTCTTCCTGGCGTTTACGAGCTCCGTCAGCGCACAATTTGGATTTTTTGAGCAGATGTTTGGTGGCCAGCAGCAACAGCAGCACCAGCAACCGCAGAACGCTCCGAGCGACTCAACATTCTACCGTCAGCAATTTGAGCGAGGTAAGTGTGGGCTCCTGTTCCTGAAGGACGTCGAATAGGCTGGATGGTTACTGACGATATTGACTACATGACAGCCCATTGCTCGAATTATCTTTGCCCCGATACTCTTGCCTGCGTACACTTCCCCCACCACTGCCCCTGTGCATGGCCGAATCACGAGGACAAGTTTGAGTTGGCTGATGGCCAAAGGATATGTGTGTCCAAGGGCGGTTTCAAGGCGGGGGAAGCTCAGAGAAAGGTTGAACTAGCGAGGAAGGGTCTTCTGTGAGAACACAAAACTACAAGCTGTACGATTAGTCGGACTCGAAGCGGAGTGCTACAAGACTGTTTAAAGCCGCAAAGTGTAGAATCTGAGGATCATGAAGCGGAAGCACACCACCGGTTACATCGCCTGGGATTGCCTCAGAACTCTCAAGAAAGTGTAATGACAAGATTGATTGATACGTTCTTCGCAGGCTCTACTGTACAAAGTCGTCTTGCCGAGAAGCAAGCTTTCTCTTTACAAGATTGTGGAGAGTAGAGACAGAAGGCCATGAGTCAAGCGCTTGAAGTCGCCTCCCAAAGCCTCTACTTCCACCAAGCGTGCTTCCTCTGAAGCTGTGCTGCCCATAATGCCTAGAACAACATAAGGGACATGTCGATATTCAGTGTACCCCAGTCTTCCAGGGTGAACTCCTAGCCCAAAACTCCAATAACCCTGATGCATCACCATTCCCATCTTGCCGCGTCACTCGTCGACTCATATGTGTACTACTACCTCGTCCGCTAGCCTCCTCTAGTTACACTAGAGACACGGGGGCGAAGCGCAGGTCTATACAGCCCGTCCATTTGAGTTCGGAACGGGAGGGACGGCGCGGCCATTGCTTTCGTCGTCATCGCCGGCTAGATCATCGAGGTCCTCGGGGTGGCCCAGCAGGTGGGCGACATTCTTCATCTCGTAGTGCTTCTTGCGCATCTGGGTAAAGCGGCGGTGCTTTTCACGCTCCTCGGGGCTGAGTCCGACCAGCTCGTCGTCGTCGTTATCGTGGCCGGATCCGGCGTCGTCTACGTGCACCCTGCTTCCTCTGTGCTTCATGGCGACCTCGTCGGCGGGGACGGGCTCAGGCTCGGGGACGGCCTCCTCGGGCTCGCCGAGCGACAGGCCGGGAATCTCATCCTCGGCATTGGAGGCGGTCTTGCCGGACCGGGCGGGCTTGGGGATGCCCGACCCGACCATGTCGATGTCGTGGTCGTCGTCGGAGGGATCCTCGGCGGGGTCGTAGTGCTTGGCGTAGGGGGTCTTTGGCTCGGTGATCTTCATGGTGGAGGAGCGCTCCTGCTCGGTCAGGTAAAGGTTGGCCTCGTCCCACTTGAGGCGCTGCGACGACTCCTCGTCGCCGTGGTGGCTGGGGGTCCTGGAGGATTGGCGCCGGGAGCCGGCGGGGCGGGCGGCGGAGGAGGAGCGGCGGTGGCCGGCATTGTACTGGGTATTTTGAATGGTGAGCTCCTTCTCGGTGATGGAGTCGTCGTCGGCCTCGGGAGTCGCGGAATTTGCGTGGTGGAGCTGGGTGGGAGACACGGGTGGAGATCGCTGGAAGGAGTTCTTTAGGATGCCTGCAGTGATGAGAGGCACGTCAGTCTATCTTGTATTCCTCTGGGGAAGAAGTCATCCTGGACACAGCCGAGACGGCGGAGCCTTTGGCAGGCGAGGCGGCATATCAGGCCGTCATCATGGAGTGGGCTGTGGGATGGATGGGATGGATGGGATGGACTTACCCTTTGGCCGCTTGGTTTCGGGGCCGGGCGGGGAGTGAGGGACTGGACTCGAGGTCACGACGGTAGCCATGGTGTCGCTGTAGTTCTGTTGGTGTCTGTATTGGAGACCCGACAAACGCTGAAGATACCGGGATGGGATGTCAGTGTCGTTGACCACGAGAGTACCGGTATGATATGCGTGGGCAAAAGAGAATGTGGATAGATGGATGGCAGGATGGAGACAAAATAACGTTAACACCTGAACGGTGCCCGCTGCCAGCCAGCGCAATGACGGGGATCTCAGGTGGCGGGGGGAGGTGGGCTGGTGGGCTGCGGGTCGGTTGCTGCCTTTTAGGTAAGCTACCTACAGTAGGTACTTTCTATAAAGATCAAATGTCAGGCTGCGATGGAAATGTGAGAATAACTCCCTATATTGGCGAGACGCCAGCGAGGGGAGCGTGCTGTTCTCGTTTGTTCTTGATGATTGTCGTCCGGATGATAAGACGCAGTGCATTGCACATTGAATGATGATGATGATGACAATGACATAAATGCATGCGGCATCTAGACTGAGTGAGGTGACTTCTTTTTTTTTAGTGTCGTTCTGGGGCTGCCTCCCTTGGAATCTGACGCGGCTACCGCTTCCAGTCACTAACCTTTTCCTTCTATCGGTTTCGTTTTGTTTTGGTGCCGAGGGGCTGGACCTCCGTTTCCACGCCATCTGCCCCCGGCCGGGCAACGTTAACGTTAATTAATGGTAACGATAGTCTAACGCTTTCACCAAACAAATGGATGTCAACCTGTCCAGCCGATGACGATCTCTACGCCGCCACGCTTCTGAGAAACCTCCATTCGTGTTTGTATACGCTCCTCATGTTGTATTGTATACACTCCCCGGTTACGCCTCATTTACAAGAGCTGACGATGATGATGGATGGTGAGAGTATTCATGATAAAGGGTGGCTGGCTGGGCATAAGATACAACAACAGGCCCTTGAGCCTGACAACGCGTTTTCCCCATGTGCATGTGATCGCTCCAGCACTCCGGACAACCGAGACAGCTCCATGAACCATCCGTCCTCGTGCCCTGAGTTGATTTAACAGTACCTACTTACTGCAAGCCATACAAGAGACACAGAGGTGTCAACGGAGACACCAACCCTCCCGACGCCTTTATCATGCTATGGTTGGGCTTGGCTTCCGCCTTCATTCGTCGGGCACTCAGTCAATCAACCTTCTTCTCTTGCTAATCAGCTTTGCTGACTTCACAATCGAGGCGGGCTTGAATCTACACGTATTAGTGTACAGTCCTAGCCCAGCACGCTCGTCCCTAGGGCAAGTCCGGCAAGGGTCTGAGGGTCCCAGGGTCCATCTGTTTAGGCTCACGATCGGCTGACATCATTCAACACCAACACCATGACCTCACTGTGCATTTGCGCTTCACGGATTTGACCACACTGGCGAGACTGGCTATCCTACTTTCATGCAACCTACAGTATATTCCAGATCCCCGCATTCACCACGCCCAGATATGCCTAACAAAAGGGCATCTAGTCATTAGACTAGATAGATCAGAGCAACTGTAAAAGAGACAAATGATGGGGCGAGCCGCGCCACGCGGAGATCGTGATCCGATTGCCCCCCTGCCTGGACTGGGGCATGCGGAGGGATCGCTTCTAGACCAGGCGCCCATACCTTAGTGCAGTATGACACGATTACCTTCCCTTGAAAACATGCCTTTAGATTCTTATCCTTTTCCCTCTGAGAACTTCTGCATCCTAGAGACGGCAGAAAGCCAGATTCCCTCATCCCAACTCGTGTGGAATTCAATGTCAATGTCCGAATCATCTCCAGCGACTACCATACGTCCTCAACCAATTCTCCCGTCATAAGTGTAAGTGGCTGTTTCCGTAGAGAAGAGCTGGTCAAGTCGGTGTAAACAGTGCAGTTTCAGCAACCGTCGATGCAAGGACTAGCTTTCTTGTGCTTGGGTTCGGAGGTAGTTGATCCAATGCTTCCCTGTCAATCGCTTGCAGAGAGCATCCTGGCCGTTGAACGCCGAGTAGGGTCGGCCAACGCTCCACCGCCCTCGGTATGGAAATAGCGAACCGGTTCGTCTCTCATATATAAGGTACAGATATATGCAATCTCCTGTGACATTGAGCCGGAAGAGGTTATGTGGTGACGAGGGCCAACCAGACGTGTCACAAACAAGTCCATGTTACAGCCAGACCCCGCGCATGTATCTGGCTCCACCAAGATAATTCCAACTCGGGAAGGTCGCCGCCTAAGGATACTGGATCTCAACGATAGGAAGATAATGCACCGAGAAGTAGATATTTATGTGCCCACATTCACGGCTTACAACCAGAGTGGTAGATTGATCATGGATTGGGGAAGGTTACCCCTCATTCGCCCCTTTCAGAGAACGTCTGTTTCCAAGTGTTGTGTCCAGGCAACTTGAAAGACTTTGGTCGATTAGCAAACGCTCGCCATGAAGCTATCTCAATGGCTCACATCTTTGTCACAAGCAGCAATATGGTCAGCCTCATCTGTTGCTGGTAGTGCCTCGGAAAGGAGAGCGACCAGCTCGGAATGCAAACTCCCGGCAGACGATGGTGTCTATCTCAGTTCTGGATTTGGCTACGAGCTGAATTGCGCTCCAAGCACTGGCACCCTAAATGCGTTCATGTTTTTTGTCGACTTCCCAGACCAAGGGGCTACTGACAGACCACAAGATCTCTACAGTGTCTTTCTTCCCGGGGCCGCAGATTGGTATGCCTCCTCCTCGTACGGCAGACTCACGCTAAACGTGTCGGCCGACACCTCTCGTTTTTACCGCATGCCTGCAAAGGCAGATTCTTATGGCTGGCAGCGCGGACTGACGTCTGAGGCCCATCAGACTTACATTCAGGATGCCCTGGACGCATACACAAGTGTAGCTGGCCAGCAGTCTCTTCCAAACACTGATGTCTTGTACATTGTTCCAACTCAAAACGCCACAGCCATATCCTTCTCGCCGACATACATGGGCGATGTGACCACTCGTAGTGGTACGCCAGTCGCTAAAAAGGCAGTGACGTTTGGTCTCGATGCCTACGTTACTTGGCATTACAAAGTCCTAAACCATGAAACCGGACACACAATGTGCCTACCAGATCTGTACCCGCTGCCCTCTGGCCCCACGGGATTATATATCGGCGGCTGGGATATGCAGGGCTACATCAACGGACCAAGCCCTGACTATTTTGCATGGAACAAATGGAGGCTCGGCTGGTTGTCCGATGACCAGATCGACTGCCTCACCACTCCGGGTTCTACGACGCACACAATATCGCCACTCGAGAGTCCAGGCGGCACCAAGGCTGTCGTTGTCAAGCATAATAGCACGGCTACCCTCGTGGCAGAAGTTCGCTCTTCTCAGGGCATTGACTCGGCATCGTGTGCGACTGGTGTTTTGCTCTACACTGTATCAACCGTGACCGCCACTGGGCTCGGCCCCATTCGTGTATTGGACGCGAACCCAGGCTCCGGCGGTTGTGCAGGCGACGAGTTGAACGATGCGCCGTTAAACCTAAACGGCACCAGCTCGTTCGTCGTGCCGGGCTGGAACATTACCGTTACGGTTATCGGGCAGGTCGGAGCAACATACAATGTCCAAGTGAATGTCAAATGAATTACTGGTAACCCTCGACTGCTCTGTAGCGAGACCGTGAGATGACGGCGACCAAGAGGCCGCCGGAAGGCAAATCTCTTACCCTCCATATACTCATTCCATCATCTGAGAAGATTTTTCCATACTGCATGAGGGCATAATATGGTGATCCATGATTGAACATGTAAACTAGGATTCTACCATATCGCACATCTTTCCTACCCAGTAATCACTTCTTCTACACTGCTCCGACCAACTCGCCTTCGCCGAGGCGAAACCGAGTATTGACCCCCCCAAATATGATCTAATTACCTTCGCACTGGAACTCAAAACTTTATCAGAGATATCTATCCCTAGTCCCTTAGGTTGTGTACCTGAATCCTTCATTCTGCTTGTCAGTCAGATCAAGCCAGTCCTGCTCGGCGGCGAGTCTGGCTTCGATAGCTTCCGCCCGCTTACGGTTGCTCATATGGCAAAGAGCACCGTAAGCGAGGATGCAAATCATGGCGACGATATAGCACACGATCATAGCAATGATACCACCGGTGTATTTGGGAGCCTGGTCGGCACGGAATGTTTGCGGGCCAATGATGTTACCAGTGGTCCAAGAGATGTAGAACCATGCGTAGAGGACAATCCTAGGAGATTATTGTTAGCACTAGAGACGATAATCATCATCTGGGCCAAGCAATACATACTTCTTGGTATGGCCAGCAATGTTAGCTTGGTAGATCGAGACAAGAGTGACGTATGGTGCCCAGTAAGTGTACAAAATACTATTAAAGGTTAGTTCATCCATAATTTCTCCTCATGAATTCTAGCCATGTACTTACTATAAACCAATGAGCTGACCAGCAAGATTGTCTCGAGGTAAAGCGTAGCAGAGGATGGCACCGAGCAGAGGGAGCAGGATTGAAGCAGCAACCATGACTGTGCGATATCGTCTTGTCGTAGATGCGAGGAATGACAGGGCTAGACCCGAGAGGGTGCTCATAGCTCCAGGGGGCATGGCCAACAATGAGGTTTGCAGCGGACTGAAACCAAGACCGCTGATAATCAACGTGTTGAATGTAGTCAATCCGCCGTTAGGAACTTGGAGAGCAATAATAGAGATCCAAATGAGCCAAGTCTTCGGGTCAGCGAATGCCTCCCAGATTTGTTCCTTCTTGATTGCCTTGGTCTCGATACCCGTGTTGTCCGCAGCCTTTCGCTGGATGATGATGTACTTCTCCCTTGGCGTAAGTCTCTTGGTCTCCAATGGGTTGTTGGGGAGGAACCAGAAGACAACACCAGACCAAACGATAGTGATCGAGCCAAGGAGGAGAAAGATAATCTTCCAAGTTGCGAATGGGCCTTTGTAGTATCCTACAACCCAAGCCACAAAACCGTTGACAATAGGCGCAACAACGTTGAGAATAATAGAGTTACGTCTAGGTTGCTCCTCAGGCCTGTACCACATGGAGACAATCAAGGTAACGGCGGGAATCAAGAGCGCCTCAAAACCTCCAAGCAGGAAACGGCAGACGAACAACCCGGCGAAGCTAGAGGTAGCAGCCATGCACATCTCCATGATTCCCCAGCAGAGGACGTTGAAAGAGAAGAAGACAACAGCAGGCATTCTCTGAAGACAGTATGCTGCAGGCCACATGAAAAGAAGACCACCGAAGAAGGGTGCAGAACCAATCCAGGAGTATTCCTGTCCAGTAAGGTGCAAATCCTTCTTGATATCGTAGATGGCGGCAGCAGAGATGGCAGTCTTGTCAAGGCCAGACAGAGTAGCACACACGAACAGCTGAAACCTGTTAATTCACAACTCTCAAAAAGGGTAGAAGATGATCATACAATAGGGATCAGCCACCAATCGATCTTGCGCATAAGCTTCTTCTCTTCCTCCTTGCTCCAGCCATCCACACCCATTTCATCCGCATAGTCTGCGATGATTTGGGCAGCAATATCAACATCTTTGGCATTGCCTGCCTTGACGGCTTTCACGGCTGCCTCCACAGTAAGAGGAGCAGGCTTAGGTTCCTGGATAATCTCATCCGCTCTTGCGGGTGCAATGGCATCTGAACCCATGTTGACGAACAAGAGACTTGAACAAGGCAGTGTCTGTCTCGGAGTAGCTCAAGCCCTACTTCTGGAAGGTTGAAAAGCAGGGATAGGGATGAGGACGATCAACATGGGCTAGAGAAGACGGAGGATCACGCAGACATTTGAACTGTCTGGATCGCAGTTACAGATGGGCTGTCAAAGCCTCTCAATTATCAGTTGTCGATAGTTGATAACAAAAGAAAAATGTCCGATTGGCTCTCATACCTTTCAGACCTCCATCGTGGAAGACATAAGTTAGCCGCAGCATATCGTTTAAGAGCCTGGGCTCTTTGATAAGCTTGAATTGGCGGCATGTCTCCATGAATCAGAGTCTTCTGGACCCAATTGAAAGCCACGTTTTGCCACGATAAGAAATTGTTTACTGACTCGGACGTGGTGGATCCTGCGATAAAGTGAATGGCCAAGCTGGCCGCCTTTGGCCGCACTTGGCCGCGCGGGGGACCAGAGAGCGGCCAAGTCTAACCTCTAGTTCTGGCCGTGATCCCCACAGAGCGGCACACCCCTGCCAGTCCAAAGCTCTGGAGATGACAGTCGCTGGCCGGGCATGGCAAAGTGGTATGATGGTAATTTTTTGATATGAAATATTAGGGCCTCATCCCGAGTCAAAAATAGTAGGAATTGAAGGTCGCTAGTCTGCTTCATCGTCTATCAACTCCGATCCGCTAAGAACAACTACAATGATTGCCAAGGTGCCTACCCCTGAGCCCGAAGTTGCCAATGGCAAGGGCAATGGTCCCCTGTACCCAGACTACTTGCGTGAGTCTCATCAACAATCTTCATCGTGAACTCGTGGCATACTAACATATTGCAGCGCATTATGATCCCCTAGAGCAGGTTGTGCCAGTTGGACCTTTCGAACATGAAGATCCCGGCCACCGAGCTGATCCAGCTCTGCCAAATCTTCTTAAGAACGCCACAAAGGTTTCCGATTTGAGCCCACACTGCGGTACAGAACTCCTAGGTGTTCAGCTGGTGAGAAATGACAAGCCTCCCGCTATTTCAAGATAGCATATATTGACCTGCTCAGTCGGAACTTTCGAATGCTGGTCTCGATGAGTTGGCTCTTCTTTGCGCCAAGCGCGGATGCTTGGTCTTCCGTAATCAGGACTTCACAAACTTGGGATTCGAGAAGCAAAAGCAAATTGCATCTTACTTTGGTAAGAAGAAACCATCTCCTAGTTAAATTTGTCAACTTGCTTACACCGGTATTAGGACCCCTACACAAGCATGGCTGGATGCCTCACCCTAAGAATGGACCAGAAGAGTTTGTTATTGTCTATGACTCAAAAGAGTTAGTATACTTCAATCTTCCAGTGGAATCCTCAATCATATGTCTAACGATATCAGTGATTTGAGAATTCGGAAGTCATGGGCACGGAAGAGCCCAATCCAGTTTCACGTGGACCAAGTATGTTTACTTATTGAACAAGACAGCGCTGAAGGCCGTGATGACTAACGTGGAAAAACAGTCTCCGGAGACACAACCACCAGGTGCTACATTTTTCTGCATGCTGGAGTCACCAACAGGCCCTGGCGGAGACACAATTATCTCTAGCGTAAGCCATCCTTCATGAACTGCTCTAACAATTAAAGTGTTGACAAGCTACAAGATGACCCGCGCGTTCCAGCGTCTCTCTCCCTCTTTCCGCAAACGACTTGAGGGTCTGAGAGCTGTACACACTACAGCCAAGCCTATGGAGCGGGAGCTTCGTGATAACGGTGCGAATGCCAACCTGCGCCGGGGTATCACAAAGTCGATTCACCCCGTCGTAACCGTCCACCCTGTCACAAAGGAGAAGGCCCTGTTCGTCAACTCGTCTTACACCCAAAGCATTGTTGGATGGGATGATGATGAGTCCGATTATATGCTTAAATTCCTTTTCGACCATATCAACAGGGGCCAGGATTTCTGCTGCCGAGTGCGCTATGAGCCTGGCACCGTCGTGATCTGGGACCAGAGAGTGACACAACACTCGCAGACTCTGGATTATGCACCTGGAGATCGACGACATGCATTCCGCCTGACACCTCTGGCCAATATACCAATTCCAAGCCTGATCGAGGAGGATGATGGTGAATGCGCGAAGGACGAGGGTCGTGTCATGTTAAACCTGTGCTAAATACCACAACTCACATAATATAATGATAAAATGTTATGAATCACAACATCAAGCTACTTCGTTAGAGTCTTTTTCAACATGTCTTGATAACAGTGCATCATGTCTATCATTAAATCTAATTTTTGGCACTGGGCAAGCACAAGTTGCTCATTGAGACTAGTCTCTTCCCCCGAGATTATCTAATAATGTCTCGACACGCAGTAGGCCAAGATTGGTAAGACCTTTCATGCCGGCTGCACCGCTCGTTGACATGCGATTTGCCCACCTCCATCTTTTGATGTAATCTTGGAGTTCGCCGTATTCTTCTTCAAAACCCTGTCCACTTGGAGTTTCAAACCTCCAGGCTGACACGATATGCAATAGATGGACCATGAATGATCCAGCGATCGCGAAGCACGCACGGCTCCAGCTATGCCAGAAGGCGTTCCATTGCACTCCGGTCAAGGTTTCGACAAACTCGACAAACTCCTTAACGCAAACTAGTGCCCCTCGAACGACGGCCTGAGCACGATCAAACATAGGCCCGGCTTCTTCTGATGATACCGTGCTGGACCAGGTTTGAAGTGGTCGGAGTAGTGCTCGAAAGAGACTCATATGGGCAACAACATATGAGAGATGGACCGATGCGTTTCCGTCTAGTTCGGGTTCTCGCTGATTCCTGTGTGTAGGGAAAGAATCGGGGCGAGCTCTATGAGCGTCGAATCGAAGACTTTGTGGGAGATCATCTCGCCACTCCTTCAATCTAACTCGAATGGATCTTGCGGCGTCGAGAGAGAACTGCAGATCATTTGCTGTGGTACTGATTCCTCGCGTGGAATAATAAGTCTTTTGGATATCGGCAAGGACTCCTGTTAGGGACACGAGATGTCGGATGTGGTCATTCGTTTGGTTCGAGACTGATAGAGTGTCTTCAAAATCAGCCGATGTGAGTTGCGAGACATCATAGTCATCGTCATGTATGTGGCTGGGCATGCCTCGTGCAAGGGCTATCCATTTCTCCATCGCCCAAAGCGACCACCATAATCGGCGCCTCATCTTTCGTTCCCAAAGCGGGACTGAACTCCAGGCCGATGGATCGCGGTGTAGACCAACTGTTTGACCGACTGCAACAGCTGTAGACATTATGCTCCACGCGAAAGCCGTGTCAGAAAGGTATTGGTTTGTAGGTAGGCGTTGTTGGAAAAGTAGACATGCTTGAAGGGTAGACAGTGACGGTGCATGAAGTTCTTGCCATATCCCTAGCCAGCAAAGGCGATATAATACTTGGGTTGATGGTGGACGCAACAGTAATGGCACCAGTCGTTCATCATACATGATGAATGGCAGCGCGGTAGCGCATATAGCCGCAAGTAGTGCTAGAGGCATGTTACTGAGCTCGTCAGGACTAGACGGAATTTGATGTCGACAAAGTATAGGAAAGTACGGATCCACAAAGCGGCTGTACAGTTGAACGAGATGCCAGGCAGATGTTGGAGTCAACAGCTTCCATAACTCGGACCAAGCGTGCTCGACAGCCTCAGTGTCAACACGAGGCTCAGTCTTCTCAATCAGGGCTCGGTCTGTAATGCCGAAAATAGTTGGAAGTTGCACAGAACCAGACCTGGCACCTTGACCAGTTTCGAGCATGCGATACTTCAATCCGCTGACTTTCGGCTTGGTCATGCCACTTCGCCCAAAGCTCTCTCGACCTAGCAAATGGACATCAGAGACACCAGTAGGTCCAATGTAAAAGCTGAAGGAGTCAGCAAGGAACTCGAGAGAGCCAACCGTGGTCAGCTGGCCTTGATGCGAGCTATCGCTACCCGGAGGAGATGTGATCGTCCCCGCCAGCCGTCCGGGGCTCTGTGTAAGTTCAGTCAGAGCTGCCGCAGATGGAGACTGTCCGGCGTTCATTTGATAATGATTTTCGAGAGTGCTCATCATCTCAGCAGCCAGGAGCTCCGCATCCGGAAGGACGATATCGTGCATGGAGCCGGCCAGGTCACCACTATTAAAAAAGAGCTCGTCGTTATGAAACGAGAATGCTCCGGCATCAAAAAAGTTGGATTTTTCGATATCAGTGGGATCTGAAGTAGCGCTTCTGGACTCGTCATAGCCCTTCGCTGACATAGTCTCGGTGGCCTGGCCGAAGCTCGATGCTGGATGGGCCTGAGATGGACGTTTTCTTGGACCTGGACCTTGCTCAAAGGTACACGATTGTCGTTTGTGCAGACAACGGCGGCATGGAGGCCCAACGGGCATATCACATGTGACTTTCCTTCTGCGGCAGGAGTCACAGGGTCGAGATTTCCGAGATTTGTAGAGCCGTCCGGCCGGAGTAGACGTCGAGTCTTGCTCCATGTCGACTGTCTGGTGGCATTGACCTGCAGGACAGTCTGGCCCTGCACGTGGATACCTCGTAAGAGTAAGCAGTTAGCGCTCTGCAAAAGGTCCTTATCTGAAGCTCCACTTCCGCGGCTTGTCAAGATGAGCCCAGCGGCCTTGTGTATCAAGGGTTACCGAAGTTCAGATTGTGGAGGTGAAGTTGAATGGCAGGTAGACTTTGTGCTGTCCTATTGTGTGGCGGGGGTGGGTTCCGGATCGAGTCGGTAGGCACTAAAGGCCCTGGAAAGCCTAAGCCCTGCAGCTGGCCTCCACTTATAAGATATTCATTTCGGCCGGGCTACTAATGACTACTAGGGATGTGGCTGACTTACTTGCGTAGCATTACTCGTGCAGATGTTGGCTCTGAGGAATGCCGCTAACAATATTCCGAGACAACACCGGACTGGAGCTCTCGCAACTAATCAAAACTGTTCGGTTCAAGGGAGTTCGATGCTTCGACCCTTGCAACCTTGTCAAGAGTGAGAGTAAGCTGTATCACCTGCTCTGATTCTTATATGATGATACGGACAACGACATGCTCGATCTTTTGTAAGCATCAGGCTATCAGTAACACATCTGGTGGAGACAAGAGAATAGATCATGGGCCAGTTTCTGTGATTTTTGGTGTGGTGAATAATGATTACTCTATAATATGTCTAAAGTTGCATGCAAAGTACTTTGGACCTGTCACTTGAGAGCTAATGCTGCTGAAAGTTCGTCTATAGATGGCTCGGGCAATGTGGCCTCCAAGGCTAGAAGCTTGCCAAGATGCTGATGCGAGAACACAACGGCGGCTTTCTCGTCACTCATTGGTAAAAGCGGAAGACGAGGATTCATCCCATACCCGAATTGACGGTTCAGAAGCTTCTTCATCCCTGAGATCTGCGTGGACGTCAATACTGAGGCGTTGCTAGCTGTCATCAGTGAGCCGCTTACCCCTATCTTGAGCGCTATTCCATCTGCGAGTGATATAAGCTTCTGCAGCTTTTGTGCCTCCTGATAATCGTGTGCATTATCAAGCGATTGACATAAGTTCCATAATTTCACACACGCTTTCTAGAAACCATAAGTCGGGTGCACGAGTGAAACAGCAGAAAATACTCAATCGGCTTACAGGAGCAAGGTTGGGCAATCCGCTGATAGCGCCTGCTGAGCCAACAGAAATTGAAGGTAGTAGGAAATCGATGAAACCATCGATAGCTTGGAAGGGTATATTCTTATATCGCCGAGGGTAGGCTTGTTGAAACGCCGGATCGTCCACCTCACCCATGATTCGAGTTAGTTTACCAACATTCGCGCAAGTGAGCTTAACACCGCAAATGTTGGGTGATGCCCTGATTATATCCACAATCAAGTCGCTGTCCATGTCGATTCCACCAGAAACAGCAGGAAAATTGTAGATGATACTTGAACGTGTCAGTCACAAAATGCGAGCGTAGTTCTGGAAGTAGACTAGACTTACACTGGAACAGGAGATTTGTTTGCAATGTCAACGAAAAAGTTTTTGATGGCAGTTGTGTCCGCTAGAAGAGCCCCAGCATAATAACCTGGTGGTATCGCCATTACGAAGTCGGCACCTGCGGCAGTCGCTTCTATGGACAATTCAATAGACTCTCGGGTACTTGGTGCACCCACACCAGCGACGATGGGCATCTTAGAAAGGCCTATCTCATCCAAAGCCAATCGAGCGGCCTTGATCAACTCTTGGCGCTCCTCGTGACTCTTTCAATGGAACAGGCGTTAGATTGACAGAGAAGCAAAGGGTGGGGAGGAGCCGTTACCAGATGGACTGCTTCTCCAGCAGTGCCTGAAACCACTGGCACCGTTCCAGCCCGTGCTGTGACTGTGGAGCTTGTTAGTATTCAGACTATGTGCATTATGAGCCAGAAACGCACATTTGACATGGCTTTTGAAAGCCTCTAGGTCTATTGCAATGTCAGCTAAGACAATCATGTCTTGAATGTCGAGCTTCTAACTCACCGAGATCCTCATTCTCCTTGAAGAAGCATGGAAGCGGCGTATAAATGCCTCTCGGAAACACCCGCATTATGATTGAAAGAGGGTTTGTGGAGAGTTGTCTTATAAGTCTTGCTATAGAAAGCTCAAGGGCCGTGGTGTCATTCAAGTTGTTGAAGTAGATCCTGGCAAGAATTGTCTGACTCGTCTTTCATTGACTGGGTTATTTCCAGGACTGCTATTTCCTACAGTGGCGCTAAATACTGACTAGGTACTCACAGTCGCGGCCAACACACGGCGAACCGCCAAGGAGCGATAAGAATGGTGGGCCGTTCGGCGAGTTCCATTCGATCGGTGATTGTCGGGTCGGTCGGGTCGGTCTATCTGCCTGCTATTCTAATTCTTTGCGGTGTGTTTTGACGGAAGTATTTCACTTTAATCTACTGCTTCTTCCTATATCTGCATAGAGCACGACACGCACGCGCGAATGGCTTGACTAAGTACCTACACGATGCAAGTGGTACAGTACTGTACAAAGTCGATAACCACCACTGTCATCTGAACTAATCCCCCGCGATTTTCTAAGGAAAGGCATGTTTACATCTCGTAGTTGAATATAGTAACGTATAAAGCGTGCATTGTTCAGGCCCAGGCATCGAACCAACGAACAGCTTGGAAGAAGGCTGACTCCTTCCCAAACCGCTGCTGCGGATCAGACACATTCGCGCGAACTCCAAACCCATGTGATGTACCACCATATAAAGCGACCTGATATGGGAGCGTTGTGTTTTGAAGCAGCGCCTCAATTTCGGAGCGCCTCGCCGGGGGCATCATCGAATCGTTATCTGTGATTTGATCAGCCTGCAACGCCTACACCATCAATTATCTGCGGATTTTCACTGACCAGCAGCAGCAATGCTCGCTGGGCCCGCAATCGCCTCTATTTCTCCGTTTTCTAGGAGGCTGGGGTGCGCGGCAAAAGCGACATCAGCCCCTTTACCAGGTGCCACAAAGCGGAAAGAGTATCGGCCACCGTAACAGTAGCCTGTTGCGGCAATGGTCTTAATTCCTAGTGTTTTGCGCATATAATCTATGGTCGAGGTAATGATCGGATCAGTCACATTTGTGCCATGCGCAGCCAAGAACTGCGTTGTGTTGAAGCCGCCATTGTTGATGTCGCTCGGAGCTGGTGTGCCGTTGAACATGTCCGGGGCAACGGTCAGATATCCGGCCCTCGCAAAGCTGTCCGCCAATCTGGAGGAGAGTCAGGTCTTTTTCCCAAAGATTGACAATGACATGATAGCGGACAATTTATTTTGCGCCAGCTGGATACCAAAGACATCTGTCAGGTAAAGCACAGCGGCATCCTTCGCGGTCGTGGAGCAATCTGGAGTTGAGATATACATATTGACTACCCAGAGCATCTGAAATTAGAAAAATCACGCATGAAATCGATTTAAGAGAGAGAGAGAGAGGTGTTCTCTCGCCTGCTTGGTGGTTTATACCTCCATTGTGAACCTCTTCCTTGCCAACTGGAGAGCCTTCATGTGCAATGATTGAAGCATCAGCTACTGGACAACTGGCCGCAGTAGCTCTGGATGCAACATGTAATAATGCTAGAGCAAGATATAAAGATGAAATCATTCTGAGCTAGCTTTCCTTTCAATACGGTTTGTACCACTTTTGGGTGTGTTGACTAGGTCGCAGAGACAAAAGGCCAAACCTACGTCCGTGAGTGAGAGATAAACTGACAAAACAAATCAACTGCACTCTCCAGAAGCTTTTGCATTACTTCGCCATGGCTTACCCATGACTTATTAACATTTTCATGCCCCTTGCATAGCTCCATTTGCTAATCTCGGAGATCTGTCTCCAAGCATATACCAGAGTGACCCCTCACGGAAGCCAAGATTCTCAGGCTTATTGCACCAATTAGGGGTATTTGCCAAGGGCGAAATGACGCTGCAGAAGTCGAAGTTCGGCTAATATGTGGCCCGTGGTACGAGATCTCACAGTGATTTGTTGCATCCATACATTTTGAGCACGTCCTTGGAGACAGTGTTCAAGGACAAGCTCAAAAGTATTGTCTCAAGAAATACGAGCAAATCTAGACATCTTGCCATGAACAGATACTTGTTATAAGCTATATACATTGAAGGTGAAGTTGGATGATCATCGCTACATAAACCCAACTAGTCGTGGTTATTAACGAGCTATGGTATCAAGCGGAGCCCGGCATATCTCGGAGCTACAACGTCACATCATTCATACATCAGACTTGGTCCCCTCTCTTCTCAATGTGGTTGAACTCAACTTGTTTCTGATAGTTGTCCAGAACACCGCCCTCCACGCTCTCAGCAAAGACATCAACCTTAGTTGATGCAAACTTCCGAGCACTCACTCCTTGTTCAAAGAGGAGATCTAGCTCTGCGAAAGATCGTCCCATGGGCTCGGGAACTCTGAAGTATGTATAGATAATACACAGGAAACAAATGCCACCCTGTATATCGGTTAGCGTACATGTAGGGTTTGAATGAGGGAGAGAGCAGGCTCATACCCAGAAAAACCCGGCATAGTTGCTCCAGTTCCACTCGCCTGGGTTCAACATGTACGGAGTAAGAACACTGCATATGATACCAACAACAATGCTGCAGCACCTTGTCAGTAACTAAACGATGGAGTTGAAATCGGAAGGAGTACATACTAAAGAGCGCGGCCCAAGACAACGGTCTTGATCTGCAAGCGGCGTGTGGACATCTCTGCGACAAGAGAATAGCAAACAGTTCCGACGGTAAGCTGATAACACAGTGCCCAGACTAGCATAATGCTACCCGTCGCAATGGATCCTTGATCCCTATGACTCTCAGGTACGAGCCCTAGGAAGCCGAGGATGAATAGCATGGAGCAAAGTCCACATAAACCATATAAGTACAGTGACCGTCTGCCGATCCCTACACTCATCAAGAACCAGGCACCAAAGACACCGACCATGTTCATGCCATACTGGCCCAAGGCAAAGCCATAGGCGCTGTTCGCACTAAGTCCAGCTTGTTCGAGGAAATACGTCGAGTAGTTGGAGAAGCTGTTTCCGCTCAGGTTTTGTATGGCCCAGATCATGCAGACAATCTCGGTTCTGCGCAGATCATGGCCTTTGAAGCAGTCCCAGTACGTAGCGCCATGCGTAGTCCTCTCCTCCAGGGCTGTTGTATGAACCATCATGGCCACTGTCTCCTCTGCGTCGAACTCGGTCTCGCGGTTTAGACTGGTTAGGCGCAGCAAGGACTTCTTCGCGGCCTCTACCTTGCCCCTGCGGACGAGCCACCAGGGTGACTCAGGAGCGAACCATATACCGATGAGGAGCGGAACAGGCCACATCCATTGGAGAGCGTACGGGATGCGATACGCCCATTGATCCTCACGCTTCAACATACTCATGATAACGCCGATGCCGATCTCCTGGCCAACACCCCAGCAAAAATTCACGTAGGTTGTGAGATATCCGCGCATGGCGACAGGGCAGACCTCGGAGGCGTAGGTGATGGTCAGGGTCTGGAAGACGCCCCAGGGTATTCCACAGAGGATCTCAGCAACCAAGAGTGTGGCGACGTTCTGGGCGGTGAAGAAGATGGCAGTCCAAGCAATGATAAGAACCAAGCAGGCCATGACCGTGTAGCGGTAGCCGAAGCGCTCGGATACCCAGCCGTTGATAAGCAGCCCAATGAGCTCGCCAACGTTGGCGCCATTGCTGAGGCCGGACTGCCACCGAGCGGGGACCTGCCAGTCACCGTTGGCAAGCTGCTCGCCGTACTTGCGATTGAACTGGTCAAAGGCGTAGAAGTTGTTAATGAGGCAGACATCATAACCCTCCATAACGATGCACGTGCTGATCAGCATGCTCCAAGCAATTGCCTTTGGGTAAAGCTTGATGCCCTGCATGAGTGTCATCTTGTGTTCCTTCTCGGTGGCCGTCTTTGCGAAGTTGATGATCCGCTCCACGGCCTTGGCGTGATCAGTGTCGGCGTAATGGTCCTGGTCCTTCTCGTCGCTGATAGGGCCAAGGCCATCATTGTCGGCGACGGGAGCGCCGGGGACGACATCGTTGGCGTTCTTGGAGGCCATCTTGGAAGAAATGAGGGGGTGTTGTGTTGCGTTGCAAAGCTTTCCGGCCCGCCTGCTGGATCACGAAAGCGATGGGCCGGTGGGGTCCTTTGTCGCTGGAGTGAAAAACGCGAGTTGAAATAGAGGCGGTGATGCAGCTGTTGCGTACTGGTCTGGCCTTGGACTGGAGGTTGATCAGGCTGAAGCCCACGACGCGCCGTGACAACTGTATTGGTCAGTCAGTCTCCTTTGCCGTCCTGGTGTTGTCGTTGAGGCCGCGTTCGGGGGAAATCAAAACCTGCAGCTGCTCCTAAAGCAAAGTCGGTGTCGGTGTCGTGGGTCGCAGCGGGCGGGCAGGCCCCGTCTTTTATCTCGAAGATTCTCCAATGATGGGGCTCATTTTTCAATCTCTTCGTGGGGTGGGGATTCGCGACGGGTAGCGTGATATTCGAGGAACGGCGAGTCAATCGGCCACCAACAACGTCTCTTAGTGCACTGGTAGTTTAGCGCAGTCTCGTCGGAGCAGCGACGAGAATCGGAAATGGCGATTTTGGTCGAAGCAAGAAAGGGCGAAGGACAGGTTGCATCCATCCATCCAACCGCCAATCCACCATCATGACCTTACTTTACCAATGTAGGTAGGTAACTAGGATGGGTGGATATCGGTGGCAGAGGAGGGGGGATTGGCGGCTGTCAGCGCAGATCGTGACACGCCGAGAAAGTGTAGAGGACTGTGCAATATTCCCCATGCTGTGTCTCTCCCCTTCTCCTTCCCCGCATGGAGACATGTCCTGTTTGTTTGTAGGGATGGGGATGGAATGCGGCTTGTCTGCAGCATGTCCACGGTCATAGACCGGCATCCCATCCAGCCCCTCTCCTCCCATCCCCAGGTCGTGCAGGTGCATTGCAGGCGGACTTCCATGTGACCTGACTCGACCTCTCAATCCGGGCATTTCCGTTCCACTTGTGACGGTCCGTCTTGTTGGCTGATGGATCATCTATCTGGACTTCAGATAGATGACATGATTACCAGCAGCTGCGCACCTCGAGTAGGAAAAATGCAACTGACTTTTGATGAAAGAGGAGGCTGAAGCTAGGTAGGTAGGGTGCGGGTGCGAGTAAGGTGTAGGTAATGCGGGGTAAAAAGAAGAAGTTCAAGCCCCTTGGAACAGGCGGGAAGGTGCGACTGACTGCTATGGGCGCCACAAAAACAGCGCAGCACACAGCAGGCACAGGGCGCCTCAGACACCTGAAGCAGGCAAGCGCCGGCATTGACCACTAGAAATTCGGGGATATAGCTTACCCATGAGGTGGGCCATGGTTGGTAACTCTTTCCCTCGCAACCTTGGAATACTAGCCCAGGTGCAGCTTCTTTTCCCAGGTTCCCCTCCTTCCCTTCTTCCAAGGTTCTTCCTCTGCATTTCGTCACTCACCCCGCCGGCGTTTCTCCTCTTTCCGGGGAAATTGGAACAAACCGGCAAAGGAACTTCCTCCTTGGTCCGGCTGTGGTAAGCTCAAGTCCACTCGCATTCGGCGTATCTGTCGCCCTCCTTTCGGGATTCGATTCCTCTTTGAGGGTGTCTGATCTCACCCTCTCCTCTGCGGCGTTTGTTGCTCTTTGGTGCAACTCCATCTGCAGCGCCTGGCGGTTTTTTCGTGCTTTTAGCCCCACGACTGCTCTCTTTTTCGGGATATCCTCTCCCTCCGTTTCACTTTCCCTCATTCACGCATGCATGGGGAAATCTCTCTTCTCCACACTTACATTGCCATCGTCGCCGTGAATGACCAAAAACGAAAGAGCCATACGTGCAGCACGCGACCTCGCTGTCTGTTTCCCCGCCGCCCAGCATAGCATCACGCCAGCCCATCAACCAACGAACCATGTGTTGTGCTGTCTTGCTTGATGCAAAATCAGCCCAGCACTGATTAAGCCAATCACACGGGTTGTGCTAGCAGAACAGTCCCGTCTACCTGGAGCTCCGGCCGGTCAGCCAGCCGCTGCGCCATCAGCCAGCCTCCAGATTCGCCGTTGCGGCCTGGTCCCCTGACGCACGGCATACTTTGCGGCACCCCGTCGATAGCGACACCCAATGCCATCTCCGGCGACGCCAATTCGGCCCGATGCAGTCGCCTCTATTGGATGGTATGTTTTTCAAGCCCTGCCGCCTCTCTGCTCACTGCCGATATGAGAAGAGAGCAGAGCGGACGGAGAGAATCTTTGGTTGAACTCGCTGCTGAACCCACTCGCCAGCCAAAATTGCCGAGATCAACATCTAAAATGTAAGCAATAACTGAACCAAGTTCGGGTTCGGGGTCGGGCGCCTGTCGTCGATGCCAAGGGTCCGATGGTCCTCCCATCTCCTCCCTTGGCGGACTTCCGGGTCTTTCCACACGGGAAACTACCAAACGCCCTCCTTGCTTAGGTCTGCTTCTGCAAGCCTCCCTGCCTTGCTGCTAGACAATCGTAGTCTGTCCAGAGTCGAGTAAACATTCCCAGCTAATGACCAATAGGTGACCGCGTAACTCCTACGTGTGGGCGGTGCGCTTCCACCGGGCGTGAGTGCTTCAGGGGTTACAAATTCCGCGTCAAAAATGGTGAGCCCCGAGTCCCTCTGGCTCCAGGGTTAACCTGTTTGCCTACTCCTCAACGTTGATGGATCTGACACAGACTACTTGACAAAGGTCCTTTCTCTGCACGCCAAAAATGGATCAGAACGCCTAAACGACGTGAGTCTTCCGTCTCTGAGTCCAGTCCTATCTCGAGACGGAACATGCATCATCTGACGCCTTTGCACCAGTGAAATTTGTTAGCGAGTTGAGTAGTAATGCTGCCGGAGGTGAAGAGGGGGTAGCGACGGGGATGCATCCTGGTTTTGTTGATGATGACTGGGATGACTTCGGTTCCGGCTCGGAAGCGTCTCGCACGGTGCATATTGCTGAAGACAGCTTGCTTGAATCGCCGGCCACTGTCTCCAATATCCGTCAGAGCTCTCCGACTGATCGCTTCATCGTGCATGAAGATCTTGCCGAGCCGGCCAGCCGGCAACGTATTGCTGTTCAGCGGGAAAACAGCGAAATAACGGAGATTAGGTCGCGTATATATCTCGATCAACCGCTATGGCCTCTGCGAGACCGACAAGAGGCAAAGCTCTTTCGTCACTTCGTTCAGAAGCTGGCAATATGGGTACGTGCCGAAGCTCTTGGAGACGAAAACAGGCAGATTGCTAACACATGGCTCTCTAGCTTGATCTGTGTGACGCGGCGCAGTCTTTTGAGACTATCGTTCCTCAACGAGCCGGGACATGTACGATTTTGCTGAATGCAATCTTCGCCCTCTCGGCGAAGCACTTGAATCATGTCGAGGGTTTCGACCCTTATGCATCTGATCGCTATCACAAACTCTGTCTGAACACTCTCATTCCCATGTTAAGTCACGATGCAACAGTTTCAGATGAGAATTTGTTTGCAGCGACCATCATATTGCGGGTGTGGGAGGAGATGGAAGGTAAGACAATGTAGTCAAACTCTCGCACAAATCTTTGCCTCCTAATGAGATTGCAGTCAAGCACTCTGGTATCGACGCACACGGATACCTGCTCGGTATTCATGCCTTCGTTCATGGAGGGGACAGGTATCTGAAGCCTGGTAGCCTGAGCGCGGCGTCGTTTTGGGTGGGATTGCGACAAGAGATTTACAGCGCTGTAATGAATCAACAACCGGTTCGCATCAACCTGGTCCACTCCCTCGTGGATCGGTCACTCGGAGAAGCAAACGATTATGCGTGGGCCAATCGTGCCGTGGTACATTGTGCCGATGTATTGAACTTTTGTTTTGGGGATGCTGGGCGGCCATCATTGAAGTGGTGGACCGAATTGGATGACTGGAATCGAAAATGGTACAACTTACGCCCGTCGTCTTTCACACCGGTCTTCTTCAAGGAGCGGAGCAAAGACGATGCATTTCCGGAAATCTGGTACCAAAGCAGCTGTCATGGTGAGTTCTGCGCCATTCGTGGTTTTCTGCATGGCTTGCACCAGGCGCCAATTGACGTGTAATTCAGTCATTGGCATGCAACATCAGCTTCTCGCTGAGATGTTCCTTGTCTCCTTCGACCCCAAGATTCCCCGTATTGGAGGACAGCGCAGGGAAGCTGCTAGGAGGACAAATGTAAGTCACCTGCTCTTGTCAAGGTCTCGGGGAGATGCGAGCTGAGACACGTGCAAAAACTGTAGGACCGTGTTCAAGAGCTTGTGAGAAAGGTGTGTGGAATAGGTTTGTGTAACCAATGGACGCCGCCAAGCATGTTTACTGCTTGTATGGCGATTGCCGCTTGTAAGTCGATGAACCAGATGGCGATGTGAAACCCTTGCTCTGCAGCTCCCGCGCACATCCCGCATGTAGCTTACGCGCTCGGCAGTTGGAGACCGATTCTTTGGGAGAACCGATCAGGAAGCGTTCCTGGATATTTTGAAGACGACAGAAAAAGACCATGCTCGGCCAACCGAAGCGGTGCAGGCGCAGATGATGAAGTCATGGGACTGGCCAGTTCCTTGAGGCGGGTCCCATCCACCTGAGCAAAAACTTTTCACAACATCAAGGCCTGTGTCGGCGAGCACTACCATGCTGGGACGAAGTGTGAATGCTAAGCTGGTTTTGAACGAAGCTAGCTCGGCAGGTCTTACTGGATTCCAAAATTGGTTTGTGTCAGGGTATGTGATTGGCTGAATGGCCTTCGGGCACTTTTACCATCATTGGCACCCCCCCCAAAGTGGCCAAAATGGCCGACTCTTTGAATGCCACTTGATAACTTTCGAGCCAGTCACAAATCAATTGATTTTCAGCGTGGAGAAGGCAGTGGAGAAAATAGCAATGATATCGTACAATACTCCATTGTAAATGTGTAGATGACATGAATTTGTCGCCATCTCGGCGTGAACCTAAGAGAATACAACTATTAAATCAGCAACGGTCGGCCATAACACAACCGACCATCTTCTATGTTTCTATTCTCTTCACTTTCCACCTAGTCGTCTCGTCATCAATTTGTGTTTTCCTGGTCGAGTCTTATCTGCACGTTGTTACTTATTTGTCGCTCTACACCCGTCGGCATTATGGCTCCTTCCGCGATATATGATTACAACGACAGAGACGGCCAGGCTTTGGAGTCCATATCCGACGCTGTCGATGAAGTAAATTACATCAAGGGCAAGAAATCTGCTCTCTATGATGCTGAGTCGGAATTCGACGCATCGAAGGATAAGACTCAATTCCGCCAATATGATGAAGCATGCGAACGTGTTAAAGCTTTTTATCGTGAGCAACATCAAAAGCAAACGGTAGCATACAATCTAGCTGCACGTAACCGGTTTCATTCAGCGTCACGCGTGCGTGAAGAAATGACTATTTGGGAAGCCATGGAAAAACTCAATACACTCATCGATGAGAGCGACCCCGACACATCTCTTAGCCAGATTCAGCACTTACTCCAGAGCGCTGAAGCTATTCGAAGGGACGGCAAGCCGCGGTGGATGCAGGTGACAGGCCTCATACATGACCTGGGGAAGCTTCTTTTCTTCTATGACGCTCAAGGCCAGTGGGATGTCGTCGGAGACACATTTCCGGTCGGATGCGCTTTTGACGAGCGCATAATCTATCCAGGAAGCTTTGCTTTGAATCCAGATTCCAAAGACCCGGTATACAGTTCAAAACACGGTATCTATTCCCCAGGCTGCGGCTTGGACAATGTCATGCTTTCATGGGGCCATGATGAGTATCTTTATCACGTTGTTCGAGATCAATCTAGGCTCCCCCCTGAGGCATTAGCAATGATCCGGTATCACAGCTTTTACTCCTGGCACAAGGAGGGAGCATACAGAGATTTCATGACAGAGAAAGATTACGAAATGCTCAAAGCAGTTCAAGCCTTCAACCCTTACGATCTTTACAGCAAGAGTGACGGTGTGCCAAGTGCAGAGGAATTGAAGGTATTGCTCCCCAGCATCAATTAAGTCCCACCAAATGTTCGCTAACAGTCAAGCAGCCATACTACATGGAATTGATTGACGAATTCTTCCCTCAGAAGACAATCAGATGGTAGGCTAGTGGGGTTCTACTATGTTTTTTGATTATGTGCAGCGTTTAGTAGATCTATTCTTTTGGACAGACCAATGGTACATATAGCTTTCGCCCGGGGGCTTATAGAGGGTTGCGCGAAACACCACCTAGATAGAGACAACTCCAATATAGAGTTGTTATACTTGTGAGATTTTCCAAGACAATGTTTCGTACTTGAGTTAGCTTTTGAGCCAACAGTAATCCGACGCGAAGCTAAGTACAAATGACTTGAAGGATTGCCCTGACTGCAATAAAGCAATATGACATAAAAGTCTAAATATCGTAGTCACTGTTTATTCTGATTATCACAGCCTTTATCTAATAATAGTGGACAGGCGCTTTAAGAGTTTAACATTATATCTTGACACCTGCAGCACTTGTATCACGTAAAAATCGTTTAGTGTAGGCTATCAAAGTCCAGACAGCTATTGTAAACAAAACCCTGTTTCGTCGTTATTGAGGCCATAACATTAGCTTCATAAATAATAAAATTATTCTGTTATTTCGAACTAGCTTAGTATTTACCATGATCGTCAAGAGTTGCAATCATGGAATCCTTATATGTTTAGGGCTAAGACGAATAGAGGTTTTACTACTAGACTTCTACTGATTAGGTATAAAGTGGTGAAACGTTTGAAGCCATCAACGCACCTTGATCTGATATGATTTGATGATTTTGAAACTGTTTCCCGGAATAACCTCTTTCCACATTATCTTCTCACGGTCTCACTTTTGGATACCGTACCCCGCAGCCATGTTGTTGTTCTCCACGAGATGGCCATTGCTACCCAGGAGCAAAATAACTACCGAAATGCGGGGAATCCTCGGGAGTATGGCACGAGTACCAGAATGTCCTAGGTCCTCTGAGATTCGTCGTTTGTGGTCCGCAAAAATGGCCGACAAAGGATGAGTGTAGACAATTCGCTGTGGAATAGCTTCTCCGAGTGACAAGACGGAGCACAACAAGGCAATGTCACATTTGTTATTAAAGATCCAGTGCCACATTTGATTATCGTTTCTGCTTATGGAGACGAACAGAGCAACTGCTTGCGAGAATTCTACTAATCTACAATGTCAACAAAAGCAGCGCACCTACCTGAGACGTCCCTGTGGGCGAACAGGAAATGTCTTGCTATCTGTGCTACTGTGGCGATAGCTAATATGCAATATGGACTTGATTCGGCAGCGATTGCCAGTTTGCAGGCAATGCCAGGATTTCTCAGGGTTTTTGGCTATCCTGATCCCAACAGCGCAGGGGGTTATGCAATAGGGGTGAGTTGTATGTTCTTGCTTGGGTCCGAAAATAGCGTTCTAACAATCATGATTTGGTCCCAGGGCACCTTTCAACAACTGATTGGATCACTGCTCACACTTGGGGCCTTCATCTCCTCGTTGGTCGCAGGCGCCTTCGCTCACTTCTTTGGAAGAAAAATCGCGTTATGGCTTGCGTGCCTGCTCAATGTGATAGGTTGCGCTATCCAAATTGGGACGGTTAATCAAGGGGTTATATACCTTGGACGTCTTATACTTGGGATTGGCAACGGCTTCCTGGTGACCTTTTCTAATATATACACTGCAGAGGCAGCCCCGGCACACTTGCGAGCTGTGATGGTAGCCTTATTTTCTGAATGGGTCAATATTGGCAGCATTATCGGAGCCACGGTAACAAATGCAACGCGAGACAGACTGGATAAGGCATCGTATCAGATTCCAATTGGGATATTGTTCGTCGTACCCGCAATTCTATCCGTTGGCTTGATTTTTGTGCCCGAGTCGCCGAGATACCTCCTTAACAAAGGACTAGCAGCAGAAGCAAGAAAGGCTCTCGAAACTCTCAGGGGCAACTCTCTTCAGCCTGAAGAACTAGACCTTGAGTGGGTTGAGATGGTGAAGGGAATTGAGGAGGAGAAGCGGACAGCGCAGACAATAGGTCCGGTTGACATGTATAAAGGTTTGACACTCGTCTTTGAGCTCCCTACCTACGAAACATTGACAAACTCGATAGGAACTGACTTGCGCCGTACCCTGCTCTGCTATGGTATTATTGCCAGCCAAACTGGATCTGGCTCGTGGTTTGTCATTAGCTACGCAACCTATTTCATGATTGTTTCGGGCTTGACAGTGGACGAGGCCTTTAAGTATTCGGTCATGAATACCTGTCTTGGTTTCATAGGTGTGAACTTCGGCATCTATTTGATGCGCCATGTCGTTGGCCGGCGGACTATTCTTATGATTGGAGCAGTTGTCCAAGGTGCTTGCATGCTTGGAATGGCAATTGCTGCTACCGTCAATGAGGGCACTTTGGTTGCGCGAACTTGCCTGATTGCTTTCTCAGCCCTCTACATGTTCAGTTATAATGCATTTGTGGGTGATGCTAGCTATCCTGTTGCAACGGAGCTTGTTAGTACTAGGTTACGGTCATGGAGTGTAGGGTCGGCGATTAGCCTTGGCTATGTCCTGGCTTGGCTCACTGGCTTCTGCTCACCGTATTTCATCAATCCGGAGAACTTAAACTGGGTGTGTATCCTCCTTAAGATATCCACCATCAATAAGTCTATGAAACTAACCTATACTCGTCAACTAAGGGCGCGAAATATGGTTATATCTGGGCTGGTTCGAATCTTGCCTGCTTTATCTTTTTCTTTCTGTTTATTCCAGAGTTGAAGGGCCGCACCCTTGAGGAAGTTGACGAACTTTTTGCTAACAAAGTCTCGGCATGGAAATTCAAATCATACAAAACAACCATCATAGATGAAGCACTCAGGGATGTGCAGAAGCGGGATCATCTGGACGAAACAAAGAAAGAACCAGTAGAACTTCTTGAGGATGTTGAAACTAGTAATTCCTAGAATAGCATATGGCCTTGATTTTGGAAGCCAGGATGTGCTTTTTGAGTTTGACGAGGCTTCCGACTTGACATACTTCCGACTTATTATTTTCATAGAGTTAGTCTCGAATCTATGCTAATTTGGCAATGAGGCCAGAGCAAAATGAGGCAGACACCTTGATAAGATCATACAATATTACATATATAAATACCAAAATCGCTATAGACTAAAGTCCAGCAGCATTGTCCTACAACCTACACCACGCGGACAAGAGAGATGCTAATATCCTACATCTTGGTTCCTTCATTAATTGTTGTCTTCTTTTCTCTCTTCTTCGGTCTCAACCAGTCCTCCATGCCCACCGGCCAGTAAACCCGACTAGAAGGTCCTCCCATCGCAAAATCCTCAGCACTAATCTCAAGCTGTTTCCTCGCTGAGGACTCTATGAGATCAACGCCATCACCGCTGGCGCCGTTTTGATCTTCCCCATTGTCTGCGGCTTTAGATTTCTTGCGAGGTGTTTTGACCTTTTTATTCTTGTCTGGTGGAGGGGGTCTATTTTCGTCTAATCTTTCGTATGGCACAACATCGTTGATCCTGTCGTAACCAGGTAATTTGAAATTCTTCATCAGCTCAAAAACGGCCTGCTCCTTATCTTTTGCTTCGATCATGAGATCGCTGTCTGGTGGACATGGCGGTAAGGTCATGACACGCGCCGAGTGCTTTCTACGGTCGCGAGGTGTGGTCGCGCCAGCACACGGCTCGCTGTAGTGCATCTTCTGCGTGATTCCTTTTCGTTTCCATGTTGCTGAGATTCGCTCCATGATCTCTGGTTGGCTGATGTCGTATGTACCTTCTCGGCATTTGTCGGCATCAAATATAATGTTGTGATGGTGATAATCTAGGACGAGAGGTATATTGAGTTCCTCGCAAATAGGCAGCAAGTCGTGGACGGACCAGGCAACGTCATCATTTTCGAGGACTAGCCGAAGCTTGATGGAGTCTGACAACAGACTTGAATAATTTGTCCGAAAGCGATCGAGGGTGGCCATCTTGTCGCCGTAAGTGCCGCCCATATGTAGGATCATCACAGCATCTCTATTCTGCTGAGGCGATAGCTTGAGCAGTGAAAGCATCTCATCGTGATATTCGAGATCTCTAACAGCAGCAGTGATGACCTCCTTCCGTGGGGAACCTAGCTGAGTAAACTGAATGATGGTTAGATCATTAGGTTTGAAAAAGCATGAAAAGGCAAGATATACCTGTCCTGGATGAGTTGTTAATCGGTGTCCGAGCTCTGTGGCAACCTTTCCAGCGTCGGCCAGCACTTCTTTTGCGAATGGAGTGAGACTGTAACCATGCTCCGGGTGGCTAGCAAAAGGAAACATCTCCGAACTGAGCCTCATGAATTTGATGCCGTATTTCTCGTTCCAGCGCAGCATCTTTGGTATATCACGGGCATTTGCCAGACCTATGTCCTGCACATACTCTTGCCCTCGAGCAATGTTAGCCGGCTTTGTCTTATCTGGTCGGTTTTTTGTGGGATGCTCTGGCTGAGTGGGATCCTGTAAAGGATGCCTATGCTCAATTATAGACGCCATCCGACATGTTCTTGAGCAAAACACGGGGGGTTTCGCGTTCCGCAAATAGGTGTTTAGGCATGCCTAATCGAGTGTTACCAGAAATACTCCCAGTGTGATCAGTCCATTAACTTACATAACCAAGTCTGCCTCTCCACGGCAGTGGCAAGTAAGCGCTATTGACCGGAGGCGGCCGCGAAGGCCCTCGTTCAGGAGAGTCCAAAGTATCCTCGATATCCATGGTTTCTTCGCCCTCGTTGCTCATGGGATCCTCCTCTCCGACGTCATTGGTTTTTGTCCCCTGCTGTTTGCGTATTGAGGCTGCCTTCTGTTCGGCAGACACGGCGAGCACTCCTGTACTGATATGTGTCGAGTCTGGCTTGAATGCCTGTTGTTCGATGCTATCAGCTTCGACCAAAACAACACTCTCCTCGAGTTTCAATTTCTGTTTCTTGACTGCCCGCTTAAACCTCCGTTCCATCTTAGCCAATGTATGGATGGCTGCATCCACTCCCTCTGAGCTCACGGGGCCTCCATCTCTGGTTTTGTCCTCCGAGGCGGGGGAGCGTTCACATCTATTTTCAACGCCCCCAGCGGTTTGATCTCCTCCAAAACCCTTCTCGTGTGACCTCGCGGTCGTAAACGCTGCGCTGTTACGCCCAGACCTACGGAGGGGCTGCAATGGGGTGGCAGGGCTATCGGTGTTCGACGATGACTGCTGGCTATCGACGGGGCCCGATGCCTTCCTTTTCTGTCGTGGCATCATAGAATGAGGGACCTTTCCCTTATTCACACGGATCACCGCTGTCTCTTGCTTCAAAAGGTGACCAACGTGACGAGCCCTGCTTGCAGCAAGGCAGCACGGTCCGGGTATAAGACGCCTAGAGATTGTATAGCCGAAACCGCGAGTGGAAACGACCGCTGTACACTGACAGGAGTGCCTGCAGCCGAGTAATTGAACAAGACAGAGCATGCAGCTCTCACACGTGTACACGATAACCTCCCGTGTGCTCCGCGAGGCAGATGGAAACGACCGCGTTGCAGTTATAGCGGTAAGGGCCCGGATGAGGAGATGGAAGCGATATGGCGTGTATCCGCGAGAGATCAGAATATTGGAATGCGCAGCGTTGAAGGCCGAGATGATCTACGATGTTGATATCGGCGGCGAGTAGAGGAAAGCAATCGTAAGGGACAAAGGCCATGGACCCAGAGATGCGTGAAAAGAGAAGTCGATGATACAACAAGCGTCATTCGTCACTGTAATGTTTCAGGACCGCCAGACCCTTGCATCATTTGCATGCGAATTGGAATGGCAGGTGATGGGGGAACGGTCAACGTCAGAGTTCTTCTAGGTAGGGAAGTACCTCATCGTACAGCAGTACCCGGGTGGGCCGACTGTGTCTGTGGACAACACGCACGACTTTACCTGACTTTTCTAAATAATGGATGAGCACATGACTCTGAGCAGACAAAGCGGAAGAAATTAACAGAAAAAATAAAATAAAAGATTCATCGGTAGGTGCGACGATGCACGCCGGGGGAATTGTTGATCGGCGTGAGGGTAAGGTACGGTACGTAACTACGCAGCCGCTTCGGGGCTGGAGTACAGTGTCCGGGTTTTATACTTAAGGCTTAGCCCAGGTATCGTCAGTGTACTCGGGGAATGATTAATCGCTTACAGGGCGCGAAACACTATCTAGGTAGAGCTTTGTCTACGTCGCTATACAGTGCGTCACCGTGCGACTCTGGCCAGTGAAGCGCAGATTACATTTCAATCGATGAGGTCATCTCCCATTCCTAGCGGCCCAGGGCTACGGGCCAATGAGAACAATGCAAAGATACCTGGAGAAATCACACTCTTAGCCATCACACAACTCAGCTTGCCTTGTTCAGGGGCGAGCCAATAATGACATACTCATGTGCGCTTGCAGCGCTCGAGGTGCCTCTTGATTACCTAGGGAGAAGCTTTATTGCTATTTCACACCCCGAGAATGGCCTCATGTTATTGTCTAGTGCTCAACTCAAGGGGAAGCTCGGGCAACATCACACATCAGTATGTCGGCCTTCCGTAGTTACGACATGGAAGCATAAAGCATTATCCAGGTTTATTCAATACCTCTTATCATTCATGCACAACGGTTTGGTTTATAACAACGGGTGCTTCAAGACCACCTTTTCCATGCTCACCTTCCCTTGCCAAACTCGCTGCACTGCATCAATGGCGGCTTCTGCATTATTTGTGATTGTGATGCGGGGCATAGGCTTCCAGACAGATTTGTGGTTCTTTATCAACCATCCCATGGCTCTATCAGTTCGGGTTGCCCATTCCTCCGGTGCAGAGTCACCAAGACTTCCTCTAGGAACCAGTGCGAATTTCCAGTCAGCATCGTTATAGACTGGCAGGACACTGGACAGTCTGAACTCTATTGGCGAAACTGCTGTTGACATGCATTGCTTCGCAAGTGCCGGAGAACTTTGATTGTAGTTCGCCTGGACAGCAGCCATATCTTCCTCGTCTAAACCCTCATAAACGCCAAGCCCAGAGCAAACTGCATCGAAAGCGATCGTTAAAGTTTGTCCTGCAGCTTGCACCGCTGCTCGTATATCTCCAACCACTGACGTGGTGTGGTAATCGAAACAATGAGTTGCGCCAAGAGTTTTCAATGCAGAGTGGTTCCTCTCTGACGCTGTCACTATGATCATTTCGAATCGAGCTTCTCTGGCGAGTTGCACTGCGGCCGCTCCGACGTTGCTTCCTCCGCCCCATATCAGGATTGCCTTCCCCGTAGCTTCATCGCCATCCAGCCCAGCGGCTGGGAGACCGAAGCCAAGACAATTGAACAACGCGTCCATGGCCGTTTGCGCCGCAGCAGGCATGCCAACTGCCGCAACGGAATCCAAATCCTCCGGCTTTTTCCATGTCATGTAATTGCCGGCAAGGAGATATGCCTGATGAGCTCCCGCGTGGAGCGGACGCCGATGGCCCGGCATCGTCATACCCAACACCATATCGCCCGCCTCAAACAACGATAATGGACCTGCTTCAATGACTTTTCCGACAAACTCATACCCCATGACGAAACTGTGCATTCCGATGTGGTAATGACGGATATCTCCGGGGTTGACTCCCGAGTACTGAACTTGTACCAGAGACTGAGACGCTGTCGGCACGTAAATGTCCGACAGGGCTCGACATACGACCTCTCCTTTCTCGGTGAGATATATAGCTTTGAACGTTGTGGGGTCTGCCATTTTGTTCGTAACTCCTGCGCTCGAGGTCTGAAGACTTGGTATTTAATACGGCACGGGGAAGAATGTGAAGAGACTTTTCCAATGAGAAAGCGAAACAGAAAATGCAGTGCTGAATATATTTCAATTAACATCAGGGGATTCTCGTTTATATAGAGAAAAACTGCGAGGGGTATTGTGTGGGAAGTCTCTATTTAGGTCAAATTGTGGGCTTTCCTAAAAGGAGATGTCGGAGGCGCGCTTAGAAATAAGCCTAGGCTTAGGAATTCCCTCGTCGATAAACCACGCCATTAGTATGACAACAATTTTTGTTACCCAACAATTCTAGGAATTTCTTCATTGGGAATGGGCTAGGTCACCAGACGTCCGCAGGTGTCACTGTAGCTTTGATTTTTGATTTCATGCAGTCGCCCAACGCACTGTAGAACCTCGTCGATCGTGGAGCATTTGAATGCTTCTTTAGCTTCGCTGGAGATAAGTAATAGCTGTCTGTTCATAGGTCGTCGAGGTAGAACTGTCGTAACACTTTATTTTCCACTGACGATGATCTTTGTCAAGAAATTTGGTATATTCATTTATCGTCGTCCAGACACAAATATCTATAGTAACCTATGCATGGTGATCGGTGGATATCTCTTCGAGCACCATCGCCATGGCTGGCCCAACAGCCCATACGTTTCTCTCATTACAGCTCTGAATCATGAGCATCATGAACCTACGCTCACAGATCTTTGGATCCTCCGTCAACTCCAAAAGACCTAATTGTGCTAAATTTCTCGTCGCCAGAGTTGTCCGCTTATTCCTTATGTGTCTTGTCAATGCCTGCTTCACCGTGTTGTAGATGACCTCTGCAGCGTCGAAGCTTTTAGGGGTTGAAAAGACCCCGAGAGCCTCGCGCTCGTGTAAATCCGTTAGCGCGAGTCTCAACACCCGGTATAGGTCTAATAGCACCCTGAAACCAACAACACTTGTCCACGGCGCTTCTCTCATGGCTGTGTGGGCATCCGCGCCCCATAACAAATTCATAGCGTTCATGAGCTCTTCAAATATCAATAAGAAGCCCTCGTCACTGAAGGCACGAGGTGTGGCGAGAATATTCCTTGACCTTCTCCCCAGAACCTGATTTCCCAACGAGAGATGTGCTGCTGTGGCAAATGCGGCGGTGATGTCCGTGTCAACAATACCACAGATGAGAAAATCGTCCGGAATGCAGAGGCTGATTTTTGTCACCCAGCAAAACAACTCCACAGCATCCCACATCTCATTACCAGTGCTTTGGTCAACACTCTTGAGCCCCAATATTACTTTCAAGGCCGATGAAATTTGGCTATTTTGTGCGTGCGTTAGTATGTGAAACGGGGATGGATTGGCAGGATTGGGAGGAAGTTGGTAGAGATGATGCGTGAAACCGCGGACGAGGCGGTAAATGTTCACCGTCACGCAGAAGAGTGCGAAATGGGACGAAGAGAGCGCTCGTAACAGTGGCTCTGGAGGAGCTTCGGCTAATAACGACTGGGTCGCTAGGAAGAGTGACTTCATGGTAGGACCTCGATCACTCATGGCGCCGTCTATACCGTGATAGCTTGAAGCTTCATGGACCATTTGTTGCCACC